CGCCATTGACTCTTTTGAAACTTACGCCTACTCGTATGTTGTATTTTTGAATATGTCGTTTGATCTTACATGAGATGTCCCTTTACATAAATTGTCGCCACTTCGATAATAAATTGAATATAATTAGTGAAATTTGACATTAAAATTTCATGTAGTAAATTAGGGGAGCAATTTCATCTCACCACAGCGTTATTTGCGAATAATCGTATTTTGACCTTAATTAGACATTTGACTCGTCAGTGTCGTAGAAATTTGGAACACTCTGTATCTTGAAAACGGTATAATATGTATATTATACTGTCTATCTTCATAGAAATTTCTTATGTTGTTTTTGGGCGCATTTTTTGCTCTAGAAGCATTGCCAATGTTTTTTATAGCGCTTTAATGTATCAACATTATGTAAAATGCTTACACCTCTGATCACTTGTATTGAACATTGGTTGTTTATAAGAATATACAGGGTGTTCTGAAAGTTGGGAATTTCCCTTTCAGGAACAACTATGGTTGAAATATCAAACATAATGTGTGATGAAACGTAGCGAAAAAGTAAAGAAAAATAAATGAAAAAGTACTAACCGTTCATTTGAAAATTTCAAGTACGGCTCTGTCAGTTATAAGTACTGTTCAAAGTTATCGCCGTTGATAAAATGTTTCGTGGAAAATGTAGGTATTGAGCCGTATTCATAAAACAAAGGATATCCTTGTACTTCCAAATTTTGAAGCAAATCCTCCAGATGGTATTTATAATAGTTTGAAGTAAATGCTTTTGCTTTTTGAGTATAAGCATGTCCTTCAAAGCAGTGACATAAGTAAAAGGATATTCATAATATTCCCCTTATACTTGACATAGGAAGCATATCCTTCAAAAATTCTGAATGTGGTCAGTAGCAGACTCAACTTCGTAACGAAAGGTGGTCAAACGATGATGGCAGAAATTGTGGATGTTAGGGATGTTTAAACGTACAAACCTCGTTTACCTTCACTTGGTCGTGACTTCAAAAAATTATATCGGTTCGACGAAGCCAATGTACAATGGCTTGCGGACAAATTTTTAGTTGAGAACGAGGAAACTCGAGGAGGAGCACTTTCATGTATTCATAAAATGAAGATATGTCTACGCTATCTCGGTCACCTTGGATATCAACAAGCTATTGGTCAGGAACGTGGTGTTAGTCAACCTACTGTATCTCGGACTGTGGATAGAGTTGTGAACAGCATAGTTGCACAGTCAAACGAATGGATCAAGTTTCCAGCTACCAACCATGAACTGATGGAGGCCAAGGGGATATGGCAAAGCATGTATAAATTTCCGACAGCAATCGGTGTAATTCATTGTACACATATAGGGATCCTGAAACCAAATCGCCATGGAGATGGGTATATCAACCGAAAAGGGAAACCTACTTTAAATGTGCAGTGTTTATGTCAGTTGTCCTGGATCAGTGCACGATTCCAGAATATCGAGAAATTCACAGACTAGATCACAACTAATAAATAAAGCAAATGTTATACTACTTGGCGATGACGGTTATGGTATTGAGCCATGCCTTATCACTCCCTTCAGAAATCCTACTCCAGGTGCAGAAATAAATTATAATAACCTTTTAAAACAAGAAAGAGTTATAATTGAACTCTGTTTCGGCCAACTTAAACGCCGGTTTTATATCCTACAGTATGTTTGCCGCGTAAAGTTGGAAAATGTGCCGAAAATAATTATTGCTTGTATTGTACTCCATAATGTTGCGAAGAGCTTGGGCGATCCAGACTTTGAGTTAGTTGAACAAGACTCAAATGAATATGAAGGAAATCATGAGAACAATTTAATTGCTGTATTACCAAGGCATCGTCCTTTCTCATTTTTATTTTTGGAACTTGTGACTTTTGCAAAATAATGGGAGCAATGGCAATTTCATCTGCGATGAACTGCAGGTCGTTGGCATTATTTTCTATAGTTTCCTCATCACTTGAGGATGACATGCTTATTAATTTGATAAAAACTGTATCCAGTAAAAATACGCAACGGTCTGTGTAAGCTCTGGAGTACAACTGTCAGTGACGCTGAGTGAACTAGCTCCCACGTCAACTACAAGCTGGAACAAGTCAGGACATGTAGCTCAAGATACAAATACCAGCGAACCTTTTACTTCTTCTTAGAGAATATCCTCGTGAGTATAGGGTAATCATTACGAATATGAAAACAAGGATATACTTATACTTCTACCTTTTTCTCCGAAGCAAGACCTTATTCTTTTACCTTATGCTTCCGAGGATATGCTTCTCTTTTATAAATACGGCTCATTGTAAACGGTCCAGCCGATTCTGGAGAATAAGAGTTCCAATGAGCATAACATTTATCATGCCAGACCAACATGTTATTCGTCCCTGACTAATATTCTTCGACCCCGGATTATTTTTATGTTGGTGCAACGCACAAAATGGACTGTTGGAGGAAAATCCTCAGCTTGTACAAACGCGGACAGTCCATCATCATGCAAGGCTTGCCACACTATACCCCATTCGTAGTCCATTTACGCCCGACAAAACTCAACACGCCAAAAAGCGAGATTGTACAGGTCCGTATTTTCCTCAATGGTCTTGGAATAATCTAACAAAATAAATGATTATTTTTATAGAAAGAAGTGCACATACTTTTCACAATTCTTGATTCGAAGGTGTTAATATTAGTATTACATTGTCTCTTGAACGTGACGGATGGAACATTTCCATTGATTTATAAACACAAAACAAATTTTTCGCGTCAGAAAATTTGTATGTTCAAGTGTTTGAAGCCACATAGTTTTATTACATTTTTCCCCCAATCATTTCAATGGAATTTATTCGCAGTGATGAGGGGATAGCCGTAAAACGGTCTTATTTTAGTTTTTGGCCATATCGTCAATAACATCAAGACTATATTTATATTTGTACTGTCTTACTAGATGGATAAGTTCTGCTTCGGCCTTATTTTTATTCAAACTAATATATTTTGAAGGGAGCCATTGTTAGAATTTCTGCCTTTCTTGTGGACATTGTGGGGATTTGTTCTAGTTTTCTAGTGTGGTATGCAGCATTATCGTCAAGCTTTGGGAACGTTTCTTCAAACTATCGTTCAAATGAACTCCCGTCCATTTCTTCATGGTTTTCTTTGACTCAAATGCCCATAGGGTAGTGGGCACAAAGCCATCTTCACTGCCAATGTGACAGATAACAAATCGTTTTCCTTTTCCTGGAAAGCTAAGCTAAGTTTTCAGCGTGGGCTTATAGATTCAGTCTACTTGACACCATTTTTACAACACAACTAACGAATTGGTTAGAGTTAGATACACATATCTGTAGGATTATTTAGGCCAGTGGTTAGTCCATGTAAGAAGGCATGTCTTGCTGTTTTAATTGTAGAGTCAGCCCATACTTTAGGTTTTGTATGTCCTGCATTCATCCAGGTTTCATCCAAGTAATAAATCTTGCTGTCCTGGTCGTCGTATTTCTTTATTGATTTTAAATAGTTTCTCTCTATAAAATAATCGCTTGACTGTCCATCAAAATACTATTTCTGAACCGTTTTCTATACTCAAAATGAGGTACTTTGAGTAAACTATAGACATTCCTCGCTCTTTACACAAGGTAAATAAATCTACGCAGCCCGGAATGACCGGGAAAGCGGTCTGCATACACTCGCGAAGCCTCGGTAGTGTTTTGAATACATCATAAATTAAAATCATGTCGACAAGTTCAATATTGTACTCGCGTGATATTTTGTTTTTTTTTCGAACCGATTGGCTAATAAAGGTTTTGTCTACCTAAGCTTCCGGTGCCTGTATTGAGTACTGACCTGCGTCGTGCCTTCTCACTTTTGATCTAATCGAGATTACAGGAGCGGATTAGAGGCTTAGGTTTTGAGCTTAATATCTCGGTTATCTTAACATTTGGTGTATATGCTTCTAGAAAAAAAAGTCCCGACTGTGTGGACACCCTGTATAAGTATGTTTATCCATCACATAATGGGTTTAGAACTTCAGCAGTAACAGGTTGCGAATCCAAGAATTAGATGACAACCTTTCGAATGCATGTAAAACACCAAAGAATAGTGGAATAATTGAACTACGGAAAACAATTGAATCACTTATATCGCCAGGGACGGATTAGCCCTAACGCAATATTGCTAATCCTTTTATACCCTGTATAATTTATTTATTATTCAGGACATTATGTACATAGATGTCTTGTGAACTTATCGTAGAATATGATTCAACTTCTGTTTGATGTTATGCTTCAATGTTGACCATGCAAGTAAAAAATAGGACAATCATCCGCTATATTAAAATATCTCTAGATCTAGACTACTGTCCAATAGTTATTCCTCCAAAATTACGAGTTCAATAGGACGAACAGCTAGAGAGATTTGGCTCTCCATATACATAAATTTCTATAGATCGTAAAGTTATGGAGATGCCCTAACTTCAAGTAATATATCGGCCAGCTAAGAGTAAGTACGCTCGTAAACTTTCCAGTCACATATAAAGTTTGAGCCGATGATCGATCAGTAGGATTAATTTTTCCAAGTGCTTGAAGAGAATTACAAGGATCGCTTGAATTGCAAATAATAACCAAGTCGTGTTGGTACGCTTTATGTTAACGTCAACAGAAAGTTTTGGAATACAATGGAGTATAGTGTCTTTTTGAAATCGTCGTTATATCAAAAGTTTTTATGATAAAACGGGTTAACTTATTCAGTTACGAGACTGTACGATGGACTATTTAATGGAATGACAGGAAAATAATACCTACGATGCCTTGGAACTGTTACGTTGGAGCAGAACAAATATTTCTCTAACGACCTGTTTATGTAGCTACTTAAGCTAAGGTTAGTCGAACTGGGAAAAGGCTCCTCAGACAGATAATTTCACTATCTCGATAACAAAAGGGCGGTCACACCGAGCAGTTCTGGATGTAAGAAGTCCGACACGGTTAGGATTGGGAGAAAGCACGTCTGCTTGGCTGACTCATCTCGCGGCGGCATCATTGAGGAGAGTTCTGATGAGCAAAGCCCGAGGCTGTCCGTTAGAGAATAGTCATAGATATTTGAATCTAGGTCTTATCTGAGCCCTGTACAGAATGATGAGGTTATGAGGAGAAAAGTACTTCTTTTCCCTAAACAAATAGCCTAGCTTTTTTCCAGCAGGCACCGCGAATGACGAGATGTGATCGTACCAGATCAAGTAGCCAAAATGAACTGCTCTTTGGTAAAACTCCATCGATCCCGGATAAGCGCTAGGGCACTTCTTGTTAGTCATAGTGCAGTACTGTACCAGATTCTTGCGTCCCCAAACAGTGATAACCTTCAGGTGTCTCCTCAGAGAGGAAGTCGCTACTAGCCTTCTTTTCTCTAGCTCACCGGTAGAGATCGGCATGGCTCTCTCAATGGCTGCATGTACGGTGCTGTCATCAGCAAATCTGTGGATCGGATTGATCGTACAGGAAATGAGGTCGTTGCTATGTAAGAGGAAGAATATAGGAGACAAGACCGATCCCTAGAAAGCACCCCCCGTGACATAGTGGGCTGAGGAGGACTCAATCTAGGATGTCTCCCGTGGATCAATGGTGCCTGATATCATACTACCTGTCGCTAATCAAGATACTCCAGAGGCTATCAATTTATGCACGTCTGTATGACCTTACTTATGACAGAAAGATATAGGTCTGTAGGTGTGATGGTCGGTGTTAGATCCATTTTTGGGATGGGCTGGACATGAGCAAATTTCCAGTTTTCGTGCCGTATTCGGAAGATATCTTGAATAGACGCGAAAGAACTGGCGCAAGCTCAGCTGCACATCTCTTCAGTACAGGCTGAATTAAAGTTCGGACCAGAAGCTTTGTTGATGTCGTTAGACAAGAGCACCCTTCTTACAGTCTTATGCCTGAAGGTTACTCCTTGCATAGTAGAGGAACCCTTAGAGTTGGCGGCACTCGGGCATTGAGATGGGCGTCTACGGTAGAGTTGGCAGCAAAGATCTTGAAAGCAGTTCCCCCTTAAGTTTTAAGTCGTTTACATCATTCCGCCCTGGCACGTAAGTGGTGGAAAGCTACTTTTTGAGAAGTTCCCCTCAATCCGCTTGGCCACCGTGCAGAAAGACCGAGTGCCGATGCGCTGCGACATTACCCTTTGCCCAATTTTTGCATCTTACTAGTCTTCGTTATTATTTGTTTCTGCACTCGACGTCGGCTTGTCTGGTCTCTACAATGGTGTTTGCGAGAAAGGTTCTGTGTGCCTTGATCTTCTGCCGACGAGCACTGTCGATTCGTTGAATAAGCCGTTAGACCCTGACTTAGGCACTTCCACTGTATGCGAGTCAGCGAAATAAACATATCTCCAAGGAAAGATGGAGAAAGTATCTGAGCCCTTCACAGTTAGCATGCCAGTAATGCCAAATTTTGCGACCTGTGCTAGTTTCTGCTACCACAGCCTGTTCTGTCTAAAAGTTAACATCTACAACACCGTGTTCTGAGCTACTCAGAGACGATAGGACACCAGTGCTGTGAGGGGTAGGATGCGTAGGTCAGAAAGAGATTCAGCAGGCTATTGGCATATGATCAAACGTGGGAGAAAAAGTAGCGCTCGTCACCAGTTGGGACAGTTCTTGGGTAATAACGAACGTTCCAACGGCACGACCAGCTACATCAGTCTTGTTTCAGCCCAACAAGAGCTCATTATGAGCATTCAAATCACCGAGGAGATTTACGTCTGAAGCAGGGATATTGGTGTTCAAGAAGTCGACTATGATAGGGAGGTATTCAAGTAAGTCATCCCAGTTATAGTCCGATGGAGAGCGATAAAGGCAGCAAACAAATTTAGCGATGGCCTGAAGTTGAGCGAGAAGCCACAGGTCGTCCCTCCGGTCTGACTCTAAAGAAACGTCTCTGGAGCAGGAAGGCTGCTGCGGACAATAGATATAATCCCCCATTCTTCCTTAAATTGAAGTGCACCTGGTAGTTCGAAAAGCTACGATGTTTAGTTTGGGCAGAAACGGAGATATTAATCTCCGCAAAGAAAAGCATGGCCGGACAATTTGACTCCAGATATTTATGAACAGCATCAATATTGCTGTTGAACCCGCAGATGTTCGTGAAAAATATTTTATCATCGATGGTGTTCCCTCGACTCCAGCGTCCATCCAGGCATTTCGAAAGTGGAGTGAGCTTGCGTCCGGAATTTTTAGTACACCCTGAAATAAACTAGCGGGTGGTACTTCCTCGGTCGATAGGTCCTCGTCTACCACCTTCTTTTTGTTTATTAATGTTGTTAAATAGACCTAAAGTGGTTCTTTAGCGGACTTGTATCGACACCCGGCATTTCTTAACGCGTGTACAATCGCTTGAACGGAAAGAAGTTGATGAAGTGCGATAACTTCCGGAACAAGCGTTTGACTCGGACCCGCCCAGTGCAAAGCGTGTGGATCAAAACGACATAAATACAAACAGTGGTTTTGTCAAAAGGACATAAGAAATGCACCAGTGTAAAACCAGTTTTGCAATAAGAAAACGCTATTAAAAGTCAGATATTCGATTCGATCACCGTGTTTCAGTTTCTATTCCGTTTGTCTTAGTATATTGTAATTTCTTATACTCATATATTTAACTTTAAAGGATATCAAAACTTTCCGATACATCAAAACTAAAAATTGTTCAATATCCGGAAACGAGCCAAGAATATGTTAAAAGGAATACGTATGTAGGTTGTTTTCTCTATATGTGTAATTGCCGTTTTTTACTCACGCTAGAATGATTACTAGGGGTGCAATACGATTGCATATAGTATATTCCTTCTCATGTTGCAGTATGGACTCTTCACTTGGAATTACAATGAAGTAGGGCATTCCATATTACCCATCTCTATTCTGTTACATAACCCGAGACGCGGCGCGCGTCTGATTCAGTGGCGTACGGAGTCCTAATGTATGACGAAAATATGCAGCGTTGCCTGATTGACGGTTTTCTCAATAGATTTATGAGTTTTATTTATTTGGTCGCTTTGCACAGTGATTAAAGGCATTACAGGGAAAATAAAGTAGAAAGTATCGTTCAGAGAAGGTATTCTCTCCATTTTTAGCAACAATAAAGGAGTATTTATTTTTTGAATGATTGTAGAAAAATAGTGTACATATATAAATACAGAAGAAACAAGGAAAGTAACCTGTTTTTTTTTAGAGAAGTTGTATTTCAAATAGTAGCAGGTTCAAGGGGAAAACTTTTTCGTACGGAAGGAAGGTATGTTTCAATTCTTTCTTGGAAAATGCCCGTAACCCGCCTAGCAACCCTGGATATAAGTAAAATGTTGAATGCATAGCCCAGTGCCCCAATGTTACCAGGTCTACGATTTTTCGGTAGATCCACCGATTTTGGTCCTGGTTTACCGAACTACCGATGTTAAAGCAAAATCTACCGAAAAGTGGACTTTTCCTTCAATTGAATAATTTTTGTTCCCTATATAAGAGAAATATTTCTGATGCATAGCGATAAAAAGAATGACAAAAGTACTATTATTATTCGTACTAGACCAGATATATTTTTATTCTCTTTGCCTGACACTTATGTGCCACATACGCTGATTCTTCGCATATGGGAAATCACCGAAGATATTCGATGATTTGACTACATCGTCTAGGCCTAGCGGCTCGTGACAAGTCCATGCCTGTATTGTACGATTTGTATGATTTCGTGTGCTTAGTAATTCTGAATTCGGCCAGTATTATCTTTTTTTTTTTTCGCGTACGTGTGCCCAATATTATAAGGAAGACTGGGAAGAATTGCCAGATTTCTAATGCTGGCTTAAAAAAGCAATAAAGGACGCAATTATGTGAAATGCATGGTCTGTGATAAAGATATTAATATCAAAAGTGGAAGAGATGCACTTATAAAACACGCAAATGGGTAATTTCATAAAAAATTACAAACCATAGCAAAACAGCCAAAACTGTTGTCATTTGCAGTTGCAGGTGCATCAAAGAAATTAGAAAACGATATAAAAGAATGTAAAATTAATTAATCTATTTGAGATTACCTATATAGATTATTTTATTATTTCCAGGAGAAATTCATTTGAGCACATTTTTGTCCGAGCATAATTTACCATTCTTGCTGATGGACCATTTAGCAAAGCAAAATTAGAAGATAATATGACTGATAAAAACTTATACAAAAATGAATCCGAAAAATGATTATCCAATATAGCTTACACATTTTGTATCTTATACACTTTTTCTGTTTTTTTTAGTTAGCTACAGTGAGATATAAACTATTTATTTTTGTTTTTTATTTCTGTTTTAGAGTATATTTTGAGTTAAATAAAATTGTTTTAAGTACCTAAATGCCTTCATTTACTCTTCGGAATTCAATCTACCGAAAAATTCCATACAATTCTACCGAAATATCGTCGACTCCACCTGACAACACTGAGCCTGATGTTTATCAATTATCTGTCATTATTGTCTCGTGACCTTCCAAGCAATTTTAAGCTCATTCCTTCAATTCCTTGGTTGCTTGTTCACGTTCACGCATCAGTATTCGTTAGTCCATGCCGGCCGATATCTGTAAGTACTCCTAGTTTTTAATTTTGTTATTCAGATATAAGTATCCAGGTATTGAATTAAGCAAATTCCTTGTCTTTGAAAGCTACTAAACACTAACTGTGGCTTCACTTACTGCTAGGACACGATTTATTTATAAATTACATTATGCGGATATGGTGCATTCTAGAATTTTATCTCATCTATATTTTTCATTGTTTGCTTTGATGGGTTAGCTCATACTTAGCATCACTGCATTAGTGGTTTTGGTTGATTAACTATTTAGTAGGGAGAATACCTAGTACTTAATTATTTTCGAGAACAATGTAGTTATTTGGTTATAACCGGTTAGCCGGTCGGTAGAAGTTCTGACGTGTCTGACCACAGGCGTGCTGTGTAATTGTTTGGTTGGGGAGGCTTATAGCTTGGTCACTTTCTACATTTTGTTAAAAAATGAAATATTCAGAAATTTGGTCTCGTGAATTGAAAATTGATATGTACCGAGATAATGTTCTTAGTCCTCTTTATACTTCCCTCGATTCTCATACCTTAGCGAGGGAGGTGTTTCTAAACAAGAAGCGTTTATGATATTTATGTTGTGCCCAATAACCAGCGGCGTATATATGGGGATCCAGGCACCTCCGAACGGAACCAAATGCTGATCAAATCTAGGCAACTTTGACAATTTTTGGTGAACTATTACTTCGTTGTGACCACTGACGTAGCTATAGCTTTTTTATAGGGGAACTCCAAAATGCGGTGAAACCGTATGATCTATAGGTTATTTTATTTATTCTAAAATTTGCAAACATGCCCAAAAGCGAAATTGTACAGGTCCGTATTTTCCTCAATGGTCTTGGAATAATCTAACAAAATACATGATTATTTTTATAGAAAGAAGTGCACATACTTTTCACAATTCTTTATTCGCTGGAAGTACTTGAATCATTGTCCGAAAAATTAATTATTACAGGTTCAATTTCAATATTGATCATATTGTCCAGATCACACATCTTTATTTCGATTGTCTCTTGAACGTGATGGATGTAATATTTCCAATGATTTGCCGTCACTCTGTTGACAGCTTCACAAAACAAATTTTTCACGTTAGAAAATTTGATGTTGAAGCCACATAGTTTTTTATATTTACCCAAATCATTTCAATGGGATTTAATTCGCAGTGATAAGTGGGTAGGCTTAAAACGATCTTATTTTGGTTTTTAGCCTTTTTGTCAATAATATTAAGATTATATTTATATTTGTGCTGCCAGACTAGATGGATAAGTTATGATTTGACTATATTTTCATCAAGACTGTCTTTTGATAGGAGCCATTGTTGAATTTCTGCCTTTCTTGTGGACATTGTGGGAATTTTTTCAAGTTTTCCAGTGTAGTATGCAGCATTATCAAGTACAATGACGGCATTGTCGTCAAGCCTGTATCCAACAGCTTCGTGTAATGCAGTCTCTTGTGTGGTGGAGACAATTTTTTTTATATTTTTCAACAATGTTGAAAATTGTCTTAGCCACACGTCTTTCAATATTATGAATTTTCACAGGATGCTCCAAAATTTCGCTCTTATAAACTTTAAGGACAATTTCTTTTGCCGGAATATTCAAATGGCCCTCCTTGTCACGTTTTCGGGGAGGAGACATCACTAAAGGTTGAAGGAAGCATTGGGAGAAATATTCTCAGTTTCATCCGCTGTATCCGTAGACGACATGCTAACGTATAAATACACGCTATGTATGTACCGAATATGAACAGCAACTGCCCGCGTCGGCGTGCCGGCGATACCCCGAGCCTGAGTTCTATCCTGTCGAATCCTGCACTTGTTCATAGTTTTATGGTCGAATGACCAATAGCTGTTGCAACGCGTAGGCGGTTGCCGCTTTGCCGCGCTGCATCATTGTTGTGCCGGGGCGTAAATGGACTACGAACAGGGTATAATTCACATGTTCCAAGTCTTGGATGCTGCGAAATTCAGGGGTACCGACCATCAGCTTTAACATTTTAATGATGTATTTGCTAGGGTTCGAAATGAGTGGCGACTGGGTTGATGAGTCCATAAAATTATGCGTTTTTATCTATTTTCTAGCTTTGCAATTAGATGCCAACATGAACCGGAATTTCATGAAGATATTATGTACCTGGTGATTTATGTATGTTTTTATTTTCGTATGAGCTAGGCAAAATATTTTTAAACCTGTTTTTAACGACGTGTTTACAATAGGTCCGATATTTTCGCTTCATACCGAAAAAAGCACAAAGGTACGATGCAAAAATAAACATTTTTGCTTCCTTTCTTCGGAAAAGTACGAAGGCTCTATTTTCCACCTCTTTAAGGGGTAAATAGCTTTCAAAACTTACCATATTGAAAAGTCTGTAAAGATTCATAAAAGTTGTATTGTGCACGTCCACTGAAAAAAGGGATAAATTCTAATTGCAGGTTTTTTTGGAGGAAAAATCACCACTTCGAAATTCTGAAAAAAAAACATGAAAAATAGGACTAAAATGGCATGTACGCGATGCTGTCTCACGATCTTTTGAAGGTTTAAATATATGTTTACCTTATGTTGACCATTCAGGAGTTCAGACAAAACAATAAACTAATCCAACCTAACTCATCACCCCATCCAAAAATTTCAGAGAAAAACAGGATTTTCAGAGTCCCTAACTAGGAGACATTTCCTTGAGCTCGTATCATATTTGAGTCAGTTGGGTGGTTTTTGAGTGTATGGCGTTCTAGCAGACCAGCTGGTGGGAAACTTCATAATATGTAGTGCTTTCCGTCGCACTGGGCGTAGGCAGAGTTGAAATATTTCTATAATTTTAAGTCGGTAGAGTTGGGGTTTTCATGCTAGTTTGTTGCTTTAGAACCGCAAAACAAAGATTAATGACCAAATAAAATATAAGCAATAAAATACTTTTTTGGATGGTTTTAGAAAAAAATAATATACCAAAACGTATCCATTATCTACATAAGAACCACACCTATATCAATCTCAACTGTCACACTATTTGTTCATTGAATACAAGTAGATTGACTCTGCACTTCATATAGATACTTGTTGCTCTTCATAAAAAATCATGTACGGCAAATGTTCTCCGTTAGAAATAAGTTAACTACGAAAATGTAGAATAGGGGTATGACATGGATCAAATTGATTGAATAGGTCCGAACAATTGGTCCCCTTCTATTTGAAAATCTTGCCCCAAGTCTAAAAATGTAGGCTTATTTTCTACTAAGAAACGTAATTGCCGAATCATCCTGTTGTGTCGTACATCTGGGTTAGATTAAGATAAATGTTCAACTTGCTCGGATTATTTTTTATGTACCTATTTTGCAAATAAAAAAAAATATGCAACATTGAGGCTGCTGGAGTATGTGTAAAAACGAACGTATGATCAGATATCGTATGCGTAAAAAGTGCAAATTAAAAGCGCAAATAAAAATCCCCTCCGGTGGGGGATCCAACCCCCACCTCTCTCTCCCGCTCGGTCGGCAGTCACTATTACGACTCAGCTAGTAAAGGGTTGCTTGTCCTCGCCTAGACCCTATATACAGGGTGACTTCGAAGTTGAGTCATTTATTTTAACAGTGAGTAGATCTGATCAAAAGAAATGTTTTTTTCCTTTACCATTTTTCTGGTAAAATTAAAGTAACAAAGTTATAGCCCTTTGGAAGTTTGAGTACCGCCCTGTCTCAATAATGATATTATGTTCTCGTGTTTGGCAACAACAGATATAATCCGCCTTATCCGTTCATCGCATCGGAAACAAAAAAGCGAAAGAATTTGGAACGATCTTTTTACAATTATTTTCTTCAGTTGTATACAGTCAGTATCAGTCGGTAGTCGGTAACGCGTAAGTGAATAATCGTGTCTGTTGCGAGGCTCAAATCAAAAATGGCACATGTTTACGAAAATGCTGAACTTGTGGACATGGTTCTTATTTACGGGGTCTTTACAAAATGCTGCCGCGGCATCACGGATCTATGCGGATCGGTTTCCCAATCGAGTGCAACCAACCCCTCATGCCTTTGTTAATGTAGTGCAAAGAGCTCGTGAATCAGGTGACTTAAGACCTCACAGAGGAGATCATGCCGGTGCTCCAAGACCACACGATCAAATAGAACTAGAAGAACAAATTTTAGAATTAGTAAGTGATGATCCAACAGTAAGCACCCGACAAATTTCAACTCAATTGGCGATTAGTCAGTATAAAACTTGGAAAACTCTACGTGAAAATCAGTTCTATCCGTTTCACATACAAAAAGTGCAGGCCTTACAACCGGAAGATCATGAACAAAGGGTTGACTTTTGCAATTGGCTTTTAAATAAACATCAAAATGATGACAATTTTTTAAATCAAATTTTAGTGAGTGATGAAGCCCTCTTTACTAGAAACGGAATTATTAATTCACGTAATTCTCACGTTTGGGCTATTGAAAATCCCCATGAAATAAGGGAAACCAATTTTCAACAGCGATTTGAACCAATCAACCTGTGGGCGGGAATTGTTAATGGAATTTTAGTGGGGCCTTTTGAATTACCAAATCGCTTAACTGGTGAAAATTATTTTGATTTCTTGCAACACAATTTTCCTGGTTTACTGGAAGATGTGCCTAATATTAGACAAAACATGTGGTTTTTACAAGATGGGGCACCACCCCATTATGCAAGAAATGTGCGTGAATTTTTAAATAGACAATTTAATAATCGTTGGATCGGCCGTGGCGGTTTTGTACCTTGGCCGCCAAGGTCTCCGGACTTAAATCCTTTAGACTTTTGTTTGTGGGGTTGGCTAAAAACTCTAGTGTATAAAACACCGGTTAATACACGCGAAGAATTACGTGCTCGAATTGAGGAAATGAGTACAGTGATCAGAAATCAACCAGTGATTTTATTGCGTGCTTGTAAAGAGACATGGCTAAGACGCGCCCAGCTGTGCGTCGAGCAAAACGGAAATCATTTCGAACAGTTTTTGTGACATGCTTTTGGGCGCACAGGTCCGCACTGAAATACTTGTCGGGAGGATACTTTATAAAACAAGGTAACATTTTTTTTTTAATTTTTTTTTATTTTTACACACATATTTTGGTTTATCTTCCTTCTACAATCATTATCTGAAAATTAATGACTCAACTTCAAAGTCACCCTGTATAATCGTACAAGTGGTTGACTACTTTGAATGAGAATCGTTTATTGTGACTTAAGCATAATTTTTAGGATTATAGCGTTGCTGACTCTTTTGTAACCGTAATGAGTACGATAAACATTTACTATTTTGTTTTATGTATCATCAATAGGTTTTGCGTCATTCGCCAAATAAAGAATTTTTATGATCATTTTTTTGTTACAATTCCGTCATATTTGAGTCAGTTGGGTGGTTTTTGAGTGTATGGCGTTCTAGCAGACCAGCTGGTGGGAAACTTCATAATATGTAGTGCTTTCCGTCGCACTGGGCGTAGGCAGAGTTGAAATATTTCTATAATTTTAAGTTTCAAGTGCAAAAAATGTATGATCTCTGTCTGCCGGGGTTAGAAGCCTCTGAAACGTCAAAAAACGAAGTTCCAGTAATTTTTTTTTCGCTGAGCCGCCACTGGATATGTTTTCAAAAAGTACAAACCTCTTCGTCCTTAGCTTAGTAGTAACCTTGTGTGAAAATTCTGTCTTAATCCGAGCAGTACTTTCCAGGTTATAGACGGTCAAGGATTAGCGGACTTGAGTCAGGATGTGCATGTGTATCAAAAAAACATATCTCATTTTCGCGATTACAGTTGACTTTAAATTAAAAAAATAATAATAATGAGTACTTGGTTTCTGTCATAACTCCACCGACAATCCAAAAAAACATTTTTGAATAAGTACAGTGTGTTTAAGCTCCCTAAGAATGAAATGACTTGTAACAGTTAAGATATAGTTAGATTAGAGTATAATTGAGCATCGGTTGTTGCAGAGTATTGAAAGATGGCACCAGCATACAAGGTATCTTACTTCAACATTACCGCTCTTGGAGAGCCTATAAGATTCCTATTTAGCTATGGAGGAATTGAATTTGAAGATATTCGTATCGAAAAGGAACAGTGGCCTCAGCACAAGTCAAGTAAGTTCATCGACCAGCTTTCTGTTTAAGAGATGTTTATAAAGTTTCTGCAATCTTGCGACTCACAAATATTTTTCTGCACAGAAATGCCTTTCGGACAAATGCCAGTGTTGGAGTACAACGGCAAGGTAGCACATCAGAGCTTGGCCATTTGTAGATATCTCGCCAAACAAGTAAAGTTGGTAGGCAAAGACGATTGGGAAGATTTGGAAATTGATGCTGCTGTTGATACTGTCAATGATCTGCGTCAAAGTATGTAGGATTTTCTGTTAATGATGTTATGGGCGCTTCATTATTGAATAAGCATAATACTCCCATAGCATGTTACAGCCCGCGGGCCATAACCGCCCTTTTTACATTCTAGATACATGAATAACTGGTAAATCTCATTTATCGATAATTTTGTAAACTGATTAGATGTATCCCATAGACCACCTGATACGTTTTCTTTTTACAGAATTGGGAGGTTACCACTATGAAGCTGATGAAAAAATCAAGAAAGCCAGAGGTGAAATCCTATTCAAAGAGACCTTGCCTTACTATATAGAAAAACTAAATGCTCAAGCTGAGAAGAATGGTGGGCATTTGGCTTGCAATCGTGTAAGTATCCCGGCATCAGTATCTGGAATGCCTATTTGCTCACATAGCAGACAATCGATAGTTTTCTTGAGAAGTACTAAAAATTGTGTCATTACCCTTTAGTTTCGTTGTCGTCTTTATTTCCAAATATGTTTAGAAGCTTTGGAAACGATAACACATTTGAGCGGAATTGTCGCTCGTTTGATCATACCTCCGCCAAAACTGGTGTAATGGAATTACCAAAACAGCAAATAAAGCTGTTAAGTTACTCGGTCTTTGACGAGTGTATTATGACATGGAAATCGTAATGCGATAAAACTAAAAATACATATGTCTATATGTTTCGTAACTTGAAAACTGTTTTTGATAGCAGCCAACTCATTAGTATGTACTATGCCTTAATTGATAGCAGACTCGGGTATTGAATCTTTCTTTAGAGAACATCGACCCGTCTAGATTCAGTTTTATCTCTCAAAAAAATATTGTTAGGGTTATTGCTGGTATCTCAGACACAACATCGTGTCGCGTGGTGTTTAAGAACCTCAACATTATCGCTCTTGCCTGTCTCCATGTTTATGGGATCAGTATTTGCATCTATAAAAAAAAGAATAAAATTCAAAAATGATTATGATATTCATCTTAGGAATACAAGGTATAAAAATAATCTGTTTATCCCTCTAGCAAAGTTAAATGTCAGTTATAATGCTCCATACTACATAAGAGTAAAAGTTTAGAATCACCTACCAACTTCAGTTAGAGATAGCATGCTTATACAATTTTCGGGAGACGTCTTGAAGATTTTTTGGTTTCTCACCCATATTATAAATTTGGCTAATTTTTTCAGGACAAATTAGTTTTGTATTCCTTTTTTATGTGTGACATTTTCCTACTCTGTTGTACAGTCAAATGGTAAATAAAGTTACATCAAGAGTGCTCAATGATGTGTTTGGACACACCGAGTACTCAACCGAGTGCACGCTCACGCCACCGTACTCGTTACGTTTCATCAAACCACATAGCAATATATCAAGTGCATGCTCGCCACACCTCCTTGTTCCGCGTGTTCATGTTTATTTGGCATTTTACTTTTAACCACATTTATGACATGAATGGCTACATTCATTGTTTTAAATGTAAAACAAATCCGTCAACATCTTCAAAATGTCAGCAAGCGTTGATCTCGTCAAAATTGATTTAACTGTCCAAGTACTTCGCAAATGTCTATTTAACACGTTCATTAGGAGCAATATCAGAAGTGTCGTAGGCTTTATTTTCTCTTCATCTTTCGATGCACTCCATGCCGCAATTAAAACTGAACCAAGTTGCTTGGAAACATCTATTTAGTCTAATCATATTAGCAAATTTCACCGAAATAATTGTAAAGTCTGGTTTTATTGATACAAGCTGTTCAAGGGGGTATTTAAAACATGGACGCATAAAATGGGTACACCAGTTTTGTGGGAAAACTTTTTATCGTGTTTTTTTGGGATTCAATCGAAAGTGTTGATAGGAACGAAAAATCTTTTCATATAAGATTTTTAGCTATTTATGATACCTACAAAGTGACACCATGCGTGAAAACATCTGACTAATAGCAAAAATGCAGTTTTTGACACTTGGTAATGCGACGATGATTTTACGTAACTACTTGAAATTCTTTAAATCCCTAGGATTCATTCTTCTAAATAACAACAACACAATTGGAGTATATTGGTCAAGTAGTTTTATGAGAATGTCAAATTGTTTATCCCAAAACACCTGTTTTCCTGCCATCACTACTAGTTTATTGAGCAATATACAGGATTCGTTCAAAGAGCATTTAATAGCAAAATACGCGTGTTTACTTTGCCGATATGAATCGCAAACCACTCTGAAAGATAAATGTTATTTTTATTCGAAAAACAAATTCAAACATTTCGTATTTGTGAGTAATTGAACAAATGCTCTACGATATTCGAAAAGCATACGTTGCTGTACACATTTTAAAACAAAGCGGATGTGTCTATCATGTTTTGTTGCAAATTACTCATGAATATGAAATGTTTGAATTTGTTTAGAAGAAAAAACGTAACCCATCCTTTTTTGCATAAAAATTACATTTATATTCCGGAATGGTTTGCGATTTATATCGGCAAGGTAAACTAGTGTATTTTGCTATGAAATGTCCTTTGAACTAATCCTGTATATTGCTCAATAAGCTAGTAGAGTGATGGCTGGAAAACCAGGTATTGTTGAACAAACAATTAGAAATTCTCAAAAACTACTTGACCAATATAGAGAATTTCAAATATCTGCGAGAAATCATCGTCGTATTACCAACAAGTACCAAAACCTGTAGATTGCCTCGGTTTTCGGCCATAACTTTTTTGCTATTAGTCAGATCTTTTTACGTGTGGTCTCGTTTTGTAGGTCTCAGAAATACATAATCTTATATGAAGAGTTTTTTCGTTCCTACCAACACTTTCGATTGAATCCCAAAAAACACCTTTACTTATTCTTTGTTGTCGAATAAAAAGTTTTCCCACAAAAATTGGTGTACCCATTTTATGCGTACATGTTTTGAATACCCCCTTGGACAACTTGCAGCAATAAAACCAGACTTTACGATTATTTCGCAAACCATGGGTATTTTCGTCTAAAATGATTAGACTAATTGCGCAAAAATGTATGAACACTTAGGGCCGTATCGTCAGTCGTTCCTACTTTTATTGTAGGACGGCTTTATGGCCTCCTTAATTTTCATAGTTTTTCCTGTCGTTCAGAAAGGCGCTCTATTTTGAGGTTATGTTACAAATATCTACTTGCATCAAATTGTTCATGCTTTCGATTTTTATCATCTGTTTTATCAGCCTGAAATTTCCTACAATTCAGAGAGACAACATAACTTGGAGAGCACTGACGCTAACGCTGAACAGTAGGAATCTAAAAATACCTCTGCCTGTCTGCAGGAGAGAAAACGCTATGAAAATCAAAGAGGCCATAAAGGCATACTACAATTATTGTAGGAACGACTGACGATACGGCCCTTATTCGCTCAAGCCTCTCCGTTATTAACAAATTCAGCTGCTTCCATTATTTTGTCCCGTAGCTTAGCTAAATTTTCGATTGGCTTTGAGTAAACTTGTTCTTCACTGCTCCCCAGTAAAAAGATCGAGTGGATTTGTCAGATGAACGGGCCACGAATTTTTACCAGACCGCCCTATCTATCTGCTGTGGTATTCCGCACAAAAATATTCTCCAACTGAACGGGCATAGTGCGCCGAGCAGCCGTCTTGCTGGTACCACATGTCTCTGTAGATGCTTAGTGGCACGTCTTCCAATAAATTTGGTAAATGATTTTGTAAAAAGTCTAAATAAATTTCGCCCTTCAAGAACTCTGGCAGCTCAAAGGGTGCAGTGATTCTCCCATTTAGAATCCCAGACCACATGCTTACTTTAAAGCGATACTGTGATTTATCTCGACTCATCAAAAATGTGGAGTTTCTACATGCCTCTCGTGTAAGTTTTGTAGATTCATGTAACCATCTTTTTTAAAAGTCGACTCATCAGTCCATAAAATTTTCTTTAAAAATCGTGGATCTTCCCGGTCTATCTTTGGCACTCCCGTGCTTGCTTCTATTTAGCCTACTGAAGTACTTGGGTCTTCTTCGACTGGGTGTAATACGACGTCCACGAAAGGAAATGAAAATCTTTCTTCACCATGTGCCTGATTTGAGAATCGTCCCTCCGAGAGCAAACGGTGCACATTCATAAAAATTCGGAGATCGGCATGACGAGCAGCATTTGGGTTCCTCTTACGATAAATCATGGCTGCAGCCCTAGCATTGCATCGATATTCCCCATAATTGAAGTGCATGCTGGCGTATTCGTGTGTACGGTGTGTGTTTGGTGTACACAGACATGGTGGCACTACACAACCATGAATTAATAAAAGTGGTTATACTATCTGTCTCGCTGTCACTACGTAGAATGACACTGTCCGTCAGTCAGTCTAAGAAAAAAATTTGTGGTAATGGGAACTAAAAGCCTTTAATTTGAAAAGTATTTTTTATATTCTTCTGAAAACTATCAACCATTTCCGGCTTGATGTCGACTTCGGGGACACCTTGTATTTTTTCTGGACCGTGGATCAAACCTTATAAAATGTTTGTATCTTGTACGTGGAAGCTGTACATTTATGTAAACTAGTATTGCAAAATATCTTTTCACTAATGGAAAATACTACATCTAGTAGTTGTTAAACCAGTAATAAGCTAAACATATTTTGGCAAATTGGATTTTAGATTACTGATTAAAATTCAATGAGTTATACTCATCGTATGAATATTATTGCTTTGGCAGCCTTTTTCTGGTTGGAAAGAACGAATCATTGTGCATCTGCTATGCAAAATATTGGCACGAACAGATGCATTATTTATTAATAATTCCTTTGTGTTACACTATTGATTCAGTAAATATTGATGAAACATAATTATATGCTTGCTATATTTATCAGATAACGTGCACAATTTGTATTTGGAAGTTCCATCTATTGTTATTACATTGTGATATTATGTCTATGGTTTCTGTGGTGAATTATAAATGCAATCAGTCATCGCCTGAGGATGCAGTTATACAATTCATTGTATAGAGTATACACAAATCAATCATTGATAAACGAATGCTTGAATCTATAATACGCTTATTCTTCTTATGCATAAGCGGGGAATGTATTACAGAAATTTTTAGTGGAGATTATGGATTTTTCCGTTCCATGGCATAAATACACCACAAAACTCATTTCCGAAAGTCTGTTCGACAATCTTTGATATCTTATACCCTAAATTTGTTGTGAGTACTATACCATTGTTTATTATTAAAAAATTATGTTAGAATGATGGTTTATAAGGTAAGAAGAAGTATACAGGGTGTCCCAGAAGTCGCCGTCAAGCTGAAATCGGGTGATAGGCAAAGTCATAACAGCTATCAGAAAAATATTTAAAAAAATTTTATGTATGTGTTTTGAAAATTATAGGTCTTTGAAAAAAATATAGAAATTTCACACCCTACGGCAGTCTGTCAACTCCTGTTACTACAAATACTAACTTTTTTTGGATTTTATTTTTACAATGTAATGATGAATAATGCATCTTCAAACTGGTGTATCAACCTTACTGCCAACTTTTCTCGTTCAGGAAAAATTGCCACTTATTTCCCAACCAAGTATTCCAAAGTAAAACTTTGCTCAACTTTAACTGGCTGTACTGGAAAAAAATGTACTACGAGAGTTTGGCAAGTAACCTTAAAAGTTGACGCATTTAATAAGGATTCCAAAATGGTATAACACTTAGAAGCTTACTCGTTAACTTATGCACAATTTTTATTTGAAGAAAAACTGATGAAAATTTTTCAAAATTTCCTAATTAAACAGCGATTATGAAAACGCACAAGGACCCTTAAGGATAACTGTTTGCACAACAGTGGGCGGCAAAATGCTGCTGATGATGATTTACCTTTACAGCAAATGCTCAAAACTGTTTTCCTTCAGCCGCAATACACGCTCGACATCTTCTTAAAAAAGATCGGGTTATTAAACGAGCGAATCCACGGTTATTAACAAACTCAGCTGCTTCCAATAGTCTTTGCCGTAGCTCAGCTACATTTTGAATTGGCTTGAAATACACTTTTTCTTTTGCAGTTCCCCAGTAAAAAAAATCTAACGGATTCAAATCTGGTGACCGGGATGGCCACGGTATTGTACCAGACCGCCCTATCCATCTGCCTGGAAAGTTTTGATCGAGATACTCTCTCACTGAGAGTGCATAGTGCGCTGGGCAGCCATCATGCTGAAACCACATGTCCCTGTAAATACTCAGTGGCACGTCCTCCAATAAATTTTCTAAATGATTTTGCAAAAAACCTAAATAAACCTCAGCAGTCAAAGTCTCTGGGAACTCAAACGGACCGATTATTTTACCATTTAAAATTCCTGTCCAATGGTTTATCTTGAAGCGATATTGAGATTTATCTTCTCTCATCAAATGTGGGTTTGCTACGTGCCACTCGTGTAAGTTATGTAGGTTCATGTACCCATCTTTCTCAAAAGTGGTCTCATCTGACCATAAAATTTTTTCAAAGAGCCGTGGATCTTCCCTATGTCTTTCTAACATTGTGCGACAAAAAGCAACTCGGGGCTCATAATCCCGGGGCAGAAGAGCTTGAACACGCTGTACGTGTACAGCCAGTTAAAATTGAGCAAAGTTTTACTTTAGAATACTTGTTTGGGAAATAAGTGGCAATTTTTCCTGAACGAGAAAAGTTGGCAGTAAGGTTGAGGCATCAGTTTGAAGATGCATTATTCATGATTACATTGTAAAAATAAAATCCAAAAAAAGTTAATATTTGTAGTAACAGGAGTTGACAGACTGCCGTAGGGTGTGAAATTTCTATATTTTTTCAAAGACCTATAATTTTCAAAACACATACATAAAATTTTTTTAAATATTTTTCTGATAGCTGTTATGCCTTTGCCTATCACCCGGTTTCGGCTTAACGTCGACTTCTGGGACACCCTGTATGTTACAGTTTTTCCTTTTGTATGAGAAGATAAGGAGAGAAATGTTCAAAAACTGATCATGTCATACTTGAGGTGTATTAAGATTTTATTCAAAATGGTAACGTAATCCTGCATTAGTTTTTTAAATATTTAACTAGTAAGCTGATAAGTCCATTGTACAGTCCGATGTCGTTGCCGACAAGCTTGTGAAGTGCCCGACAGCTTGCGAGAAATTTTGTCTCCGACTGTCGTGCTAGTCCTTCCCTGTAAACATTTGCAAAAAAAAGTATATCTCTGCTCAGCATATATTTGAAATTATTCTTTTAATTGCAGTTAACTTGGGCTGATATATTCCTGGCAGGCCTTTTACAGTACATGAACTTCATGGCCCAGAAGGATATAACTGAAAACGCTCCGGCACTAAAGAAAGTATACGAGCAAGTATGCGAGCTTCCCAACATCAAGAAATGGTTGCAGAATCGCCCTAAAACAGAAATTTAATATGTGAAAACGTTTTATTTTTTTTATATAAGATATTCATTACGTTTGTTCTACGCATTTTATAATGAAGCTTTAGAATTTTAAGAAAATCATTTACATGCGGCCAAGTATATGAGCCTCCTAAACAGAGGTATACTATGTGACTACGTTTTTTTTAATATAATCATTACGTTTGTCTGCCTTTTATAACAAAACTTTAGAATTCTAAAGAAACCGTTTATTTTACTGACCTCCTGATGATGGCATGTATCGCGCACACAATAAATATTAACATTTTCAACAAAGTTCAACTTCTAACTAAACTATCCATCTATAACTTTAAAATGTAGGTGATGGTCAAACAAACTTAGTAGAAATTTAAAAAAATAGACTAGGTACTGTTTAAAGAATTAGGATATCTTCATCTGTATCGACTGTTAAAATATAAATTTTGACAATTTGAATTTTATTTCTACCGTTATTCAAAACCATATTTCTCTCGCTCCTCAAGCTCAATAAGTTATTTATGTATCTCCAGTATGACGTTTCTTCAATTTACCTGCTTAACGTAACCCTGCTATATCAATTATAGATTGCAAGTAAATATACTGAGTAACAGAGAAAAAAAAATCCGATTTTAATGATTTTTGGTACTTTTGACTTTGAAGTTGAGTCATTAATTTTCAGATAATGATTGCAGAAGGAAGATAAATCAAAATATGTGTATAAAAATAAAAAAAAATGATACCTTGTTTTATAAAGTATCCTCCGGACAAGTATTTCAGTGCGGACCTGTATTTGATCGTGCGGTCTTGGAGCACCGGCATGCGCTCCCCTGTGAGGTCTTAAGTCACCTGATTCACGAGCCCTTTGTACTACATTAACAAAGGCACGAGGGGTTGGTTGCACTTGATTGGGAAACCGATCCGCATAAATCGGTGATGCCACGGCAGCATTTTGTAAAGACTCCTCCCCGTAAATAAGAATCATGTCCACAAGTTCAGCATTTTCGTAAACATGTGCCATTTTTTATTTCCTTTGAGCCACGCAACAAACACCACTATTCACTGACGCGTTACCGACTGACACATTTACTGAATACAACTGAATAAAATTGTAGTAAAAACATCGTGATAAGCATTTCAAATTCTTTCGCTTTTTTGTTTCCGATACGATGAACCGATAAGGCGGATTATATCCGTTGTTGCCAAACACGAGCACATAATATTATTATTGAGACAGGGCGGTACTCAAACTTCTAAAGGGCTATAACTTTGTTACTTTAATTTTACCAGAAAAATGTTGAAGGAAAAAACATTTCTTTTGATCAGATCTACTCACTGTTAAAATAAATGACTCAACTTCGAAGTGTTCAGTGTCCCTTACTAATAAAACGATTAAAGTCTCAGCTTGATTCGTCAACTGGTTCAATAATGTGTTGAGGATAAACGATTTCTTATACACTCATTGACACGCCTGGGCATCGTGCTGATGAAGTGGTCGATATCCTGTTGGGGTATCTCATTCCAGGCTACTGCAGCTTCCTGAGTAAGAGCTGCTGAAGTCTGTCGAGGGTGTTGCAAATTCAAGAGCCTGCTATCTATCATGTCCCAGACAGGTTCAATTGGAGATAGGTCAGGCGATCGTGGTGGCCAAGATAAACGGTTGATGCGATGTTGATCCATGAAGGCTTTAACGATGCTCTGGCAACATGCGGTCTGGCATTGCCTTGCTGAAAAATCGGCCTGTCATACTGCCTCTGATGAAAATTATTGGTAAATCTGCTACCATAAGCAATACCACCCCATACCATAACTCCCACAATGTGGTGAACGTGTCGCTCTCTGTCAAATTGAGGGTCACGTCTTCCACCACTTCGCCTTGTCACTCTTCCCTGACCATCGTCCATCCCCAGACAGAAGCGGGATTCATCACTAAAGACCACCTGATTCCATTCCCGTCCCATACAATTCTTTCTCTACACCAGAGCAAACGGTTACGCCGATGTTCAGCTGTTAGAGGTAGCACCCAATTTGGGCTATAACAAAAAAGGCCAAACTGTCGTATTTGGCTATATACCGTACGCATACCAACCATCTTTCCATGCTCTTCAAACCACTAATTAGCGATGGCTCGAGTACTACCGTAAAACGGGGCTGCTTGAAAATAGCGGGGTAACTTGAAAATGAACGCAGTCAACTTTTTAATCAAGTGCTGCCATCGAACGGTTCGTCCGATAAACAAGAATCCGGAGTCATCTGACAAAAAATATCTGCGCGCTACTTATCTTGCTCTGTGTTTACCGGTGTAATATAGATGCAACGAAAATTATCGTAAAAATAAACTGTTTTTTGTGGCCTAAATACTTCCATTTTCAGAGTTCCTATTACTATTGAGAAGTTGTTGTGATTTCGTTCTCCTAACTTGTTTTAATCCTTAATCACGAATCTAACCTCAATTTAGGCCTATTTTAAATTCTGACGCCAGCAGTGGCGACTTTATATTTTAACAACATTTTAGGGGCTATTTGAAAATGGTGGGGACTTACAAAAGAAAAGTCTGGAGTAGATCCTATCGGAATTATAGTCAAGAGGACTGGAATAATGCCGTTCAAAGTTATGAAAATGGAAATTTTACGCAACTCGGCGAACAATACAATATACCATATGTGACTTTATATAGAAAAATTAACAAATTACATTCCCAAAATCCGGGTCATCCTACTGCGTTACCAGATGCTGATGAAAAAGCCCTTGTTAATGCAATTTGTAAGGCTTCAGAATAGGGTTTCCCTTTTGAGTCTTCAGACATACAAAGTTTGATTGAAAACTATTTAAATAGAAAAGGCGCGCTAGTAAATGCCTTTAAAAATAATGAACCTGGTGTAGACTGGATGGAGAAGTTCCTAAAACGGCATCAAGAACAGCTGTCGAAGAGAATGTCGCAGTCGATTAAACAAAGTGGAGCGAAAGTCGACCATAAAACCATTAATACATATTTTGACAGTTTGTCAAGAGTCCTAGAAAACGTGGCTCCCGTAATTACGACGAGACAAACTTCTCGGACGATGCCGGCCGCTTCAAAGTTATTGTCAAAAGACAATCAAACAGAGCTGAAAAAATCATGGAAACATCTAAATTGTGTATTTCAGTGATGTTTGCGTGTTCTGCGTCGGGTGTTATGCTACCGCCATACGTAGTTTATAAAGCAGGTCATCTGTAGAGCACCTGGACAGAAGGTGGGTCTGTAAATACTAGATATAACAGAAGCCCGTCTGGTTGGTTTGATGGCAATATCTTTGAAGACTGCTTTTTAAATATTGCCCTTACCTATTTCAAAACCTTACCTCCTGGCCGCAAAGTCTTAATAGGTGACAATTTGCCAAGTCATATTTCCTTAGAAGTGATACGGAAATGCGAAGAGAATGACATCTGCTTTGTTTTGTTGCCGCCTAACAGCACCCATTTAACGCAGCCTTTAGACGTTAGCGGTTTTAGACCCATTAAAGTCAAGTGGCGGCAAGTCCTGAAAGATTGGAAGGCTAAAAATAAGGGCACTATAAGAAAGGATGTATTTCCTAGGCTGTTAAAGCAATTCTTAAATAGTGTTGGTGCTAGTACTGAGCAGAATATTAGATCTGGCTTTGAGGCGACTGGTATTGTACCAATCAATCGACAAAAAATTATAATTAAACTTCCCAAAGAAGATGATCCAAAAGAAGCAGCAGAAGCAGAAAATATTTTAGGAGAATCTTTAGAACAGGTGTTTCAAGAGGCGATATTTGGAAAAGCAGGTCCCTTCAGTACAGGCAGCAGAAAGAAATTAGACGTTGAACCGGGGAAAAGCATTTGCCAAAAATATATTGAATGTCGTACTACCACTACAACTGCTGAAAAATCGAAAAACAAACCAAATAAAAAGCTAAAATTGAAACTAAAAGAGCAGAAAAAGAGGAAGAAAGCTCACTCAACTCTCTCAAGCGCCGATAGCAGCGACGAAGATCTCGTACTACCACTTCATTTACAGAAATCTTGCACTGGGCGTGATGATAGTGATGACGACACGGAAGCATTTTCGGTTCTAGAAAACGATATCCTTTATAATGAAACCTCTGAATATGAAAACACTACAGAAAACCCATTGGAAAATGAACTTGGAAGCAACGAAGCAAATGAAATGTTCGATGGTGAACCCTCTGTAAATGAAGAATTCATGTGTGGTGATTACATTTTCGTCAACCTGAAAACAGAAAATGGAAGCACTAAAGAGTTCGTTGCGAAAATTTTTTCTTCCCACGTGCACGTGTTTATGAAAAAGTGAAAAATAGTTATATATATCCAGCTATTGAAGATATCGGCTTGGTGGAAAAACTCGAAATAAAACGGAAATTAACCGTTATAGAAACGACTAGAAGAGGGCAAATTAGATTTAAGGAAATGTCAATGGTTCCTTTCAAACAACTTTCCTATTTTGTAATAAAGAATATTTTTTTGTAAAAAAGAGGTCAAACAAGGTTTTCAAGTTTATGTAAGAATTATAGAATGATTTTTATATAGATGTGTTTTTTATGTTTTGTTATTAATAATAAAGGACCTTACCTACTTATAATATATTTTATTTTGTAAAAACCGTTTTTTTTTCGATTTTTAACTATAACACAATAGGTTTCTTTTTTAATTTTGCTGCTTTCAAGTAGCCCTTAAAAGGGGTTTATTTGCAATACTACGTTTTTAAAGGCAAACTTTCAAATGGCCCCATCGAGGGGCTACTTGAAAATTACCACTTCATATTTTTTTTAAATGCTGAGGTCTAAAAAGTTTTCTAATAAGGAAAAACCATCTATAGACCATTTCGACCAACACAGTAATTTTGACTTTCAAAAATACCTTTAACTTATTTGTTGGCAGAAAGAAGTTTCGAAAAAAGTTTTATCAAGTAGCCCCGTTTTACGGTACTGAATCTCTCAGACCCAGAAGTCTTGACCGGCGGTCTTGTCGCTCTGGGGTCTCACTCTCGCTCGCTGTCCTCGGCCTCCCTGAGTCGACGCTCGTTCACACTGCAGTATACTGCGTAAGGATCTGTTGGTCCTCCTAGAAACTTCTCTTATCGATAGACCGGCTTCACCAACCCAACAATTCGACCCCTCTCAAGGTCACTTAGCTGGGACACCCTGCGAATTCTACGCACTCAAGGCATTTTGAGCGATCACAAAAAGACTTCTCAATAAGCTACACGAAAATGTACGAAAACTGAATGATTCATCAAACAATACACGCAGCCACCAGAAAAACTTGACAGAAAAACCTGACCACTTTATCACTTGTTGTTCATGTCAAGATAAATCGATATGTAAAAAATTCTTGAGTTTTAATAAACACACCTACGTGTTTTTACCTTTTTGTGTCACTCGGTATACGTAGTGAGCTACTTCTAGGGATACTTTTGATTCAGGAGAAATATTTCAAATGCGGCCCATAAATGCACCTAAAAGCTACTACCAAATTCTAACAGAGAGCTCATTAAAACACACGATCTTTTGAATGCAATGCTTTTACATCTTGCATATTGGCAATAAAATGTTTTGGAAGCCTTTATGGTCCACCGGCTATATTACGATGTTCACTAGAAGAATCTAACAACGTACGGAAATCACCGTAAGTATAGCATCACCTACAAACTTTAAAATGGCCTTAAGCACAGTATTTAAAAAAATTGTTCATGATGGCTTCTGGGAAACGAAACATCGTTCTGAAAATGTGCGAACCATATCTGTTTATGCCTGAGTATTAAAGTGAAGGGGAGGTATTCTGTAAACCTTATGTGAAAGACACTTGAAACAGCAACATTTTCATTATGAGAGTAACAACAGGTGATACTGTATAATACTTCCATGGATAAGTAGGTATATCATTAAAATATGTTATTCATTGATAAAAGCAAGATTAAATATGGTTACTTTTGCTGGTTGTGCTTATCATATGCGAGATAATAAAATAGTTGCACTTATGTAAATTGAAAATCGCCGAATCACTATGTTTATGCTGTCGTGGTGTCCCCTTCCATTGCACTGACATCAGTATATATCTTACATGCTTAATTAAACGCCTCCAATTATAATTTAATGTTATTTACGACGGCACCATAAAAAGGTAAGTTATCACTCTAGGATTATAAATACTCAACATCAAGTCATTGGAGAGCCTTCCGAAACAAAAAATGCACAAAATTGGTTTTATTCGTAAAGCAGATCGAACAGGATATCTTATATAAATAGAATTTCGTACTGGAACCTTTAAAAACCTTTAAATTGGTCGGATAGGCCTTTGTATCTGGTTTTTGATATCCTGAACCAAAATTGGACGTCTTCATGCTACTGGAAGACGGATCATGGCTCACATTGGGCGCAAGAGAACCAATGGAAAAAAAATGTGATTTTTCTTTGGCAATATTTCTATTTGCTCGCTACGCTTGACATTTTATTAGGCCTCGCAATATGTGCCTATTGCGAAGGCAAATTGTCCAAAGAATTAAAAATTACCGTCTAAGTGAAATCAGATAATTCGTTCGGCAGATATTTCAGTCAAACACGTTTTTGTTTTTTCGAAATTTTCCATTATTTTCTTGAGCTGACTGTTAGAATGCCTTCTGAAACAAAACATCCGCAAAATTATTTTTCCCGTAAGAATAATAATAAAATCCATTCCGCGTAAGGTTTCTACGAGGTATTTTCCCTCCTGTTTCTGATAGAGCGTGATAAGATAGATCATAAGTCAAAAAATTAATAGTATATTATAGACCTTGTGAACATTTTATGCGAATAAAATTGAGATAAAAACCTGTTTAATATATTTTAGTATAGCCCAAAATGACTTTGCCATACAAACTAACATATTTCAATGTTACTGGACTTGGAGAGCCAATAAGGTTCCTATTCACATATGGAAACATCGAGTTCGAGGATTCTCGGATTGACGATTTCGAAGAGTGGAAAAACAAAATAAAGCCAAGTAAGTTGACGAATACTGGTCATTCTTATTTTCAACGAAAAAAAAAATGCTTCGGGCAAAATACTAATTTATAATATACTTAATAATATATTATACTTTTAAAAATATACATATATAAAAAATAACTCTTTATTCTTCAAAAAAATGGTGTCAAGTGATTGACTCTATACTTTACATGCCCTCGAAGCAACTTTCCATTTAGTGCAATGGCATCAAAAAAACGTGAACTGTCAAAAGCATTAGGGCACTTTTAATTTTTCATGAAAAAGATTCCTCAGGTTGCAGCAATAAGCGTGTCCGTACACGGTAGCCTCATTTCTTTGGAGCTCTAATGTGAAACTATCTCAACAATGCTGTTGGCATAGTAGTAACCTTTTGCATAGGTTTCATCCAAATTCGAGCAGTGCTTTCCAAGTTATAGTGTGTCCAAGGATCAGCAGACGGTCGGACAGACAGGCAGACCGACGGAAATGAGTGTCATGGTTTTTCGTGATTTACATTTAATATAAGATCCAAAGAATATAATGTTCTCAACTTTGGCGATAACAACGCTTTCTCGCCAGTAAACGTGGGAAGTAAATGGTGAAAAACGTAACCACGGTATAACGTATCCGCTGTGGCTTGTGAGATATGTATCATTGTCTAGTAAGTTCATTTCTATGCAGAAAGTATTGTGGGTGAACCATGAAAGGCCATGCTCTTTGAAACCAATTCTTAAAAGGTCGTAGTTATTGTCATGTGATGGCAAATTCCTTGTACTCACACGAACACCCATCGAAGTCAAGTACACAGACGCGGCGACGAGTCGTTCTCGCCATATTATCAATGCGGTCCTCCCTTTGATGACTGCGGTCGACACCGTTACAATTAGAATAGGAGCTTACAGTGAAATGTAAGTTTTCAAGTAAACATACCTACCGTTTCTTTAAATTTGTTGACTCCAGAATATTTGATATCGTATTGTTGTTTCTTTTCATAGTTAAAATATCGGTAGTGTTCCTATAGAAAAGCCAATTCCTGGTAGTAGTAGTAATACTTAAGTTTTTAGTTGTAGGGGGAAGTGGGTTATATTATACAGGTTTTTAAATTGAATCACCCCAACATTTACTGAGTTTTCTGAAGTTTCTAACGCCATATGGAACATTATAAGGTACGGACCCGTAGGAAGGCTATTTTGGTGGATTTAATTATTTGTTTATACAGGGTGTCCGCAAAGTTGGGGTTTTCCTTTTCAGAAACAACTACCCTTGAAATAACAAAGGTAATGTGTAGTGAAACGAGGGCGACCAAGTAAAAAAAAATAAAGGAAAAAGTACTCACTCTCCAGTTGACGAGAAGGGCTAAGTACGTCTCTGCCTGAAATCGAAAGTTATTCACCCCATTACGCGTGAACGTAGATTCGTCTGTCACCAATATGCACTTCAAAAAGTCCGGATTATTGTCATGTTGATGCAACAACCACTCACAAAACCGCACTCTTGCTGGAAAATCGTCAGGTTGAAGGGCTTGTACACGTTGGACGTTTGCCACACTTTAGTTTTTGATACTTGCACTTCTCTAGCCACGTCTCTAGTGCTTGTTGAGGGATTCTCATCTACGCGATTCAGTAGTTCTTCCTCAACTTGCACCATTCGTGGTTGTCTAGGCCTCCCACTGTGCCCACCTCGAAATTCCTCCAAATGGCCCGTATCCCTGACTCTCTGGACCAGGTACACAAATCTGCGGGGCCTTGGATGATGTCGTCTAGGGAAACGATCTGCATACACTCGCGATGATTCTGTATAATTTTGAAGACATTCGCCATAAATTAACAACATATCAACGAGTTCATTATTGGTGTATGAGTGTGCCATTATTATTTTTTTTTTTGAAACGCAATCGATTATACGGGTTCGTTACCTCTATACGCGTGACCCTTTACCGTCGGTTGAAGGTTGCATACTGACCTGACACACTGACCCCGACCCCCGACCCAGTTCTGTCGTCGGGTTCAGCTAGTAGCCGGTACCAGTCTGGGACATCGCGGCGGGTGGCGGCAACAGGCCGGTATTCAGATATTTTTGATGTTGCAGAGCCCTTTATCTCGGTTCCCTTAAGACATTGGTGTATATGGTACTAAGAAAAATTGCTTATGTGTTCAAGATCTACACGTCGTGTAAAGGAAAACTCCAACTTTGCGGACACCCTGTAGAGGTTATTGGCAACTTATTTGATGTCGACGCAATACTCATTGAAACATTTTCAACGCATGCATTTTTAGTTTTTAGATTGCGTTCAAGTAATGTTTGTCAAGGATATTTATTGTAAGTACTTAATGTTTCATCTTAATAAAGTTTAAGTAATATGACCAGATAATTTGATTGTGACGTTAGTTTTAAATTAAACGTTTCATTTATTATGTTGACCTTGTATGGAGCATTGTACCTTTCAGTGCCATTCGGGTGAGCTTAATGAGACTTCAGTTCAATAAGTAGTAATTAACTCTGCAATAAAATAAAATGTTTTATACGAGTAAGTTACATAATGAAACAAAGTGTTACTTAATAATTTTCTTGTTTGATTTATCCAGTAAATAAAGGAATAATAATTTATTTGTTAAGGCGTAGCCTTCCATGCTCCACCCACCGTATCCCATTTGTAGATATGATTTTACGTTTTAATGATTTATCGGCTAGTAATACAGACTTTGTTATTTATTTGAAAAATTATATGTAGTATTTCGTAGATAAAAACATGCTGTCAAAGTTGTGATCGTTTTTTGTCACGACCATGTATTCTGGATAGCTCCTATTTGCCATCCTACTTCCGAAGCACGCCTTTTACCTCCCACAACACTGGCGAGCAAGTACAGTAATCGTGAAGATTTTCGAAAATAAAATATTATATTTGTTAGAATTCATATGACATCACGAAAAACTCACTCGTTATCTTCGGTCTGTCTGTCTGACTGTACATAAATCCTGACTGATCTATAACTCGGAAAGTACCTCTCTGATTCTAATGAAATCTTCACATAATGTTGCTACTCTGTCAGGGACCAAAATACTTCGTTGCTTTTTGAAATCGGTCCAGTGGAGGCAGAGAAAAAGACAAAAAATGACACAAAGACGACAAAAAGCACAGTTGGCTTATTTACGAGTAGTTGTTCTAAGTCAACATAAAAGATTGTGCTCACCTTCCTATAGACGATATAACATTTGTGTTCGCGTATTTGTGAGTTTGTTATGATGAAAGTCAGCATACAGATAAAACATGACACAGGGTAATTCACAAGTCGTGACCAAAAATGAAACATCATACTCAAGATCGCATTTTAAGGGGTATAACATTTTTTTTCTCGAGGGCTTCATTAAAAAATGCGGGGTGTTGAAGTTTAAAAATAAAAAACAATTTTCTTAATATCGTCAAAACCGTCAACTCGAATGAACTAAAATTTGGTATGTGGACGTACCTAAATACCTATTGTCCACATTCAAAAGTCTTTACCTAAAATTAACGTGCACCAGTGGCGGAGATACAGGGGATTAGCGGCATTATCGTTCCAAATAAAAATAGTACGCTACTGTTTTTTTTTTCGAAATACGCAGTTTTTCGAATTTCACCTTCAATTTGCTACAAATAATTACTCTAGTGTTTTTTCCTAGAGTGCACTGTATTCGTAAAAATAAAAATAAAACCAATTAGATCATCCATGAAGAGCCTAGCAACAATTCGTTTCAAAATAAAATAGGAGGCCTTGATACCAACTTGATGTTTCTTGAGAGATAGTTTATCAAAGTTATGTGTTATACGGCTGTTATCGTTACTACTACGAGGGATGTCTTTTAAGTTTTGCATATGGAAATAAAACAACACGGTAGGTAGTTTCAAATGACTTTATTATTTTTCGAAGTATTCTCCACGAAGATTAATACACATCTGCAAGCGCTCGAACCAATTTTCGAAGCACTCATTCCACTCGTTTGCTGGCAGATCCAAAACGGCATTTTTGAATGCGTCAACTGCTTCTTCTGGTGACTGGAACCTTTGACCACGCAGTTTGTTTCTAATTTTCGGGAAAGTAAAGAAATCGTTAGGACTTAGATCGGGACTATATGGAGGATGGACCAATAATTACACGTTTTCTTCCGTTAAATACTGCCTTGTTTTTGGACTGTGTGCGAGCTTGCATTGTCTAGATAGAGGATGATTCTTCTTTCGGGGTTGATTTTTCGAAGCGCGGTGATGACTTTTGGCAAACAAATGGTGATATACCAATCCGCAGTAACAGTTATTTGCTCATTAAGAGGAATTTTTGCAATATGACCCGCTTTTGACACAAATGTCGAGTCCATCTTTTTCGAAACACTTCGAGAACGGATGACTTTTGTTGGCTTTTCTTCACCTTGGAACACCCAAAGAGCCGACCGTCGTTTATTTTCCGGTTCATAACAGTAAATTCACTATTCATCACCACTAACAATGCTGTACACATTTTTTGAGTTTCCGGAATTGAAACGGTCAAGCGTTTTTTGACACCAATTAACCCTGGCTGCTTTCTGCTCTTCAGTCAACTGGTGGGGTATCCAACGAGAAACTAATTTTCTTACTCCTAATTCTTCATGTAAAATTTTTTGAATTGAGGTCTTTGAGATCTTCAAGGACGCCTCAATCTCGCGATATGTCACATGTCTATCTTCAATGATGAGTTTGCGCACAGCATCGACGTTTTCCTGGGTGACTGCCGTTTTTGGTGCGAAAATGTTCTCGGTTGGGTTCCATTTTTCTAATGACTTGGTGACACTTAAAAATTCACTGTAATGAGAACACCGCACGTATTGTTGTGAAACTTTGAATTTAAGTTTACTGAAGAGTGAGGTTAAGATTCAGTACTGACGTTCGGTCCGCGCGGCCTACTGTGTTTCTATATGCAAAACTTAAAAGACATCCCTCGTGCCATTTTTTTCTTTTTTGTAAAAGTCAAGTCAAAAGTGTCTTTTTTGATTTCTGATTGCTGTGAAATGGAATTTAGCAATGATGAGTACGCTGATATTATTTCTGTGTACGGGTTCTGTAATGGAAATGCTTTAGCGGCGTCTCGGGAGTAACAGCGTAGATTTCCTAACAGACGCCAACCTACCCTGAAGATTTTTACGGAATTGCCAAACTTTCCGGAGTTAGAGGCCATGGTGTCCGGCATACTGTTCAAGAGAAACTGGAAGTGATTAATTTGGCGTTGGATGATCCTAGTACAAGTCCTAGGCGGATTGCAGCCCAGTTACCGTGTTCCCATAGTCTTGCGTGGATAATTTTAAATTTTGAAGTTCAACATCCTTATCTTCGCTTTTCTAGATAATTACTTAGAAAATGTGTTAGATGATGTTCCGTTAGCAATGGGAGTACGAGTGTGGTATCAACACGACGGTGCCCCACCGCATGTTCGTAGAGACATAGCTGCTTTGTTGAATAATTATTTTAGACAACGATGGATTGGCAGAAACGAACCCGTATATTGGCCTGCGAGGTCTCCTGATTTGAACCCCCTGGATTTTGTTGTGGGGCGCTTTTAAACAACTAGTGTATTCTGGACAAATTAATACTGTTGATCAGTTACTAGAAAAAATAGATAATACGTTTCATCAAATTCAAGAAATAACAAATTTTACGAAAATACGTCTTCCTTTATTAAAAAGATGCCGCACTTGTATCCGTCAGAGTGGTGATCTTTTTGAACATTTATTGGAATGATGCTTTGAATATCTAATTTATATTTTTTTTATTTTTACGAAAACAATGCACTCTAGGAAACAAACATAAGAGTAATATGTTACATTTTGCGTCAGCAAGCAGTCGGAAAATGTAACAAATATTATTACGCAATACAAATTGAAGGTGAAATTCGAAAAACTGCGCGTTTCGAGAAAAACATTGACATACTATTTTTATTTGAAAAAATAATGTCACTAATCCCCTGTATCTCCGCCACATGCACTTTAATTTTAAATAAAGACTTCTGAGACTTTTTAGGTAAATTCATATACCAAATTTTAGTTCATTCCAGTTGACGGTTAAAAAAATGTTTTTCATTTTTAAACTTCAGCATCCCGTACCTTTTTAATGAAGCCCTGCAGGAAAAAATGTTGCCTAGAAGACCTCCCTTAAAATGCTGTCCTGTGTAGGATGTTTCATTTTTGGTCACGACTTGTGAATCACCCTGTATACATATAGGCTATATTTTATGACAGTATGAAAATTTGGTATATCACAAGGTGTTTTTAGCCATGCCTTTCGGACAAATGCCCATACTAGAATATGAAAGTAAAGTAGCTCACCAGAGCTTAGCTATTGCAAGGTATGTCGCCAAAAAGGTGGAACTAGTAGGCAAAAATGACTGGGAAGATTTGGAAATCGACGCCGCTGTGGATACACTTAACGACCTTAAGATAAGTATGTATGATCCATAATTTTAGACATTATTACCTAGTTTCCCCAAAAAAACGTTTTTCATAGTCACCTGAAAAAGCTACTGAGAGTTCGCGCTTCAGAGCGACAAAGTAGCAGAGGCGCTTATTTTATACGAGTATTAGTCTCGAGCTTGTCGATTGCGCTTTGCAATAAAAGCTGTACTGGGACTTTATAAAAGTGTCATGAATGGTCCACCGGAGCTCCGCAAAGATATCAGCTAGCGTTAGCCTGATAGCTAGTGGCGGGATATACATTTTTATCATGAGTGATCTTACTTATTTGCTTTATATATTTTATAAACAGAACAAAATAAAGTATAATCATCTCTCATAAGATATACAGGGAAAACCAAATTGGTCTAACGGCTGAGTTCAATGTGTATGAGAGAGAAGCGCAAAAAGTGTGTATCAACACATGTTAGAAACAGATAAAAGCTGGCTGAAGAGCAAAGGTCATCACCACATTGCCTAGCTACGGTGACGCAGAAGGTTGCGCAATCTTCAGCGTCGCCAATATGTTACACCAGAAAATGTTCCCTCAGGGTTCTACAATAGGTTAGGTTACTATCAAACCCAAGAAGGAGGTCTGTTCTAACATTTAATTTAATATTTTGTTTCCATTTTAATTAGCATTTTTTAATTCAATTTTGGTGCGACTCATCTATGATCATGAAGGTGGAAACCCTGCCTCATAATATACGAAATGTGATGTTGCCAAGCGAACCAATGATGCAATGTTGCAAAATTTGTGGTGATCCTGACCTTTCATTTCGACCTAAAATGGAGCTCCGTTAGGGCCAATCCGGAATCGATCCTAAACAGATTCGACACAATTCACCATTCAAAAATGTATACGCTAAAAATAAAGCCATTACATGGTATAGAGAATAAACTAACGCATATTTTCAATGTGCACCTTAATTCAAAGAACTGGTGTAACATATTCTTCCACTTATACAGGAAAATGTATTACAGATCTTATATTTTTTAATGTAATGGATGAAATGAAATTTAGTATCAAATTTGTATACGACAATTATCATCTTGGCAAAACTTGTTTTATATCGTGTCACGCGGTTCTAAGTGATGAAAGAAATACTATTAAAAATGGTGCCAAATCCGAAATACTTGGAAAAATTTCGCAGTTCATAGCTTTCTTGCAGTTTCTAATGTAATATCCCATCATTTACCTAATCCTAATTTACACTTAGATACTTATTTTGGCAAGCCTCATTTTTGTTACGTTCTCGCGCATTTAGCGATAAGTATTTATTGCTTGATTACACACACTGTTTGTTTAATTCTTGATTATCCGTGTTTTTCATTAAAACATTTCAACCTGAAATCATGAGTTTAAAAGATTTTTTTAACATTTTGCTTTTAAACAAGTAATAAAACATTGTTTTTTTGCTCCGGAAATGTATAAATTGAACTCACACATTCCCCGAAGAGTATTTTAGTCTTAGTTTATTTGAAAACATTGTTAATTAATTGTTAATAACGCGCTATGTGCCATGCGCGCGTCATTAAGCATATGCGAGAAGCGCTATTTCGAGGCGTCAATTTAAACACTTGGAAACCTTAAAAGCAATATTCTTGGCCGAGTTTTTGAGCATTGATAATGCCCATTTTTATCGGTTTTCAATCACAACTCATAACTTAAAAAAATGTTCCAGGACCTTTTTTATTTTATTCAGAATGATCCAAAGAAAAACTAAAGAAATATTTTCGAAGTGAAAAAAAAACAGTTCTCGATTCGTCTTAAGGGCCATTCAACAAATGCAAGGTTTTCGTCCCTTCTACTATTTTAAGCGTATAGAATTTTACGCAGTCTATACCAAATCATGGTATCGGATATTTTGTAATTTAGTTTTGTGTTCATTAAGTGTTTTTATACATTTATAAATGTAATATTTCGCACATTAAACTTCAAGTTCCAAAAAGATAGTCTCTGCAATTGATAGTTGATCCACAGAATTGTCAAGCTTCCATTACGAGTCCGATGAGAATATCAAGAAGTCAAAAATGGAATTAGTACTCAAGGAACAATTGCCTTATTATTTGAAGAAGTTAAACGATCAGGCGGAGAAGAATGGTGGACATTTAGCCTGTAATAGGGTAAGTATCTCATTCATTTACCTAACATGACTGGGATTCAAACCTGTACCAAAACTATACTACCTCCCTTGCCAAATTCGGCACCATCTCAATATATGACGCTTTTGGGATATACAAGGTGGGCCATTTAAAGTGGAAGCATCAAGCAACCCTATATCCTTGTTAAAAGTTATTGTTTGGTGCGGCATGTGCGCAAATATCGACATCGAGACGTATTTTTTTGAAGACGATGATGGAGCTGCGGTAACCGTCAATGGTGAGCGTTATCGAGCCATGATAACGAATTTTTTGAGGCTAATTGTTTGTGAAAATGACATGGACGACATCCAAAAATAGCGTTTTTGTCTGCCCACCGAGATCACCTGATTTGACGCCACCAAACTTTTATTTGTGGGGCTATTTGGTTATCAAGGCCAGAGGTGGCCATTTGCGGGATTTCATTTTTGAAAAGTAATTACAAAAAATCTCCTTGGATCAAAATAAAAGACTTTTCAAATGAACAACAAAAAATATTTTTTTAATGTATTTTTGTTTTATTAACAAAAGCTTCCACTTTAAATGGCCCACCCTGTATATATATATATATATATATATAAATAGGTATATTCGGAAATGGTAAGAGATGGGATACGAAGTCAGGTAATGGACTGCGCATTCAGGTAGCTAAGAAAATGGCACACAGAAAGTTTCACAAATGAGAGTATTTCCGGAGGAGGAGGGAAAAAACTGAATTTTCCCAAAATCGTTTTTATTTGTTACTAACTTTCCGTTTTACGTAAGATTTCAAAATAAATTGCACATTAATGGTGCCACTTTTTCTTCTTTACCTGATGGAACAATTAGAATTGCAACATGGCATTTCGTCTTATGTCCTCAGTCATCGACTTTATTTTTTCTTATGGACGCCATATTGGATTTTGTACCGGCGGAGCGAGTTTTTAACTCTACTGCTATTTTCATAGTATCTTTGAAAATGACAACTTAGATCACATGTTCATTCAATTACATGACCAATTATTAAACATTACTTCAGCTTTTCAGTATCGTGTTTAAAGGACATTCGGATAGTATGTCCATTTTTCGATTATATCAAGTGTTATTTTAGGCGGCATATAAAACTTTGCCATCAAACGCTTTCAAGCAGGTATCGACCGGGCGATGCCACCCTAAGAATGTTAACTATTCCAAACAAGTTTTTCTACATTTTGATTTAAGAACTGGAACTACAACTACAAAAAATGACGTCAAGTAGGTTGACTTTACACTTTCCGCACAAACTTGACCCTTTGAGAAAAGAGTCACTCAAACAGGTCCATACAATTAGTCCGTACACGCTCTTTCCCTGGCCTACCGGTAGTCCATCTGGCAACGTCGCTTCTTCCCGATACCTAACCCGGTCAGACGTGGCACCGCGGCTACAGCACAGGAAACACTATACTGTGGCGCGGCAGTAATACCAGAACACTTACCAGGACCGGCACGCCATCGAGAGCAGAAGCAGTTGCGGCCGTTACGTACGCGATCCGTCTGCTGAGAATATTTTTAAGGTCTAATGTACTGGGAAATCTATGTGTGAAATATTATTAATAGGTGCGGCGTATTACCAAGGTTGGGAGCGTACAAATATACTAACATCAAAAAATTTAATTATACCCTCCCCACCCCTCTACATCCCCACCCTCAATTTTTTTGCCTCTATTTTTTTTTCAAAAATGATGAGGATACTCTGAAACGTCACAAAACGAAGTTTGTCGATTTTTATTTTTTTTTATGCATGAGAAGTAAAACCATCTTGGGAAAATTCAGTTTTTTTCGTCATCTCCTGATATGCTAATCGCCATTTTCTTTGTTACCTGAGGCCTGATTGTAAATGAGTTTTGACCGTTGAAATTAATTTCGATGGCGCCTTGTGATGATATACTTGATTCGCTATAATAATTTTGATATCTGCTTTTATCGATCTTCCATATTCAAATTATCATGGCATTGTCAACACTCTCATAGCGAATCAAGTATATTGTCACAAGGTGCTATCGAAATCAATTTCAATGGTCGAAACTCATTTAGAATCAGTTCCCTGATTGCGCCATTTTACCCTCACTTAACCGTCTTCGTAGCTCTTACTCTATCAGAGATCCAGTGCTGAGGGTGATTTGAAACATCCGATACGTCTAAATAACAGTACGAGTTCCGCTTCGTAAAGATATAGGAAAACTTGCTTGGCATTATCAACATTCACAGGCTGGTACCGTCTCGAATGAGGGATAATGGCCTGCTACAATAGCGTTTGACGATAAAATTGTATTTGCTACCTAGAATGGAACCTACAAATCATATTTTTGTTTTGAGCTTTGTTGGAGAAATCTTATTTTTGTTTTTTTTTTTAGTTAACTTGGGCCGATATGTACCTGGCTGGCATAGCAAAATACTTCAACTACGTGGCTCAAAAAGATATATTTGCAGATGCACCCGCGCTCAAGAAAGTTTGTGATTACGTATACAACCTGCCCAGTATAAAAGCCTGGATGAATAAGAGTCCTAAAACTCTGTTTTGATTTTGAACTAAATTTCTATTTATTTATTCAATTCTATACCACCAGTGGGTATTTTGGCATCATTCATTAATTTTATATTAAGTTCTATTATGAAATAAAGAGTTTTTTTTAACAAATGCATTTTATTTGATATGGTTAAAATGTTAATTACAATGCTTAACATCTATTAAATACATTTCATTTATACTAAAAATGTAGAACTTTAAAAAATAGTTATTAAATATACTAAGTGACATATAAATCCGAACACCCAGTTTAAATGGTTTTATTTTAATAAAATTTTGTATAAGTACTTAATGAAGCATAATAAGTAAATGATAAAAATTTCAAAATGATTGCACTGCTTTAAAGCCCTTTGACCTTTAATAATGTGTGGATGCACCCTGATTTGCTACGCATTCTCCAACGCGCCTAGGCATGTTTCTGATCAGGTGGTCAATGTCCTCCTGTGGTATCTCATTGCAGGCAACCACCAACTCCTCTCGAAGTGCTTCTAGAGTCTGAGGAGGACGTAGCAAATTGAGCAATCTCCTACCCATCATATCCCACACGTGCTCAATTGGGGATAAGTCGGGAGATCTTGGTGGCCATGGTAACAATGTGACATCATTATGTTGAAAGAAGTCTATTGTGACTCTTGCAACATGTGGTCGGGCATTATCTTGTTGGAAAATTGGATCTGCCAGGGTGTCAAGATAGGGTAAAAGATGGGGTTCTAGAACTTCGTGGATATAACGCTACGCGTTCATGTTACCTCTGATGAAGATTAAAGGTGACCTGGAACCATAAGCTACAGCACCCCAAACCATAACTCTAACAGTGTGATGAACGTGTCTTTCAACAAAAAACTGTGGATTCCTCCTTTCACCACGTCGCCTTCTAACCCTGGCACGACCATCGTGCATGCCTAAACAAAATCGAGACTCGTCACTAAAGACAATACTGTTCCATTCCTGATCCCAGAGTAACCGTTGTCTGCACCACTCAAGGCGATAACGTCGGTGTTCTCGAGTTAAAGGGAGGACCCAGTGTGGCCGGTATGAAAACAAGCCAAAACTTCTCATTCGTCGGTAAACACTTCGCATGCCAATAGGTCTTCCGTGTTCTGCAAACCATTCATTTGCAATGGACCTGGTAGTGGAGAAACGGTCCCTGAAGGCCAATAATCTTAGGCGGCGATCTTCACGGTCCGTTGTTCTACGGCGGCGTCCAGTGCCCCTTGCTCTTTGCGTACGGCCTTCTCGAAGCCATGCCTGACAACACCTAACCACAGTATCTACACTTCTTTGCACTCTAACTGCAATTGCCCGAAAAGAAAGTCCAGCTTCCCGAAGTCCCACTATACGGCCCCTATCAAACTCACTAAGTTGACGAAATCGTACAGGTCTCCGTACTCTAGGCATCGTAACCGATCGTAAAGGATGTCAAGAACCAAAATCCGCCAACGTTGATTCTTTACTGCGGCTGAAATATTCATTTTTAGAGCGTTAGTGAATTTAAAAAAAGCAGTATAAAAACCGGAATGTCCAACTGATAAGGCTGAAAATTTTTTCACTTGTTATTTACAGTAAGATAAATACATTCACCAACTTTTATTAAAATAAAACCATTTAAACTGGGTGTTCGGATTTATATGTCACTTAGTATAATTCATATATAAATGCAATATTAATGAAATAATTACAGTCCTTAAGTATACGTAACAGTAGAAAAGCGAGAGCAACAGAGGAGGAAGATTTTATACAGAAAAGATTGTATTTTTTATGAAACGAGATACTAGTATACTATAAAGACTTTGGACATAAATAGCATAAAACTGATATGTACTGAGCGCCTTATAAGTAATATAAGTTCAAGAAACCTGCTTTGACTAGCAACAGATCTAGCAACATGCTCTAGTCCATAATATGGATCAAAATATCATCAAAACGGGAGTCCGACAACAGACTGGTACAACGCCACCCAGCGTTCATAGGGCAGACGTGTAGATTTTCCGTGTAAAAGAAATAAGTAACACCTAGTAAGTACACTCTCATATACAGTACTTTTTAAAAGTATGCCCCTCCTCCTTGAACAGGTCAAGTTAACAGATTGAAATTCGGAATGGAGAAATAAATGCATAAATACTACATTTGTTGGAACATTTTTTTAAATGAAACAGGGGGTCGTGCGAAGACTCATGTTGACGCTCTTCAAGAGTAGCTGTATTTCATAATCTTAGAAAATAACATCACTATGATTGAAAATGGTGGACTGGCAATCAATCAAAGTTGAGCGTTTTTATACATTGAATCGCTTATAACTGAACAATTAATTATCAAAACGCTATAGTCTAGTATATCAATCTGGGAAGGATCTATCCGAATAAGCAATAAAATGTGGACGATTCCTTTAAAAAAATTATATATCTCTTTTCTAACTGAATGTCCCATGATTTATTGAACATTCAGATGGACTTTTGCAAAAGAAGATTGATATAAGATGCTATAACTTTTTGTTGATATATTGTTGAGTCTAAACAATGCAATGTACAAAATCCGTCTATTTTGGGTTACAAAGTACTTATCTTAAAATATAGTATCCATGCTTGGATTTTATACACTCCGAGTTTCAGGTTACTAACTTGATCTGTTCAAAACATAATTAGGGAGAAAGGCCGTTCTGAAAAGCCCTGTATACTCAATATGATTCCACGTTATCATCAACACCAATCAAGAGTATTGAAAACTAAGTTAGTCAGTTACTGAAAATATACAAAACTGCTGAACTGTTTCGTATAAGAAAGAAGTAGAACAATGTATCTTCAGTATTCAAAAGATCTTGCGTATACAGAACTCCTAAAGCCGCCAATTGTATACATTAGTAACATACCAATTTAGTTTTAAATTCTCTTTGGTGGTGCTCTCAAAAAGTATATAATATATCTCTAATGAGAAAAAAATGCCCATTTATGTCCTACTATTCCCTAAAAAACTAAAAAGTACGCAACGTAGATGTCGTCTTCATGCGTATATACGAGTAGGTATTTGGCGAATATTTATTAAATAACGAATACTTAGTGTGCATGATGCATGGTTTAGTCACACTTACAGGGTTACTGGCAATTCGGCGCACTTCTTCAAGGACATGTAGGAAACCCAAAATGCAACGTATTTGATCACTTGATTAGTGGTTTGTCAAGACTCTCAGTTTTTGCGATTTATTAACAATCACCCAAAACCAGGCATTTCAGAATTAATAATTAAAACGCTACGTGAGAAAGGCGTGCGAATTCAATTATTTTTCATATTTAGAAGTTAAGGTAACATAACACAACCATTGAAAATTCAAAATGCTACACAAAATACAATAACTGGTAATCTGAGAAATAAAATAGCTTTCGTATTCGGTTTCATTCACAAATCATGCTCAATGGAAGCCTCTTACTTAGTTGCAGGATAGAGGTTTGTATTTAGTTTCTAGATCCTACTGTAATTCCTAATTGAATTTCAATATTTAAGGTGGTGGTTTTATTAAGTTTTTGAAAAATTTGCTGGAAAGCTGAAAGCAATAGTTATTATCGTTAGCTACCTCTCTGTACGGAGGCAGAATACCATCCAATTGCGTAACTGCTAAGCATTTGTGTGTAATGTGTGTCGATAAGTATCTCCTGCCTTGCGAGATAGCTCGTTTGGAACAACAAGAAATTAGTAGCTAAGCAAGGTGTTTCCTAACTGAATATCCATACCTATTCAAAAGGGCGATTTTTGATTCCATTTTAAGAAGAAAACTTCATATGAACATATGTCTCAAACATCTTAACTTTTGAGAGGCAGGATGGACAAAGTTTTTAATATAGAAAATCAGTGGTACGGCACTGACTTTGAATTTGTTTAACACACCGTTAATGTCACCCATACCGTTAATGTCTGTCAAAATTGGCTAGTGAAATTTCGTACAACCACCACCTGATGGAATTAAAAAAATATAGTATACATTAAAAAATGGATCTTGATGCATAGTACATGTATGTAAGTATATTTCATCAAAATATCTAAAGTGGTATTCACAGATAATAAAAAGTGGTTGATGCTTGAAAGCTTTACCACCCTGTGGCTCAAAAGCTATGAGGTTTAGAACATACGTTCATATGAAATTTTCTTCTTGAAGTGGACCCAAAAATCGTTACATTAAATATTGAGATTTAGTCAGGAAACACCCTGAATGGATATTTTTGAGTAATTTATATGATCAATGACCAAGCAACTTTTAAAGCTAGACACAACTTTGTTCTAAGAAAGACTGAAAACGAAAACTATTACTTTTCAAAATAGCTTTATTTTATCATGTTCAGTATTTCTTTATATGATTGTATTCACTTAATAAACTACGAAACCTAATCGTAATCAAAAAACCTCATAGATTGATGAAAAACACAAACATTATGAAAACTTCAACACTATTGATTTTTGCCCATACATATATGAGGTCAAATGTGTTGCCTTTTTGGGTCCCCTAACTCTGTCCCACAGCTCTGTAAAAATACCAAATATTAACAATTCATGAGTTTTGTCTACCTTACACGAGAAGTGACTTTTCAATATCTGCATTAGCCCAACTAAGTAGTTACATGCAATAGCGAATAGCAATTATTCACCGAATACCAACATAATTGTATGGGTGGCACATAATATAAGAGCAGTTAGATTTTTGCCTGTAAACAACAATTTATAGCATTGACGTCAGTCAGCTAATTGTAATACCTTATTATTTCAAAAACAGATACATTGAACACGTCATAATCAGTAATTAAAATAATTCAGTGAACACAACAACATTGAATTTCAGTTTATATGGAGATATACTCAATGTAACTGTTGAAACTTATCGTGTGGTTGTCTCGCTTGTCCCCTATTCATTTCCATGTTGTCCTGGTAGCAAAATAAAATTACAAATGGAGAAAATTTCCAAAGTCCAAAAACTTTGAAATGCAACATTAAACTAATTTTCTTCGACATATGTGCATTTGTTTAGAGGCTAAAAGGATATTGAAATATATTGAGACTTCTGCCATAAGTAGAGAACAGTAGCAAATTGTAGGGGGAAGAGAAGGGTTTTCACCATCCAAGGCTGCAAAAAATTCTGTTATCTCACCGACATACGAAAGCGTTAATTTACCTTCCTAATGTTTCCAACAAAACTGATAATCCCAATAATAAGTCAACCTAACTCCGCTTCTGGTACTGGCCTTTCCCTAATCACAGTGAATCAGCGTCATCTACAACTTCCTTATCTTCTTATACGTAATAGTTTTTAGTATATAGTGTACTTCAGAAAGATCCTCCCAACTTATTTTGTGAGCGGGTGAAATCTAGGGTGATGAATTTCAACAATTTGTAACAATTTTTTAATTAGAATGTGGAGTCAAGTGAAGCTCATTCTGAAGCTCCTTATGAGTACTTTATAATCCTAGAATATGAAATCACTATCTTTCAAATTGACGGACTGACAGGCTGTTAAAGTTGAGCACAGGGTGTCCCAACCAAAATAGAAAATATTTTTATGAAAAAGATACCAGAAAACGGTGTTTGCAGCCATATTGATATCTCATTGATGTATATCTCTTAATTATTTGAAAATATACAAGGTGTTGCACATTTCCGTAGCACAGCAAACAAGTGTTTTTTAAGAAACACCGTATATTTTGGGTTGGGAAACACTGTTCTACAGTCATAAGGTACAAGCTTCTAAGTGAGTGATCGTAGGACTCCCCATTCCACTTAAAAGAATATCACCTGCTTATTTTACGTTAGAATATAGTATGCATGCATGACCTTCATTACTTTCAGCTTACTACTTGACCCGTTCAAAAATACGTGGACGAGAAAGCATTATATACCTCAATCTTTTTCACTGTTAAAATCCGTATATTACTCTATGCAATATTGCAACATCTTTGGGAACATTTCGATTAGTTCGTTGATGATTTGCGAGGAAGACCTTTAAATTAAATATATGTAATTACACATATAGAATATGCAACTTAGCCCATATTTTAGCAAAGTAGCGTTTTAAATAATTGGAAAATTATTTTGAATACTTATTTTGTTTTTACTTTCAAAACGATTATATGAATTATTGCAAACACTATATGAGTCATTTCCTAAAAATGTTGTCACTTCAGTTAAACGTATACGATAACGTTGCATAATCTATAAATCTAATGTTACACTTGAAATAAATTATTTTTTACACTTGAGTGGCGATGGAAGTTTAAGTCAACAACTATAGCATATTAATAACTCTGACGGTATAAGAAAGTGGCACTTATTACAGCAGACATATTTGACAGTAGACGGTTTTTCTGTTTCTACAGCCTATTGTATTCCTTCAACAAAAGCTGTGTCGTCCAGTGTATGCAGCCAGTTGAATATCATCATGTTCCGTTCATACTTGGATAACGGTTTGCCTCTTTCCCTTTCTACATCACGAATAGTGAGTGGTAAATTCTTCCCACCCCTCTGCTTGCTGGACCGCACCACAGCTTGGTTTGAACTGGTACTGCTGGTTCCTGTCGGACTCTTACTTGGTGTTGGACTAGAACCTGCAATGTGAAATATCTTACTATAGAGTCCATCAGAAATTGTCGTATGCAGCAGCAATACACGCATACAGCAAAAATCGAAGGAGTTTTTGAATTATTATAAGAATAGTTTGATCACCGTGTAGTCGTTATAATTTAAAAACCGACTATAGTGGCTTGCTAGGGTATTATGAAACATATGCCAAGTTATTGAAGACATATATATATATTAGAATATCGAGAAGTTGTTAAAAACATTTTCTAACTTCGTCAATCATTTAGATAATAGTTAAATACAAGTGCAATACAAGGATATAGTCATAACTAGACTTTCAACATCCCTTAGGAATTCAAGTTCTTGCTCAGTTTTTCATCTACTTTTCTTTATCAATGGTGAATTTATAATCTTAGCTTATGAGGCATCAGAAATTCGGACAATAAAAGTAAATCTATGCGGGCGATAAGTCATGAAATCACAGGTCAAAACAATCATAAAGACATTCATATCAAAGGAGATCCAAATCTGATACCACAGCGGTACAATGAATATTTGTTATCAGCAATTCCGCTTTTACTGAAAGATGTGACACAGGTACCTTTTAACTGCAATTTACAAGAAAACGACCAATCATTATACTTAAAACCAATGACTGTTGATGAAGTGTGTGAACTGTCGAGGAGGATAAAAAATAAATTCAGCTGTGGTATACATGAAGTTCCAACAACAATAGTAAAACTTTCCATTCCAGTTTTAAAACATATTTTGTGCTTACTTGTTAATAATGCGGATCATTCCCAGTGAATTTGAAAATAGTTGTTATCAAACCAATTTTTAAAAAGGGTAATCCAGAGCAATTAGAAAATCAATATTTTAACGGGTTTTTCAAAATTATTTGAGTTAGGCATTAGTAAGAAATTATTAGAATTTATGAATTACTGTGATTTATTTAATACACATCAGCATGGATACCTATATGGGAGATCAACAGATACTGCAATCTTTCAATTTGTTCAAACAGTAGGTATTTAAGCAATTAGAAGAGGGAAACTTGGCGGTTGGTTTCTACCTGGTCTTGTCCAAAGCTTATGATTGCATTGACTGAGACATATTGTTATTAAAGCTACAAAGATATGGTGTAAGAGGGACGGCGCGCGGCGCTAGAATTGTTCAAGTCATACCTCCATAATAGACAACAGAGGGTTGAAATTGTTAAAGGAGGTCAAACTTACAAGTCAAACATTGAGTTGACTTCAACCGGCATAGCACATTGTAGTATACTTGGGCCCATTTTGTTTGTGGCTTTTTAAACGATCTCTGTTTTGTTACTAGTGGTGATGAGAGCAAGCATACAATTATCTTCTACACTGTTGACACAAATTTAGTGTTGGGTGGGACAAGTGTAGAGGACCTAACTGCTAATGGGAATCTCTTATTCAGAAGTGTGAATAAATGGTTTTCTGAGAACAAACTAGTGCTGAATAAATCCAAAACTGATGCAACATTATTTAGAACTAAGCAGAGTAAAGTCCTTAAGCCACAATGTATCGATATAGATGATCATCAACTGCAGCTGAGTGAAAGTGTAAAATTCTTAGGCATCTATATTAATGAATTTTTAGATTGGACAACACATGCATTCGAACTGCTGAAGAGGCTCAATTCCATTTGCTATGGTAATATTAAGATATCTAAATAATACGAGTATGAAAATATTGTACCATGCTAATTCTAAAAGTGTTCTAAAGTATGGGATTATCTTTTGGGGGCGCAATAGGATTATTCAAAAAAGTTTTTTTGTTCAAAAAAGAGTAGTACGTCTACTAAAGGGACTAAATTTCAATGAAACTTGCAGGGGGGTGTTTAAAACTGAAAAAATCATGACTATGTATGCCATCTATGTGTATGAGTGTCTTATATTTTTTTCAAAAATAAAAATTTATTTGAGCTTGAGGTGCAAACTGTTTATGATACTTGAACAGTCAATGTTAATTATCCAATAGATAGATTATCCTCCACAGAAAAAATCCCTATTTAGATGTGTTTAAAATTTTTCAACAATCTACCAAATGAAATTAAAAACATAAACAGTTTACATAAATTTAAAAAGACTATTAAGCAATTTCTAGTACAGTCAGAGCCTTATACCAGAGCTGTGTTAGTTCTATGGGAGTTGTAATAGTTTCAGATTGTAGCTGTTTTAAGATAAATAACCATGTAACACAAAAAAAGGTCTCAGGTAAACTACTATAGTTACGGTGATAGTGACGCATCATTTCATTTTGTAGTGGCTATACATTTTTTGTAATGTCATTGTACAATTTGAAATATAGATTTTTATTATTATTATTATTATTATCAGAACAAAATGCGACATGGGTCTGCGAGTGAGGCACTTGCTCCGAAAGTATTAGGGACCGTTCTAGCCGTAACAGCTGGTGGCCGTAACGCGATGGTATCCCAACTCGTTGCCACGTTGATGAAATATGTCAACTGTGGATATCATTGTGACACTTCAGTTAACGTGCCAATCATACCTTCAAGAAATTATTGTCACCCCAATAAAAGTACTTCTCCATCGCGTCTTTGTTTTCTTTGAGGTAATTCACTTGGAGCAGCAGTGTTAAAAATATTCCATGAAAGTTGTTACAAGAAGTGTGACAAGCTAATTAATAATGGAATAGAGATCACAAGACTCAATAAATATGTTTATGTACATATCATTTTCCGCAGATCGTTCAGAGCTGCAAAACTGCCAAAACTTTTGTCTTAACAGAAAAAAACAGTAGTAATTTGATCATTATTTATTTTCCATGTTATCACAGAAATAGAAACAATATCGGCCTGCCTCCGCAAGACGGCGAGGAGTCTGTTTTGCAGCATTATAATCGACCAATTGTGTACTTGTCATTTTCGTCGCGACCGCAGCGTAACATTATTCATGGGCCACTTGAAAAGGGTCTGTGCACTACTTCGACACAAGCCGAACGCGCTTGCTTTTGTATATATCTACAAAATCAAATGCGCGATTTAAGCATAAGCATGTGCTGCAATTTATGCAGATCGGTACAGATCTAATGCGAAGTACGATATCTGATTGGTCGGTCGGTCCTCGGTATTGGCATATTGGTCTTGTCGTGTAACGTAGCTTAAAATTTGAATGCGAAAAATTTTTTTTTCAGGTATTTTGGGTCTTGCGCTGAGTGACTAGTGACTCACTGACTGACTGTGGCTGTGCAGAAGGGTAGCAAGACAATGGATGTGGTTTACAGACTTATCAGCGTGAAACGAGTCTGGAAATACACATTTGAAGAAAAAATTGAGCTGAAGGTGTCAGGTCGACCGCTGCCGGACCTATTTATAGAAACACAGGGCGTTAGTCGGGGCAGGGGCTATACGCGGCATTTCAGCAGGGAGATTTACTCCAGAAATGACTGGATTTGTGGGTGCAGCAGGATGAATGTACTTTTCTGCTTTCCTTGCATACTTTTCGGGGGTGACAAAGCTTGGACGGAGGTAGATGTTACAGATTTAGTGCACCTGAGTGAAAAAAATAAGAAGCATGAAAACTCTAAAACACATCTTCATAATTCAATGAAATTGGCTTTATTGGGGACTGTTAACATCAGAGCTCAGTTAGATTCAGCATATTGGAGAAATATACAACAGCATAATGATACCGTTACAGAAAACAGGTACGTTCTATCAAAAATAATCGATTGTATAAGATTTTGCGGAGCATTTGAATTGACGCTACGGGGCCACGACGAAACCGAGAGCTCCCAAAGCCCGGGAATATTTCGTGGACTGATTAATTTTTCTGCTGAGCTTGATACAACCTTAAGCGAACACATAAAAAATGCTTCAATATTTAAAGGAACTTCGAAAGAAATAAAAAAATATCTACTGGATTGTTTGTCATGAAGAAATAATAAAACAGATTAACAGAGCCTCGTATTTGGCGATAATAGCAGATGAAACAACTGACATTTCGGGGAAAACCCAACTGGTAACAATTTTCATATACGTATTTAACGGCGAACCAGTAGAACATTTTTGGAATTATATGAATCCCGAAAAATGTGACGCTGATACTCTCACAAGACATACTTGTATTTTGAGCGTCGTAGATCCATTAATAGAAAATTTCCCTAACAAACTGATTTCACAAAGCTATGATGGAGCCGCGGTAATGGGCGGACATAATGCTGGAGTACAGGCAAAAATTAAACAAAGATATCCATTTGCTCACTATGTGCATTGCTATGCGCATCAGTTAAACCTGATTATGTCCCAAACTGCTTCCGCAAATGCTCAAGTTCGGGTGTTCTTTGGGGATGAAAGATATTCCTGGATTTTTTAATAATCATCCTCAACGCGTAGAGGTACTGAACAGAATTGTGTGTGTGAATCCACAAGGAGCAACAACTCGTTGGAATTTTAATATTCGAACAATAAATGTAGTGTTTGAGAACAGAGAATCACTCATTGAATGCATGGAAGAAATAGAAGAAAATTTCACTAATGAAACCGTTTGCAAGGCAGCTTGAGGTATTCGGCGTATGTTAAACCATTCTGTTTTCGTGTTTTGGTTGACATTTTTTCATCATGTCATGCCTCACGTCGACATCTTGTTCAACCAGTTGCAGCAGAGAAAAACCGAGCCAGCGCAAGTTAAAACGGCTATCGATAATTTTGAAAAATGTATTGTCGATGTGAGAAATAGAATTGATGATATAATAAATGAAGCCAAAAGTATTTGCACTGAACCCCACGGCAACAAAAGGGGACGACGTAATGATAGCAGTCACGATCACCGAGTTGCCGCATTAGAAGTACGACAATATAGTGAATTCTGCAAATGACAGATTTCAATTCAAAGATCATTTGGTAGCCGCATTCCTTTTTTCCCCGAACACTTTGGAGAATACTGTGGTAAGTTTCCTAATGACAAGTTGCAAACTACCTGCCTGGCCTATCCCGAATTAGAAAAAAGTCGTTTAAAGACAGAGTTGTCTGTTATTTATGCACGGAATGATTGCCGAGATTTACATGGAACTCTGTCTCTTTTGAAATTTTTGATACAAAATAGTTTGGAGGAAACACTAAAAGAAACAAAAAAGCTATTAGAAATTATTGTTACAACTCCTATGTCAACATCACAGGCTGAGCGAAATTTCTCAACAAAATAATCAAGACTTTTCTTCGTAATACTATGACCCATGATAGCCTTACAGCGTTGTCGATGCTGTCCATTAAAAAGGAATTTATTTCGGCCATGGAAAACTTCAACGGGAAGGTGATCGATAAATTTGCTGCCAAGAAGCAGCGCAGGATCGAACTGACATATAAAAAATAGGTAAGTTCGGATTTGCAGAACCCCTGTTTTATTTTTCCACGAGCCGCCACTGATTGCACATCATATTTATTAATACGCTTCTAAGGGAGCAATTACTTTTACTGCATTATATATATATAGCTGTGATCAAGGGGGCGTCATGGGGATCCCTGCCCTAGGCGAACCCCACCGCTCTTCAATTATCACAAAGGTATTCGCGCTAATCAAACCGCTGCACCCCCTCTCCCTGCTCTTCGATTTTGAATTGTAGGACCCCCTCCCCTCAAACATCGTCACACAGCTAAACGTGCATAAGTTTTCCGATATACATATTGCTGTGACAATAACAAACAACCGGTATCCTACTGAATAATATGAGCTGCCGCGACGAGCACAATTTCGTCGGGCATTCTTGCCCGATTTTGTAGCCCATTTCTTGAGAAGTATATGGTCTATACAGCATGTGAAAAGTTTCTGAAGCCCACGATAATGAGTGAACTAATAATGGTACTGCAAACGAAACCCCGCAAATGATAAGAGTTGTTTGAATAGCTGGGCAAAGCTCTTATCAATCTGGGGGCCATTATGGGTTCAAAAATTATCGTGGGGTTCCGGAACTTGGGTGCAATATTGCCGATATATATACATATAACCGGGCATTACCGTTATAGTTCTTGGCAAATAGAAAAACAAAATATATGTTCATTGATCTGGCTGAATTGCATTTGTGAAATACGCTACTATATATTATTTTCTGTCAGACAGGATTTTTAAGAATGAAAATAGACCATTTATATTTCACTCATTCTTACTAGTATATCGGTATACTTACTTATTGATTTAGTTTATTGATTAACGTATCCTACGCAAAAATAGCCAACCTAATTATTCCAGATGAAATGAGGTACTGTAGCTCTATTTCTATGAGAATTTGTAAAAGCTACCTTTTTCTCTTCGCAATAATTAGGAATCTACTTTGAACAGGATATTCTTATAGTTGGCGCTATAGCCAACTATATATATGAGGATATAACGCTATCTACGAGACACTAACCTTTCCAAGTAAACTTCTAATTATTGCGGAAGGGAGAAAGTCAGCTGTGACAAATTCTCATAGATGACGCTACGGTATCTCGTTTCATCTCGGATAATTTTTCAGACGCTCAAATATGGTATTAGGTGGGCTATGTTTAGGTAGAATACGTTAATCATTGTTATTCTACAACCTCAAAACGAGGCTGCTAGTTGCTAGCAGTTGCTTTTGGTTAGAACGCCAAAGCAACGCAGCTTTTTTTTTATATATATCGAAACATCCGCGCAGGCAGAAGCCTAAATGCCGGAACACATCAAGCTGAAATCAGAATCAGTTTGAAAAGACGACCTTCATGTTGCTTTTGGTGAGAAAAATGCATTACGCTTCAATATATACATAACATAAAATGGAGAGGAATAGGAGTAACAGGAAGCACGATTTTTTAAATTATATTTTTAACCAATTTCTGACTACGCTGAAATATGTCCAATAGAAATCTCAGCTACATCAAAAACTTACGAGGGATGTCTTTTAAGTTTTGCATATAGAAATATAGTAGGCCGCGCGGATCGAACGTCAGTACTGAATCTTTACCTCACTCTTTAGTAAACTTAAATTCAAAATTTCACAACAATACGTGCAGTATTCTCACTACAGTGAATTTTTAAGTGTCGCCAAGTCATTAGAACAATGGAACTCAACCGAGAACATTTTCTCGACATGATTTATTACAACTTTCAGAGACAATTATCGCAACAAGAATGTCTTGCTGAGTTACTGTCTGTTTTCGGCAACGAAGCGCCACATCAGTCGACAATTTTCCGTTGGTATGGAGAATTCAAACGTGGACGGGTGAGTCTTAGCGACGATCCCAGGGTGGGTGCACCAAAACCGGCAGTCACCCAGGAAAACGTCGATGCTGTGCACAAACTCATCATTGAAGCTAGACATGTGACATATCGCGAGATTGAGGCGTCCTTGAAGACCTCAAAGACGTCAATTCAAAAAATTTTACATGAAGAATTAGGAGTAAGAAAATTAGTTTCTCGTTGGATACCCCACCTGTTGACTGAAGAGCAGAAAGCAGCCAGGGTTAATTGGTGTCAAAAAACGCTTGACCGTTTCAATTCCGGAAACTCAAAAAATGTGTACAGCATTGTTAGTGGTGATGAATCGTGGATTTACTGTTATGAACCAGAAAATAAACGACAGTCGGCTGTTTGGGTGTTCCAAGGTGTTGAAAAGCCAACAAAAGTCATCCGTTCTCGAAGTGTTTCGAAAAAGATGGTCGCGACATTTGTGTCAAAAGCGGGTCATATTGCAACAATTCCTCTTAATGAGCAAAGAACTGATACTGCGGATTGGTATACCACCATTTGTTTGCCAAAAGTCATCACCGAGCTTCGAAAAATCAACTCCGAAAGAAGAATCATCCTCCACCAAGACAATGCAAGCTCGCACACAGCCCAAAAAACAAGGCAGTATTTAACGGAAGAAAACGTAGAATTATTGGACCATCCTCAATATACTCCCGATCTAAGTCCTAACGATATCTTTACTTTCCCGAAAATTAAAAACAGACTCCGTGGTCTAAGGTTCCTGTCTCCACAAGAAGCAGTTGACACATTCAAAAATGCTGTTTTGGATCTGCCAGCAAACGAGTGGAATAAGTGCTTCGAAAATTGGTTCGAGCGCATGCAGATGTGTATTAATCTTCGTGGAGAATACTTCTAAAAACAATAAAGTAATTTAAAACTACCTACCGTGTTGTTTTATTTCCATATGCAAAACTTAAAAGACATCCCTCGTATTATAGCGTTTGTCAGATGCATTCATGTTTCATTATATAAATTATTTCAAGTGTTCAAATCTGAATTGTTAAGCTTTTGACTAAGTCATCTCTATTATTCAAGTACCTACAACTTTTCACAAATGAAATATGTGTACATTTTAGATTATCAGACATCTAAATGAACAGGCCTATTGAAATAACTGCTACAAAATCACTGCGCCTCCCACCCTTACACTGCGCAGTCAGCGTTTCATCGAACGCTTTTTTGTGTTCTGTGCTTCTGTGATGGTTCTGTGAAGTCATTGCATAAAAGTGAGGTTCACTATTTGACAGATATAAAACCACAACAAAATTTTGAATCCTATCGTATTTGAAAAAGAAAAGTTTTGAGAATCAAGACCTCGAAAAAATAGAAAGTTATATTTTTGCGAAAAATGAGCTCCCTACTATTTGGAGAAATCGTAGAACCAAGCACAAGAGCGTTAATTGAAGATGAGTTTGATGAATTCCCGGAATATACCAAGTAAGTGAATTTTCTACATATTATTGGACAAAATTTTACACGGGCATACATTTTAGGCCCTCACTAGACTATGAAGGCGACTTCAGTGTTCCGGCTGCTATCCACTCAATGATTTTCATAGAAACTAAAAAAATTAGAACAGTATTCACAACATGTATGCTAGAACACTTAACTCCAATGTGCACGATCAAAAATGCGGAAATTGAGGTGTACAATTTTGGGAAATACAAATATATGATAGTATTTGGTCAACCCCAGGAACTAGTAATTGGAGAGGCAAGTAAATAATGTCTGATGTCACCAGATACCATGAGCATATTAACTCTTAAATTTTGATTAAACCCTTTCCCTTTGACAATATATTTTTTAAGAAATCTTAGGGTGCAGATTGTGTAGATCTACAACTGATGTTGCAAAAAAGTTCTTGTTTTGAATCTAGACATCTTTCAATATGCTCGGCTCTTCATCAAGTTTTACATCAAATACTGTTTCATGAGGTTTAATGTTCTATATTTGCTTTGCCCAGTTTGCAAACAGTGAAAATTTCTTGTTAAAATAAAGCTGATACAGAAAGTCATGGCTCGACCCTGAAAATATTAAATCACATTGTTGTAACTTAGAACCATGTCACAGAGTACGATATCTAAGGAATCATATATATAGATATAGAACAGGAATACTGAGTATCTTAAATAATGGAATAGTAGGTGAAAAAACATTATATCACTGGAACTTATTATGTCATATATTAAGGCATTTGAACTTTGAATGTCAAGATGCACCTGCTCATTCAAAAAGGTGTAAACAAAACTTTTTAAAGACATAAGTTGTTGTTTTGACAATATAAACTAATTCTATATTTTTTAGTGCAAATCCCATTCACTAATAGAAACTGCAAGTTCAGAATACCACAACCTTAACAACTTCAAAAAATTAAGGCTTCAAATAAAAATTGTATATTTTAGTGATTCTTTTTTTTTATTTGGGTCCAAGGTTTTGGAAAAATATGTTTCCTCTGAACCATTGCATGTTCTATACCATGTTTATTTGGCTTCAATTTTCTTCTTCCATAATCTTGATATGAGCATTTTTTTGCTGATATTACGACTTTTTTAACAAAAGGACCCCTCTTTTGTTTTTGATCAGTGATATCTCAGGAACCAATTGTCATACAGAAAATATAAGGATGTTTCAAAAGCTGAAGTTGAATCTCTAAATGGATTGATTATCATTTATGGGAAAGTTTTGTCATCCTTTGTAATGGCTGGAAAAAACTGGGAAAGGTAATCAGTTTTTTTAACATAGGGCTACATTGCAAATATTGTGAAAATGGCTAATGTTTAGCGCGACTTTTACAGCTTCATATACCCACAATAACACTTTGATCTACATAGACTCTTAGATAACCCATTCCAGCTTTTAAAACTACCCTTATATTTTCTGTGCGATGATTGGATCTACAGATATTGATAATCAGAGCCAAAAGGGCCCTTTTTCATAAAAGATTCCGAAACTCAGCAACAAAGCAAATCAAAGCTAAATAAACAGACTCTTGTGTCTATACAATGGTTTATCAGAAAAAATATTTTCCAAATCCGTGGACCCAAACACAATTATATGAAAAAATCTAATTTTTTTCTTCATACTTATTCATGATCCAAAAACTAGGCATTTGGTGCTTTAAAATGCCTCCCTCAGAACCTGACTAGTACCATTTTTACTGAGATACAGCATTTCAAAGTATCACAAAAATCACACTTTTTAATTAATCCCTTTATTGCTTCAATGTATGTACTGTTGTTTTGTATTCATTTTCTCGAATATTCACACTAGATTTAAGAATGGATTTGGCTTTATCAAAAGCGAAAATCAATCAAATTGTTCCAGATTGTGCATTATTTCCATGACTGGATTATTAAGGCTGAAAGTATTTTTGGAATCACTTCAGACTCTTCAGGAAATTACCAAACCATGGATGCAAGATCAAAGCCACCATCTATCATCAGAAAACTTAGCAGTAACTCAACAGATTTTAATATACCAAATCTAGAGCCGCCTAATCTTATAACCGGATTAGGAGCTAATGTTCTATCATATTGTATTCACTTGGGTTTGAATAATTGCTGTTTGTTTGTAGTATATTTTGATTCATCACCATTAGATTCACTGAGTGTTGGTCCCTTAATTGAACTCTCAAGGAAACTGGAACTGCCTTTGAGAAAAAGCAATATTCAGGTTAGTGTGTCAACAAGTAATTTATATATCTAATGTTTGATGTAAATGTGGAGATATGTTGTATATAAACTTTGTATTGTATTGTATTGTATTTGAACAAACAGAAGTTCACTTGAGAATAATATGAAGTGATATTTGATATAATTGGTATACACTTGATCTGATTTCTTCAGAATTATATGGATTAAAGGAAATAAATGGATCTGTGAACAAGTTAGTAGTACTTTTTATATGAATGAATACCTTAAAATAAGTTAAAATTTCAATATAGCTTTAGGCCCGTATCGTCAGTCGACCCTACAATTGTAGGGCTCGTTTATGGCCTCCTTGATTGTCATACTTCTTTCTCTCCTTCAAAAATTTCTAGATTACACTTGTCCCGTGTCAGCGTCAGCGCTCTCCTATTGTGAAAATATGTTTTCTTTTTAAATTGTAGGAAATTTCAGGCTGATAAAACATGATATAACTCAAAAACAAGCACAATTTGATGCAAATAGATGTTTGTGACATAACCTCAAAATAGAGTTCTGACACGGAGAAGTAGAAAACTTGACAATCAAGGAGGCCATAAAGGCGCCCTACAATTGTAGGGGCGACTGACGATACGGGCCTTAGATTAACTGAATTTTTGGAATGGACTTATCGGCTTTTGATGAAAGCACAAAATTTTATCACACTTGATTTTTCATTTGGATACAGTTTTACTTTGCGTGCTTCTCTCTTGTATGAACTCAAGCTGTGAGACAAATTTGGTTTTCCCTGTATATAGCCCATTGGTAATTCCAAAAAGCGTGGAAAATTCGACGATTGTAAAAGCTATGTAAATATTTTCGATGTGCCTCAGCAACGAGTCAACCAGATGATAAAATGCAGTATCACCGTATTCGAATCATTGAACATTGCAGAATTTTCTGCGTCAATGGGGTTATCAAGGAGCTGCATATCTCAAACACATGAAACTGCAATCAGACTTAGGTTACTTCGTTATTCTAGAACAATGTCTCAGGTGCATAGTCAATGCGGCAAAACAATTGAGGGTCCCTTTAATGGCAAAGGTTACAAAAGTATGAACTAGGTATACAGCAAATGCACACCTCTACCGCACCTTACAGCAAAATTTTAGAAAAATTGAGACAGTTTTTCAAATACCTGTGAAAAATAACATTTAGTTAATGAATTGTTATTAGAACTAAATCGATTTGAGTGGCTCTTTATTAGGAATTAAAATGCAAAGCGAATTAAACGGCGAAAGAATTAGTACGCTCAATATACTAGCAATTTTTTAGAGCTAGACAGTTTTGTAAAGAAAGCTGAAAACGAAAACTTTTAAATATTTCGAAATAGTAGTTTGCGTGTAGCATGTCTGCAGCTTTTATGGATATATTAGCTCAATCGATCGAATTTTCACGTATTATATGAGGCGAAATTTGTTGCATTTCACCACACACTGCAACGAAAATGGTGAATTACAAATAACCCTGTATGAGGCATAAGGTTCCAAGAATTTCCAAAAAATCTAATCCTTGTACTCGATCAACAAGATGCAAAGACAGGTATTGAAATAATACTCCTATATTGAGAAAAGTAAAAAAATCAATAAAATATGGTTCATGCGATCTAAAGGATCAGAAAAGATGCAAGGCTAGAAAGTACATGCCCCAATAACTATACTGGAATTAAACACATTTGTGTGCTCCTCTCTACACGAACATCGACGTAAACTGCATTATTCGATCCATGGGCTTATTTATGTATAAGTGTTATGGAACCTGGACCTATCAGCTGAAAAGCCTGAATAGTACTAAAACTATTGTGAAAAAAAGGTTTTCAATTCAAATGTGTTGCAACCAAAACGTACCTGGTACCGTAAGACGGGAGGGCACAATGCTGGAGTTGTCTTGAGATGCTTCATTTGCGGCACTTGTAACTGAAGCAGATGCTATTTCAAGTCTATCTAAGTTGAACTCACTTTGTGACAGTCGTTCGAGAGCTTTGTAGGTAGTTAGTAATCTTCTTCTGATGTAGTTTTGCCGAACCTAAGTCCAGAGAAAGTTGTATTTGTGCTATTTCGTTATTACTATAGTGTATTAAGATCGCCATTTACGCACCGTCGATATGAAGATCAGCGACGTTCAAATTCGCGCGTTTGTACTGGCCAGTGGGCCAAAAATATGTGGGTAGGCGAATAGAAGCAGCGATCGGTTGCTCATGTTTTTTGACGTTGAATAAATGAGGTTTGTGAGGGTTTTTGCTATACCTATGCAAAAATGAAATTTTGTATGTGCATAATGAGATCACAAAATCATCATTTAACAAAAAAAAACTTTCATTGTTTAGGGCATGCGCTATCGAACGAATTTTCCGGAATATGAATAACTGCTCACTCCTAAAATCTCATTACAGTGTCGCCTCTCATGGCCCTTGCTCAAAAAATTCAAAAGTAGATTGTCTCAGTACTTGTAATGCGATGATGCATAGCCATTTAAAACTTTAGACAAAAATATTCTTAGCGTTATTACCGAGAAGTGAAATCTGAGGAATACCGTATGTCAAGATTTTAAGACTAAACAATTTTGACTACACTATAAAGTGACCAGGAAGAGAAAAAAAGGAAGCATCTATACTAGACCGATTTACAAAATCGACATGGTAGTATTTTGTAGCAAAGTTGCATTTACGTCCTACTAGTGTCTTCCGAGTTAGAGAAGGACGACAGGCAAACAGACCGACGAAAATAAGTGGAATGATTTTTCATGATGTACTAACATCAAAAAATATTTTCCTCCCAATATGCTGGAAACGAAGTGCAATGGCGAGAGTTGATTGATTATTTTTGCCGATTGTATTTTACCTCGAGTATTTATCAAGAGTACATGATTTTGAATGTAGCTTGTAACTTTACCTTTTTATTGACTGATCTAATAAAATCTGCTGCTGTAAAGGCAGGAGGAGGGGGTGTACTGGCAGGTTGGTGTGTCGTAGAAGAAGAATGTCCTCCATGAGGCGAAGGCAACTGTGATGTGGACGCTATGTCACCGACAGCAACCCATGTTGAACAGGATCTGTGGAGTCATAATTTTATGAGAAAAATTATTATAGTGAGGTCTGATAAATTTATATCACAGGCAGTACACTGTCTTTCACATTTCAGATAGTACGCCAATTGAGAGTGTATCGATTTGAGGCATTTTTTTCAACCATCCATTTTTGATTTACCTTATTTGGAATGTTATTTTTCGAGTATAGCCTAATTACCTTCGCATTATTCAATATGTCTATTCATACGCGCAATAAAAGCTCAAACGCCCTTAATGTTGTAAGATCATATAGAATTAAAAATTAGATTATTTAAAAAATGTTAGGCCCGTGAAAGTGGTTCGGCTATGTTCTACAACGTACCGGCTAAGTACCGTATTTATACAGGGTGGGGCAAAAGTCGCGAAGGGATTTGAAAAATTAATAACTTTTTTAAATTTTAATTTTAATTTTTTTCCCTAACACAAAACTAAAATGCAATGTTTGGAGTTTGTTTACAATTTAAGTGTGAAAGATTACATCACGCAAATGACCGCCATTTTCAGCCTCGCAAAGTGCAGCTCTTGCAAGAGCATTTTCCATTACCCGAGTCAGAATATCTGGCCCCAAAGCACTTACTTCTGCTCGAATATTATCTTTTAGTTGCTGCAGGGTTGTGGGTTTATTAATATACACTTTTCCTTTCAGATATCCCCAAAGGAAATAATCAGGGGCTGTTAAGTCCGGCGAGCGGGCGGGCCAATTGAATCCTGAATTTCTCGAAATTAAACGTTCGCCAAAAATCTGCCTTAGAAGGTGCATAGTGGCTCGAGCAGTATGCGCAGTGGCTCCATCTTGTTGGAAAGTCATCGTTTGATTGTCAGCAAGAGCTGGTCTTAAGAAATTTTGAATCATATCACGATATCGGTCGCCATCTACAGATACAGCATTCCCATCGTGGTCTTCGAAGAAGAATGGTCCAATAATTCGTTGAGACGTAACTGCGCACCATACTGTACATTTAAGCGGATGTAATTGCCTTTGATGAACCACCCTTGGGTTCTCGGTACCCCATATTCTGCAGTTCTGCTTATTTACGAAGCCATTCAAATGAAAATGGGCTTCATCGCTCATGATCAGAGAATGAATAACTTCATTATCTTCTCGAGCCATTCTTTGCAAGCGAACTGCATAAGTTAGTCGTTCTTGAAAATCTGCTGGTTTTAGTTCTTGCACTAGCTGCACTTTATATGGAAACAGATGTAAATTTCCTCTTAATATTCTGCGTAAAGACCTTTGAGACATCTGCAGCTCAGCAGAACGTCTTCGGGTTGAGGTTTCCGGATTCTCCTGAACACTCTCCTGAACGCGTTGAATGTTCCCTTCATTTCTTGCGGAACGTGGCCTTCCGCTTCGTGGGAGATCCATAACTGTGCCTTGTTGCTGAAATCGTGCCACTAAGCGTCGAATCATTGATTCAGAGGGCGAATTCCGCAAATTGAAATGACGACGATATGCTCGTTGAGTTTGAATTATTGAATGGTGATATTCAAAATAAAATTCTATAAGTTTGGTTCGTTGATTGAGGTTGTAACGCTCCATAATTAATCTCCAGGATTTATTTTACACGGTCCTGAAAAAAAAAATGAAAACAAAATAAATTTAAAAAAGTTATTAATTTTTCAAATCCCTTCGTGACTTTTGCCCCACCCTGTATAAGCGCTTGTGGTTGGCATAGTACATGTTGACACAATTTGGCATGTTATGCGAACGCTAAAAACGTCACTGCGTTAGTGTCGCGTGAATGTCGTTGTTTCAGGTAGATCGCATTCCTATAGTGCAAATTTTATCATTCCGTTCCATTTTTTAGGTGCTCTATCTCTACAGTACCATCCACACGGGGTTCAAATGGAGCAGCACGGTTTTGATCTGAATGAATATTCAGTCAGACGTTAAGTATATTATAACATCTGAAACTTATCTTGTGGTTTTCGTGCTGATGGACAGGGAACTTAACATGGCGGTTATGATGTCGAGCCGCAGCACTATCATATTTTTGTTATCTACTCTCTGGTGTCAAATCAACAACCCTAACAGCTCACCGTCAACTCGGCGCTTTCAACATCCGTAAAACATCTTACATAATAGCTACGTTTAACCTGTGGCTATTCTATGCACTAGTATAATGATGTTGGATGTTAGTATCCTGCATGGCGTAAAGCAGCTTGTGGTGTACCATCTCTTGATGCAAAGCTGCGAAAATGTACCAAACGGCATATAGCGTCACCTCGTCAGCAGCGTAAACTTGTCCATTGATGATATCCAGCATAGTGGAGTGCTCATGAGTTTAAACCTCGAAAACCGGTCCACTAGATGAATTTTTGAGGTCTACAGTAAAATGTGTTTAAAATACATTATACTAAAAAGTTTAGATATTCATTTAGAGCACTCTTTGTCATTAAATTGTTTTATATCTAATTTGTTTATGTATAAAGTAATGTCTGTTTATAATATACCAGCTGATAGATCTCATTAAACTGAACAAAAAAGATCCTACCAATTTATGTATTTTACAGCTTCCTTACTGAGATCAGATTGTTTAATTTAATTTGCTCTAATATTAATTTGTTTGTCATTGTCCACGATCAAATAACGGAATATTTCGAATTTTATCTAATCATTCCGATGGTTTGTGGATATGATCAAGAGGCAAGAAGAAGAAATATTTGAAGTTTGTAGATGTAAAACTCGATGAACGTGAAACTTACAGGAATAAACTGAAAGGTGTGAAATGTTCCTAGATGGCTCTAGTTCTATCCAATGGGCTCAAAATTTCAGTATTTTTGTTTAGCAAATATGCTTCAATCAAAAATTGTGGGTTTTGTTGGTTTTCTCGTCTATTGACGGCTGAATCAATGAGTATTACCACATTTTTGTTTCATTCTTTAACAAATTGTTCTAGTTTCTAACTCATAAATTGCTTGTTTAGAAGCAGGAGACAATATTTTCCCATCTGAACGTCCATTTAGCGTAGTAAAAAAGAAACCAATGGCATGCTTAATTAAACCTATTATATATATTATTAAAATTTGATGACCCTGGGATAATTGAGTCGGAAATGTAACTATATTACTCAAGTATTTTAAGAGAAATTAAAAATGTAGAAAAAAAGAAATGAATTTGCAATGAATCTTAGCAACGACGCCGTAAAATACCTAAGTTTACATGAATTTTTTCGTGCAGCTTGATGAAATCTACCGTTTCTTATAAAGCAAAATAATCGTAAACATAGAAAACGCAATTTAAAAAAATAAGAACATCTGAAAAGCGAAAAGTGCATAAAATTAATAGGTAAACTTTTCAAGATGCAGTATTTTACGCGCGGTCCACGAAGAATCTTTACAATACATTCAGTGGATCCTGGTTCCGATGTTTTCGTTTTTTTCCTTCTAATGGACCTCCACTAACAGAATGTTGCAAAAATCCCGCCATTAATTGTTTTTCTTTTTTACCTCTATAAGTGATCACGACCATCCTTGCTCTTGAACTCTACAATATTCGTGATCAATTTACTCTTAAAATAAAAGTACGCAAGCAACAAATTTCCACTCACCTGGAGGTCTGATCCAACCGCACCGACTCCATGAAGAACCCGGCTCTCTGCAAGGAATTGAGAGCGAGCTCAGAAACCGCATTCCTAAGCCCCCTGTTTGCCATGGCCCCAGTGTGGCCATCTTCAGGTGATGGCAGCTGCCCGATGTCTGAAGTACTGAAGCTCTTCTGCAGACCAGCTGCTGAGGAAAGAGCTGCGCAGCTACGGATGGCCTCCGCCTCTTCCTCGAACCATAGGATCTCTGGGATATCGGCTGGCCTGACGAAAATTTTTTAATTTCATTTTTTCATGTCGTGATATGTCAAAATACGTCTGCCATTTTTTACTTGAAAAAATGGTATATATTCCTGTATTTTAATGTAAACATTACCTTGCTAGGTCTGAATTGTGAGACATACGCCTTTTCCCCACCTACAGTATATTCAGATAAGAGATAGACCGGATGTAAACAAAAGGTTCGGGTGATTTTCACGCTAACGCCGCCGTCTCGACGTAAAACAGGAGCCCTCATTGGTCAATTCGCAATTAAATGCCTATGCCGAGCGGCAGAGCAGTCGTATCAAGGCAGAGTCACATTCAGGTTCAGACGTGTTACGTATGTCGTGTGCATCATTGCAATTTGATATTTCTTTGGACGTTTTCGTTTGTTATCTTATTAAGTTGTTGAGTTTGTCGTTGTTATTGTTATACCTTGTTATTGATTGTTATTGTTATCAACTGCTTGCGCAAAATGCCCAGTAGTACAGATACTGCCGATGAAGTTGTAAACTCCTGTAGTCCACCTAGGAAACGCTCTAAAAAAAGACACCTGAGTGCAGAAATGAAAGAGGTCATTTTGAATATAATATAAGATCGAGCGCGAGGAGAACGAGGCATCAACCATCAAAGAAATTGTTGTGAAGGTTTCGCACAAAGTTGGGGTGTGTCGCGCATCAGTGTTTAATGTGTTAAGACAATACAAAAAAAATCACACCTTTTCTGAGCCAATGACCAGTAAACATCGCAAAAGTGTTGTTAAATCATTGGATGAAGCTGATAAGCATGCGATTAGGAGGAAAGTGCATGAATTCTTCTTTAGGAATGAAATACCTACTATAGATAAAGTACTGCAGGAGGTAAATGGAGATACAACGTTGCCAAATTTCAAACGATCAACTTTCCATGCGTTACTGAAGCATTTAAATTTCAAATGGAAAAAACGGGGTCGTAATAGTTTACTACTGGATAGAGAAGAAATTGTGCTATGGAGGAGGGATTATTTAACAAAAATTGGGAAATATAGAAATCAAAACAGGAAGATTTATTACCTTGATGAAACGTGGGTAAACGCAGGACACACTACAAGTAAAGTATGGGTTGATGATTCTGTAACTTCATCCAGGAGGGCCTTTCTAGATGGACTGTCCACCGGATTAAAAAATCCAGCAGGTAAATACGAGTAATAGACAACAATCGGATGTTTTTCAAACCTTGGGAACAAGATTCTAAAAATTAATTCCAGGGGGCAGATAAAACATATTACAAGTAACAAAACTTTTATAACTTTCGATAAAATGCGTGGATGTTTTATTGTCATTTGATTTGTTAGAACTTTTTTAAGCCATGTTTTTATGTGTTTTCGATATTTCAATAATTTTTTAATATCTTAAAATATGTCGAATATTATAAACTTAAAAAAAGTTACTAAGTTTTATATTGTGTACCGTTCCTAATATTTCTAATCATTTTAATACTTTAAGCTATATAAAGTTATAATTTGTTAATATTAATATTTGCGCGTATTTCAGGTTCCTGATCATTCATTTTTTAAAGGTTTATAACTTTAAATTAAATTGTGAAGCGCTGAGTAATCATACGACGTTCAATATTCTTTCTTTCAATATGACTAAATAATCCCAATTATAGCAATCTGATACTCATGTCTCAATGTTTTTTCGCTGAATGTGATGAAAACATTTGAAAAAGGTTCGCTTATTGAAATAAATCTACACCAGTTAGTACTTCGATTTCCAGGTAAAGGGAAAAGGCTCATTATCTGCCATATTGGCAGTGAGGATGGATTTGTTGTTGACGGTCTGTGGTGCTTTGAGTCTAAGAAAACTGGAGATTACCACGAGGAAATGAATGGCGAATCGTTTGAACAGTGGTTTTCAAAAATTTTACCGAACTTAGAGGAAAACGCAGTAATTGTGTTGGATAATGTGCCTTATCATTCTCGAAGAATGGAGAAGGTCCCAACAACGGCTTCAAGGAAAGTTGATGTTCAAAATTTGCTCCGCTCGAAAAATATCAACATTGAAGAAGCAATGCTGAAAGTACAATTATTAAGAATTGTCAAGGATCACAAGATGCGGAATATCAAAAACACGCCATTGACGAAATGGCAGCAAGTCAAAATAAAACTGTGCTCCGTTTACCTCCATACCATTGCGAGCTCAATCCCATTGAGCTCATATGGGCAGAGGTTAAAAATTATATAGCTAAGCACAATACAACTTTTAAATTTTGTGACCTCAAAGGACTTTTCAAAGAAGCACTAGAATTAATAACAGCGCAAAAATGGGAAAACTGTATTAAGCACGTGAAAGACAAAGTTGAAAAGAGAATGTGGGAACTGGACAATATTTTAGAGGAACAAGTCGAGCCATTCATTATTGACGTTGGTGCTTCAGGCAGTAGCGATGATGAAAGCTCATCAAGCTCATCTTTCCAATAAAAGATGTCGTTCATCAAATTCGGTAAGTTATAAGTAATTATGAAGCTACTGTATTTTTTAATTAATTATTGACATTTTTGAACCCATTTTGGCAAAACCTATTCAAGAATCTACTTTCTGACAATGTTCAACCATGCACATTTTTTTACGTTTTGAACGTTTTAATTTGGTTACATATTTACCTAGAAATCAAAAAATATACTAATCAATATTCTAAAAGCAATTTTAAGAGATATACGATTATTTTTAATTTAGGCTAATTTAAACGCCATTTTGAGATTATATTCGACTGTATTTCACCAAACATCAGGCGGCATCCGAAGCTGGAAATCGAAGCGAAAATTTTGAAACCCTTATGTATATTTACATCATTATATATTTCTTACCCCACCCCCACATGATCCTATATCCATCACCAATCGTATACACATCGAATTGTGTTAATTTACTACAAAGTTACGCAAAGCAGCATCTACTATCTAAAATATGTACTGCGTGACTCTTAATACGTCCCTGCCGAATGTTACAGCGTTCGATGATCACGTGGTCTTGTTTATGTCCGGTCTATCTCTTATCTGAATATACTTTAGACGTATCCCACCTCCCGGTCTTCAATTGTTACAAGAGCATTTACTCATATGCTGCTCAAGTGCTTAAGCATGAATATAGGCTCATAAATTGCTTAAATTAAAAGCTGATGAACAACATTTCTGTATAAATAGGATTCGAATCGTGGGGCAATCTGACAGCAACGTAGAAAAATATATCGCAAATGCTGAACCGAGTGTTTGCTGTCCGTCTCTGTAACCATGGCCAATCACATACTGTTGTTTCATGCTCTTTAGCAACCATCAGTACGGTATAGCTGTGGTTTAAGAGCCAAACAAGTGATTATGATATTTTGGAACAGTGAGTATGTTGTGCGCAAATAGGTGACAAGTACCATCATCAAAAGGATGACCCGTCATGCTGCTTTCCATCCATGTAACCATGATCAACCAGAGACAACGCTGTTTCGTGCATTTTATCACTCTTTAGTAAGATACAGGCAAACGGAATGCAAACAAGCGGGTATGGTCTTTTGAAGAACTGAGTATAAGGTGAGCTTAAAGGTGACAAGTCTGCCGAGTGCCATCTACCAGTGGGTCGCCAAAGGTTGATACGTGTTCTAGTCTGATAGAACTAACGAAATCACACCGGATAATTCATGTAAATTTGAAAATTGGTACAGCTAATCTTTATTTTTATAGTCTGCGTTACTAAGATCATATAAAAACTCCTTCCCTTACTAAATCAATTAATTTTTCTATGGAACCTATCTTGCGAACGAGGCGTTCCACGAGTTCTTTCTATTTCTGAAAATAGAACGCTAGAACGCTTTCTGTCTGCGCGAGCCCTTAAAGTCCTCGACTCTGGGAGGTGAGCCGTCGATGGGCGAGGGCGGAAGGTTCCTAAACTTACAATTTAAAAAATGGTGTTTGGGACAGGGCGAAGTTCAGTTATACATCACTAAAGTGATGCGCATCTGTTCTTCCACTTAATATAATAATATCTTTATAATTTCTTCTACCGTAGTAATCAACAACACATTTACAACAACTTATTTAGTATATTTTTACGGAAGAATCAATACTTTAGGAGCTACAGGGTATGTCAGTTGATAAAAATAAAACAAGCACATTTAAAAAAAAGCTAAAATTTCGACTGAAGCAGCTGAGAAGAATGAATTTTTAACTGTACTATCAAGACGAATCTAAGGACACCTCAAATATCAAAGATATCAAGCGGTTTGGCCTGCAGAGTAATAGAAATTTCAAAGTTAAGTTTAAAATCTGCCATTTTAATTTTATGAAGTTCTCTATTCGTCATTGTCCGTCAGAGCGGTCCGTGGGACTTTCGCTCTTTGTTAAAGTATCGTAGGTCTGTCAGGTCTGGTTGCCCAGATACCAGACGAAGTCAGGGAGAAAGAAAGGAAGGAAGAGTGAAAAGCAAGGAGGGTGAAGTGCGCCGGTTAAAGGGATGCCCTGGTATTCGGTTAATTTAAATTAATCCAATAATTAATTTAGGCATTTGTGTGTGGCAAAAATCGTAATTTTGGTTGGATATAGAATTTCACGATTTGATTTTTATCACAGTGCGAGCCGCGGTCTTGTGTGCTTGCGAACTTGCTCGACTGTGTAGTCTACTGACTCACGCAACAGAGGGTTGCTGTGCGATTCCGCTTAACTATAACGTAACTGCGCCTGATGCTTGATGTAGTCCCTTAGGTAAGGGATGTCGAGGTCTCTGTGAAGGGTCTCGTTGGAGACATACCATGGTGCGTTTGTTATGATTCGCATATGCGCTTTGGCTGCACATGCGTAAGTGATTGCTGGTCCGATAACCATCTTGTATAGTGGAACTTTGTTAACCAAATTTTGAGGTACTACATAGTAAAGGGTAGAGTTGCCGAAACGTAATTTGGAATTTGGTTTTTAACGCTTCAGTGTGATTCTGCCAGGTCACACCCCTGTCAAGTGTGATGTATAGCCAGTGTTACTCGCACTGTCATATCAAATCTAGAAAAAACTCGTATGTCAAAATCCATAAAGTCGTAGCCGTAGTGCGTGAAATAGAAATTTGAATTTCACTGGCTACAGCCCAAACCGCTTGATAGATTTTGACATTTGAGGAGAGCCTAGATTTGTTTAGATAGCACAATTAAAAATTCATTTTTTTCAGTTGTTGGAGTTGTACTTTTTGTATTTTTTAAACACATACATACTTGATCTATTTGATCAACTAAGATATCCTGTAGGTCCTAAAGTATTGGTCCCGACAATTTGTTGCAAAAATGTAGGTTATTAGTATATAGAAATAGTTTACGAAATGCATGCAAAAACCTGAAAAAAAAATGGAAATTTTCTCCCATTTCCCACAACTGGCTCACCTCCCGCAGTCGAGAACTGTTAGTATTTTCATCTAGACACCTCATGAAACAGTTCTACTACTTCTCAAAAGTACACGAATTGTTTGGTTTGATCGAAAAAAAAATTTAAAGAATTTTCTTAGACTATTCAGCCTGAATATGACAGACGGCCTCTATGCTCCGTTAGTCTATCTCTGAGACTAGACCTGTACCATACTGATGATTGTTAAAAAGCACGAGACAATATTTATCGCAAATATCAAACTTGTCTAGCTTATGTAGCCATACCATATTAAAAATATTATATTATGTTGCTGACTACTTTATTGCAGCTAGATAATGCAGGGACAATATTCCTCGTTTACAATCGCGATGATATCCATCTTAAAAGCTGTAATGTAATAATCTCACCTGTTCCTGCTCTGTTCCGGATTGGGGCTATGACCTCGATTTCCCAGCTCATTCCTCGCAGCAGCTATTAATGCCCTCCTTTCTGACGCCGCAGTTGAGGACACCGAAAACAACGAGAGGTCAGTAGCGACACTTTCTCTGCTTGGTGACCTCAGGACACGACAGGCGACGCTCAATACTGGAGTCGTTTGTGGGGTCTGTGGTTGAGCCCCAAGTACTGTAGGGCACTGCGGTGGAGTTGTTTCACTTGTTGAGGTCATTTTGATATCTGAAAGGCATTTAATACTGGTTAATGTAATTATACAGTGTGTCAAAAGTTGTAGGGTTTCAATGGCACAAAGTTATGGTGTCCTTTACAATGACCTTGACCACAACATTTTAGGTCATTTCAAGATCAAATAAATATTTGCACATGGAACCCCCTTATTTTACATTGGCATTGAAATCATGAGGAAATGTCACGTTCGAATATCGCCTTGGCCATGATCATATCAGGGCCAAATCAAGATATCAAAAATAATTTGTCCTAGATCACCCAAATATGACCTTGACTATGACCTGTAAAGTCTAGTCAAAGATTGCAAAGTAAATATCTCATTTTGTCCCAGAATCCAATTGCAGCCTCAGATCAAGGGGTTCCTACGAAAACATGTTTTTTCATTTAAATAGTTCGGTCACGGGCTAGTACTAACGCAATATTGCTACTTTTTAGCACACTCTATTACAATGACTCAATAACAGTTTTATTAATGGTAACTGTAATACTGAAAAACTGAATCTAATAATAATCATTTTGAAAATATAGTAATTCTGATTACCGATTTCAGCTCAGCGACCTGGAAAAACCCAGAATGCAAGTTTCAGGCTGTTGTAAAACTTTTGGAGAATCGACTGCAGTAAATTGATAGAAACAAGACTCACAAAGTTTTTGACTTCCTAAAAATAGTCTCACTTCTTCAAGGCTTGCTTGTAGGAGACAGTCGTAGAGAGTCTTCAATAAATTGATATTGCGGTTTGTGGAGGTTAGGTTTCGGTCAGAAGCCGCTGTGGCAGCAAAAACTCGCACAGGCCGCAAAATTTTGTATTACGGACATGCCGACTGGGAGGAGCTCAATCGTGTGACACTGCTCGCCAGCAGAAGATCAAGACACACAGAACCTTCTTACACAACCCTACTGTACAGAACAGACAAGTGGCCGTTAAAACAAATATAACGAAGCGCTTCGCAATGCCAAAATCCAGCACGATATAAAAGTTAGGCACAGGGTAATTTCGCAGCGCAATGGCAGTCGGTCTTTCTGGACGGTGGCCAAGCAGATTGAAAAGAACTTCTTACACAGTAACCTTCCACCATTTACGTGTCAGGATGGAACGACTGTATCCGACTCAAAGGCCAAGGCGGAAGTGTTTGCCAAGATCTTTGCGGCCAACTCCACCATGGACGTCCGCCCAATGCCCAAGTGCCGGGTTCCTTACACTATGCGGGAGGTAACATTCAGGCATAAGACCGTAAGACCAGTGCTCTTGTTGCTTAACAAAGCTTCTGGTGACTTGATTCCTGCCATTGTACTGAAGAGGTGTGCAGCGGAGCTTACCCCAGTTATTTCGCGTCTCTATATCTTATGAATCCGGTACCTTCCCAGAAAACTGTAAATTTACTCATTTCCAGCCATTCCAAAAAAGAAATCTAAGACCGACCCTTACAACCACAGGCCTATAGCTCTGCTTGCGGTTATAAGTAAGGTGATGGAGAGGTGCATAAATCGCGAGCTTCTGGACTACCTCGAACGTCACAGCTTGATTAACGACAGGCAGTATGGTTTCCGGCACCAACGATCCACAGGGGACCTCCTAGTTTACATCACGCAATTGCGAAGTAAACTCATGCAGTCTTATGGTGAGGCTCATGTCGTCGCTCTTGACATCACGAAAGCATTCAATCAGCTGTGCCACGCTGCCCCCTTAGACAAACTTCCATCCTATGGCCTCCCACAAAAGCTTTGCAGATGGGTGGCTGACTTTATCTCTGGCCGCAAGAAATCCGTCGTAATTGACGAGTTCTCCTCTTCATCCCCCAACGTCAACTCGGGTGTTCCTCAGGTTCCGACACTGTTCGTCTTACATATCGACGACCTCCTTTTCTGCACGATCAACCCAATCCACAGCTTCGCTGATGACAGTACTCTGCATGCAGGAGTTCAGAGTGACAAGACGATCTCTGCCGCTGAGCTGGGAAAACAGACTAGCGACGACTTCCTCTCTGATGAGAGACCTGAAGGTTATCACTGCCTGGGGACGCAACAATCTTGTACAGTTTAAGCGTCCTAGAGCTCATCCGGTTTCGATGGATGGCCGAGTTCTACCAAAGAGTCATTCATTTCAGCTGATCGGAGTCCAGATCACCGAAGACCTGATGACTTATCTCCGGATGACCTCCTCACTCTATACAAGGTCCAGATAAGGCCGAGCCTCGAGTATTGCTCACACGTTTGGGGTGCTGCCGCCCCGACTACATTATTTATGCTCGATGCTGTCTAGAGGAGGGCTGTCGGACTGATCTATGACTTCTCTCTAGCAGACAGTCTCGGGACCCATTCGCACCAGAGGCCGTAGGCGATCTACCTCTCTTCTACCGCTACACCAACGGGCTTTGCTCCTCAGAGCTCTCTTCCATGATGTTGCCGCACAATGCGCCTGCCACACTTTTTCCTCCCCGTGTCGAACTTCGTACATCCATAACTGACCGATACGACCGCGCCTTTGACCCGAGGGTGTCGAGATTGTGGAACAATCTACAGAAGGAAGCTTTTCCCAGTTCTACTAACCTCAGGCAGTTCAAAAATCAGATTAACAACATTTCTTTGGAATCATCATGGCAACCGCGGTGTCCCGCTGTCTCTGAAAAATACCACACAACGTTTGAATAAACTATTGATAACGCTCTTTTACGACTTTACACAGTTTGTGTGTGAGCAGCTGACTGTCAAAAACAGATAAGAATTCGAAATAAAATAATATAATCGTAATGTAGTTAATTTTTAATTTTCCATAATATATATATATATATATATATATATATATATATATCGATCTGCATTCTTCCTATGGATTCGCATTGCAGCCGATCCTTAAAAAAGTCGAGGAAAATCTTGATGAAGTGGTGATGATAGAAAAATTTATATCCTGAGCTTTTTTGGCCACTGCTTTATACGAACCTATCGTCAGGACTACTATATTGTCAAATAGCGGATCCATTAAGCTTTACTGAAACACGAGAATCATTTTTTTTTAGTTAAAGGCTCAGCGTTTTCGTAAATATCTCTATCAAGCTTTTATTATACAGAATCTTCGTTCTTGTCCAAGAGTTTATGTCAATTTCTTAAAAATCACTAAAATATGATAATACACCCTCAGTTCAGAAAGGATCGCCTTGATTGTTGTATATTCGGGTAGCGGTAATGTCAGCATGCTGCCCCCTCTAGCCAGATTCCTAAATCCACCCTTGCGTGGACACCATAATATAAGGCCTCAACTGGTTACTGTGCTATTAAAATTTCATTGAATGTTTGTTATGGTTGTCCATAAGTTATTTCAAAATAACCGATTTCCAGTGCCATCCCTTTAACGGACTGTACCTCTGTAGGGGGAGTCCCGCAAGTCATTTTTATAGTCCTGTTTATATGAAACTTGACACATTATGAAACAGCTTGTAAGAACCTGGTTACTGATTGTATCAATCAGCGTTAAGTTCCCGTATTTGGTAAGATAATACAATCGGACACCTGTTTCTTTTAATGTAAGATACTTCTCTCAGGACCACCTGTGTTCTGGTGAACACTTTTGGAGTGTAGCACAAATATTGGCTCAAGTGCGCAGGTGTTTATCATGTACCGATAAACGTAAAGAAATTATTGAAATATTTTATCTTTTTTTAAGTAGGTAGGTACACTGTGATCTAGCGATATATATAATTGCAGTCGACTATTCAGTCATTCAATCCATAAAATAGTAACAAATAATCTCAATTATAGATAATCAGATACCATCTGCAAAATGTTGAAGTCTTTAGGCGGTGTGATATTGGTGTTAAGCTTTACTACTGTTTGTTTAGCTTACAAAGACTGCGGTAAGTACCTATATTAGTTTTATAGTTTTATCGTAGCATTGACCGAATTTGATGGCAAGACAAAAGCGTGAAAAACATTATTACCTTTATACAAACATGTCAGCAGTGCTACAGTTAGTTACTTGCGAATTGTAAGTGAGTAAAGCTCCTGACGCGGGTAAAGACAAGTTCTTAAAAAAGTAAAAGAAAAGTCCTATTATTCGCGAAAATTTTATAAAATAAGTAGTAATCATGAAGGCGTCTCTATTTGTTACATCTGACGACTGAGTTCCATTCCATATTTCATTAAGTCTCTCCCTGCTCCATACCAATCGTTGCCGACGATGGAGACGCTATGAAAACAGTTCAATAACCCTTATTCGGCGAAAAACTGCCCTCATTGTTATTGCCCTTCCTTCAGACAGCATTAAACCACTGGTTCACAACTGCCCTTGTGGAAAATCGATCTCTAAGTGCTAGTTGCCTCAAATAACGATCCTATCGCTCTGTAGTCTGTCTTTGACGTCCAGTACCTCTAGCTCGTCGATTTCGGTCTCCTTGGAACCAAGCTCGACAACATCACATTACAGTAGCTGCGTTTCGATCCACCCGATTAACGGCTTCACGTAACCTGATTATCCAAACTCGGAAAGTTCAGTGAAATTAGGGCGTCTGCAAACTCTAGGTATGATAATGCAATGAAACAAATGGAACCAACACAGAAAAATCACTGAATATTAAGTAAGCATGTTCATATTGTTCGGATCCTGATATGACAAAAAAGCCGTAACAAAAAAGTACGGCTCGGAATTCCTTCAACATTTTATCAGCGTATACTTCCATGATAGCAAATATGTTTACAAGTTTTCATCAAAATTCAATAAACAATTCTGGGTGTTGCTTTTTATATGTCAGTATACTAGTGGTTAGTTTAACTGTGAGACATACATGAATGATTCAATGTTTTGGCGGAAAACTGATAAATACTATTGTTTGTATGATTGTGGTATTGAATTATAAATAATGGAAGCATTATATGAGAACCCACGTTTGAATATTTCCAACAAATAAGTTGCTTTCAAGGATTAATTGTTGTCGAAACATTATTGGTAATGGTTTTAAGCACTACGATCGTGAAAATAACGAGATTTTAAAGGTATTGTAGGGGTAATCTTTTTGTCATAGTGAGATATTAGAGACGCAAGGCGGCTGTATCTCCATATTCAAAACACGGTCAAATGAAATTATTAGTTTTTGACATTACTGTACAAAACTCTATTTTATTAATAATGGCCACGGTTCAGAAGATGTGAAGTTACTTAACTATACTAACAAATTATAAAGGACCTTTCACCTTAAGTATTTAGCATTTATATGTGAAGAAATTTGAAGAAACGTGCAAGTAAAAACTACCTAGCATTTGCATAGGGAAAGAGAATTCTTTTAACAGTATTGTTTGCGCTGTTTATTCTAAAATCCTTTTTCGTATAATATCCCTGCATTTTTTCACCGAACCGAACTTGTGAAAATCAAAATAACTATGTTTAAGTGTTAAGTATTTTCACATACTCAGGTACAACATTATGTCGAAAACAAAGCCTAAAACGTACTGTTGGTACAGTATGCAACAGTGTGACAAGGAGCGAAAATTTAAAAGGCGTTTGGGTTACACTGTGGTGCCTCGTGGTGAACGAGCTCCTCGTTAGGCTCTGCAGTGCGGGTGTTTATGTGCAAGCCTACGCTGACGAATTAAGCATAGCGGTTAGGGGACGTTTTTGTAGGACGGCCTCTGAGATTATGCAGGGCGCTCTGCGCACTATGGAATCGTGGCGTAGGAAGGTCGATCTTTCGGTCAACGCTGGAAACACTTCTATTCACTATGACAAGGAGGCTTGACTGGCTTGTCTTTCCGACCTTCTTTAGGACTAAGCTAGTTCTATCCCAATCAGTAAAATGCCTAGGAATTATCTTGGACTGTAAACTGAACTGGAGAGAACATGTTGAATCAAATTCAGTGTTGGCTTGCAGACGTGTTATTGGAGTGAGGTGGGAGCTTAAACCCAAAGTGGTACACTGGCTATACACGACGATAGTACGTTCATCTCTCTTGTACGGCTCCCTGGTATGGTGGCCTTGCATTGGAACCGAGACAACTAAGACCAAACTCCATAAAATTCAGCGTTTGGCTTGTATCAGTATTACAAGTGCAGTGCGCCGTTAGTGCAATGGAAGCTCTGCTGGATCCCCCGCTGTTGGATCTAGTGATCGTCGGAGAAGCTAGAGTAGTCGCACATCGACTGTGGAGTCAGGCTAGCTGAGTCTTTTTGAATCATGTCGAGTCGAACTGCAAAGGGAGGATCCTGTCATTCTGAGCAGGGGTGATCGGATCACCCCTCAATATAGCTTCAGCCGCAAGTTTAACGTGGAGTATCCAACGAGGGCGGAGTGGGTCTCCGGTAGCCGGAAGATTTCCTGAGGGAGTGGGCAGGTCTGATACACGGACGGCTCGGTCACTGAAAAGGGCTCTGGCGCCGGAGTCTTTGGACCTAAAAAAGGGCTATATCTGCCTCTTGGTGGATACACCACTATTTTCCAGGCGGAAATCTTTGCGATTCTGGCTTGCGTGTCCCGGATTTTGGAGGGGAGGGCCTAGGAGAAGAATAACAATCTTCTCCGACAAGCAGGCTGCAATAAAGACTTACTTCGAGTCTTGTATTGCAATGCAGAGAGGCTCTGGATTGTCTAGCAGCGAGGCAACCCGTATCGTTAGTGTGGGTACCTGGGAACACTGGGATAAAGGGCAAAGATACGGCGGACGCTCTTGCGAAAGCTAGCCTTAGGGGTGCCCGCGCAAACAGTTAAGAGGAAAATGGAGAATTGAATTGCAAGAAAACACTCTGAGAAATGGAGAAGCATCTCCGGATATCTCGGTCAGGAACGGGAACTCATCATAGCGCGCTAGGGATGGACGCTCTTGCTTATCCTTGAATAGAGCCAACCTAAGGTTGCTGGTGGGACTGTTGCCTGGCCATAACACGTCAAGGCGCCACCTGCACGTGATGGGGGTGGCTGAGGATCTTTTGTGTGAGCGTTACGAGGTAGAGGAAGAGACCTCGGTGCAGATTCTGTATCACTGTAAGGCTCTTAGGCCCGTATCGTCAGTCGTCCCTACAATTGTAGGGCGCGTTTATGGCCTCCTTGATTGTCATAGTTTTCTACTTCTCCGTGTCAGCGCTCTATTTTGAGGTTATGTCACAAACATCTATTTGCATCAAATTGTGCTTGCTTTTGAGTTATATCATGTTTTATCAGCCTGAAATTTCCTACAATTTAAATAGAAAACATTTCTTTAGAATAGGAGAGCGCTAACCTTAAACTTAATCTAACTAAACCTTGAAATAAGGATGTCCTCTTGCCTCATAATATGGCATGAGGATCGGTTCTGTTAATTAAGGTTGAATTAGGTTAAGTGACTTTATTAATGCACCATTATGTGTTTTTAGTAACGACCATTATATAATAAGTATGATTTTTTAGGTTCTAACGGAGGCAGTGTTCAGGTTGTTGATCTATCAGGATGTACAAAAGGTAGATGCCCCATGACCAAGGGCACAAACGCAACTGTGAAAATTACATTCAAATCAGGCAAGTACACACTTGAAACAAATGTATTGGCGTAGTCTTTTTTGTTCTTCAATTATATTCTTTCACATTCTGATAATAGGATATTTTGAACATCCCTCCTTTATTACTAACAGGAGAAAACCACGTTATTGACCCCATTTCTTCAATGAGAATAAGGTTTCCTCTCTATACGTAAGTAATGATAGTAAAAAACTAAGGCATGTGACTCAATATCCCACCCAAAATCAAACAGAAGAACTTCCAATAATGGTGTCAAGCATAAAAGTGGAAGTGCGCACCGTTCACGCCTGGTAACAGTAAGTGCACGTTTACATCGAACGTGCTTCGCTTGGAGCTGTTCGCCTCACTACATGTCAAGCGAATCTCTATGCGTTCAGGTTCGTTCATAACGGAGGCGCTTCGCTTTTTAGACCTCGGTTACTATTAAAACACACTTACATTTATAGATGAATTTTCCAAGCAGTTCACAATGACTCCTTTACGAGTTAAGAAAATATTACTTCTCGAAAGTGTTGCGTTGAAAGTGAGTAGAAAAAAACGTTTAAAACGATCGTGGGTGCATGCGATTAATATATGTAGGAAATCGCTCGGAGAATTCTCTATCGAGATTTTGAAACGCATATACATTTTTATGCAACGAATGCTTCGGATTTCATATTGCCTCTCGTTTAAAAACGGCGGTGATATTTTGTTCTGCCATTATATATGCAGATAACCTTCGGAGTTCTCTGAACAAGTGAGACAAAACGCAACGCAAAACCAACATATCGCGTTTTCCACCGCTCCGCATAGTATAACGTAAGGCACAGTGCTTAGCGCCATGCGCGCGGTCTGAATACATTCATTTAAAGCTGTGTTCTCGTTCTTCTAGCTTTCCCCTGGGCTGTTAAGTAAAGCGCACAGCTCCAAGCGAAGCGCCTCCGATGTAAACGTACACTAAGTAGATATCTGTGGTGTACGACGCAGCGACATACGATAAGTTATTCTATAAAATAGTTCACGGTTGGCGGGTACGTCACAATGTCATACCAAATGAGTTAATAGATTGAGTTCGTTCAGATAACGTAAAGCAGTCCAACGACGCAGCCCTTTTACGCTGAATAGCAGTAGCCGTGGGATAGCTTTGTCACTCTGACAGCAGTCTTCACTTAGGTGTCGCATTTAATACTTTGTTGATTAACTGCTGTGATCTGCTACCACGGCTACAACTATTGAGCATAAAAGCGCTGAACCTCTTTACGCTAGCTGACCGCGTTCATTGATCAACTGTATCATGTGCGTAGCTTAACATTCCTAAGGGAAATTTTGCACTGATCAATCAAATACGTAACGTAGCTGCTACTCGCTCTTGCACACATACACACACACATTAATTAGGCGATAGAAGATTATTGAGCACGAATCTCGAAAACGTTGTAACACTATGTTTCAGCGATTTTATTTCCGTCGCCTCTAAATCAATTCTACGACTTTTAGGTAGTCGATGGGAATATTAAACTCGCGATAATATTCGAGCTTCGGTGCACAAGTTGTGTGTGTCTTTCATTTATGTTGGTTGTTAGTCAGTGTCGGTTGTATATCAATGCTGAGTCAATCTACTTGACGAAATATTCAGAGAACCATCGTAGTCAAAGTAATTAAAGGTTAGGCGAAATGTTTGGTACATTTAAGGATCATGAAATTCAGGAAAAATTATGTGTTGATATAAAAACATCGTCGCAGCACGCTAAAGTGGTACGTACTCTTAGGGCCGTATCGTCAGTCGTTCCTACAATTGTTGTGCGCCTTTATGGCCTCCTTGATTTTCATAGTTTTCTACTGTTCCGTGTCAGCGCTCTGTTTTGAGGTTATGTTACAAATACCTATTTGCATAAAATTGTTCACGCTTTTGATTTATATCATCTGTTATATCAGCCTGAAGTTTCCTTCAAATTAAAAAGAAAACATAGCTTCACTATAGGAGAGCGGTGACGCTGACACGGAACAGTAGCAATCTGGATCTATAGTGGTGTCAGTGACGACAGCACCGCAGACCGACTATGCAGTATCGCGCACTGCACGCAACGCCAACGATTGCAAAGTTATTTCGAATTATGAGCACATTATACGTAGGACCTTTATTATTTAATTGTTCCGTCGATACCGGTATCTGGAGCTTCTTAATGATAGAACGTCTTTGACTAATACTAAAGACGTTACATTCACTACCTTACGCCTTACAACCACCAAATTTCAACCCTTACAAAAAAAAATCCGAAAAATGGTCAGGAGCCTCTGAAACGTCAAAAAAAAGGGTTCAACCGATTTTTATTTTTTCGTGTTTTTTCCCTTAGCTCCACCACCACTAGACCGATTATGAAAATCTACAAAGCTTTTTTATCCCTGGCACAGTAGTAAACTTGTGTGATAATTACATGGTTTTTTGTGATATACATGTCATATTACATCCAAAAAACATTATATCTCAATATCGATTACAATACCCGCCAGTTTCGGCGTAGGAAGTCAAAATAATATACGTATTCTCAGAGGTGCAATAATGGAACAACAACAGCCTTTATCCGTTTAATCCGCGGTGGATCTAGTACACCGCAAAGCAAATCGTTGCGTTTGACGCGATATCGTTAAGTAGTACATGAATGTCGAAAATATTCTGACAGCAAATGACAATTAAACGAAGCTCATCATGTCGATATCCTTTTCTTGATTACCTAACAATCGCGATAATAATGGTAAGCGGCTATCAATGGTTACGTTCAGTTACTCCAGCACTGAAATATGTTTTAACTGAAAATTGTCAAAATGGTCCATTCAAATAACGTCTAGCAGCCTAGACTTAGCCATACTTCACGAATCGCTTTATCCGTTGTCTGGAAGTGCTTTATGTTTGTATTTTATTGTAGATGTATCAACAGACAGTTTGAAAGCTGTCGTCCATGGAGTAATTGCACATATGGATGTACCATTTCCTCTTCCCAATCCTAACGCCTGCGAAGATTCTGGAATAAGCTGTCCGCTAGCTGCTGGAGAATCATATACATATGTTGCATCACTACCCGTTTTGAAACAATATCCAGCTGTAAGTAAACAACTTATCATCATATGGAAGATATTTTTAACCTATGTTCGTCTCAAAAGTCCTTATCGGGTAATATCCGTTGTTACAAAAAAGCAAAAAGGACGGTTCCATATTTACTATATGCAGGGCAAACCAATTGGCAAAAATTCAAAATGTGATTTTTTGGACTCAGCCCGTTGCCGATTTTTCGAAATACTGCTTCCAAAACGGCGACACTAGAATTCGGGTTTTCTTAACCCTTGGCAGGTTTATATTATGAAATCGTTCATTTTATATTATAGATATATTGAATTAGTTCTATTAAATATAGAATCACCCCTCAAAAGTTTTAAAGCACGTTAGCATCAGTAGAAACAGCCGGTATTCTAAGATCGTAGAAAGTATAAATGGCAAAACTGGCTTGTAAAGGGATTTGACAATCGACCCGTAACTATTACTTCAAGCGATCGGACTCCAGAATGCCGAGAAACACGATACACTTACACTAAAGATAGGATATTGCGCATGTGGGCGGAGCTTCGTGACGTCATCCGGAGAGTTATCGGCTCGTGGAACGTTACTGCAGTTCACGTGTATCGTGGTTAATACTATATAGTGCGATTTGCTGGTGTTTTTTGGTGGTTTTGTGACTTGTATTAGTTATACATGCCTTATATACCCTGTGTGGTTGATAAATTGATAAAAATGCGGTGTGCTGTTGTGGGATGTAATTCCGCCAAGCAATCTAAACGGAATCTTTGCAAAGACATGAAGTTCCACAGTTTTCCTCAAGACCCAAACTTTAGCAAAAAATGGCTATATCTCACAAAAAGCGCAAGGGTTTGCTAGAAAATGCTCTAGAGGGTCTGAAACGACGCTTCAGCGCCCAATACCTGTTAACAAGACGTCTTAATCAAGATGTGATAGAAAACTTTTGCGGAGTAATTAGGGCAAAAGAGGGTCTTCATGACCATACAAGTCCTCTAGAGTTTAAGTACTCATAGTACCTATTGCAGCGTAGAGTCAGAGGATACTCCAGACATTCCACTAACCACTAACCGCATCAATAACGAGAATAAACTGAATGCACCTGAAGTATCAGCTGACTATACCGAGCAAGTTTTAGTGGGAGAAATAGATGAGCTCGAGTATGACGGGCTGGAAAATTTGGCCGGCTTAGTGAGGGTGGATTATCAAAACCTTCCGCAACTTTCATGAATCGAATTGAGAAGCTGAACAAGGTATTCACTACATTCAATGGGGACGGAATAGTGTCAAAAAAGCAAAATTTTATAGGTGAACTTCTGTTGAAGAGCAGCAACATTGACTGCCCTGAAAAAGCTAAAAAACTGTTTTTCAGGTCAAGAATGTTCTTCCGAATCAAAGAACTGAATAAAAGTTTGAAAGACCAGAAAAATCGTAAAAGGAAATGGATAAAAATTGTTGCTTAGACTAAGTCATTTCCATTTATTGATATACCACCTCCTTACTGCAAAAAGAAGATAACTCCATTTTTCTACTTTTCGAGTTGCGTACATTTTCACACTTACATGTACGATACGCTGTATTGTGGAGCTAGAAGCTGTTTAGTCTATAGCCTGTGAAATAGGAATTACAGGGTTGAAATCTTTTATTAAAATCCACCATTTTGTTTTGTATAAAATTTTAATGTAGCTACGTATAGTATCACTCGCACCGCTAAGACGAATCCAACGACACCTCCTGTGTGAAAATCCGTCCAGTCGTTTGGCCTGTAAAAATATGCACGTTATCCATATCAACTCAAATAATAATCACTCTCCGCGTGACGTGATGCGCGCCGGCGGACGAAAATCGAACAGCGGAGCATACGACTCTGGCCGAGAACGCTACAGGTCGGACGAAACTGCGCGCACCGCCGTGTCATCTCCCACGCCACGTTTCTGGTTTGGCGATAGTCCTGTATATGGGCTCGACTGATTCTGCCCAATAACAGTTATGCTGACACGCACTTGTGTTAACTCACACAAATCAGATAGCATTCCGACCGGTAACACCATTAAGGTATCCTCACCAGATAACACTGAGGTGCACGGTCATGTTGAACCGGTCCTGCCATTTACGCCCCCTATAATGTCCCAAGTGTTTAGTCGTCGCTGTAAAATACTGTATACGTATGGTTGTCATCCTGGAGAGTATGCTGTTTCCAGGAAACTAGTGAGCACTTATGACGATATTCCAATATATGGCAAAAATGAAGGTTCATATTGTTTTTGATCCATACCTATGTTACACCAAGATACAAAAGAAATGTGACAGCAAAGTTTGCTTTAAAAGGAGTGAGCAGCTAAAACGTCCAATTATTGGATGACAGTTTAGCAAACAACCTTTGTTGTGTTTGATGCAAAGTCCGACATTAGGCCAAGAAATATGGAGATGGTATATAAGGAAATCCTACAATTTTCGCGGCAGTTAATTTGTATGCTGATACGTGGCGTGCGAAGTATATACGTATAGTGCGACTGATTTGATATCAATTTCTAACATTCGTTGCTTATACTTCAAGAACTATCAAGGTGTCTAAAAAACGTAAAGTACCTTTTTTGTAGAAAATTGTATTCTCTACAAAAACCGACAGTAGTCTTTATACGCTTAAGTTGTTAGTTTAGCCATTATAAGCGAAAAAATTATTGCAAGTACCTTTACTACTACTACTACTATATGACAGATTTATATAGCGAAATTATAAAGGGTACAGATGCTCCAGCCCTATAAAAAATGAACCAATTTGAACGTATCATCAGGAAGCAATAATCTAACGGTACCACATAAAAAAACTGGCGCAAAAATTTTAGGAAATTTCCTGGTCTACATCATTTCAGTAAAGTGCGTGTATCTATACCGGCTCTTTCAACCAGCTGTATTATTTTGCTGGATATCATTTCACTGCTGAGTCCTAGACATGCCTAAACAAACAGTAGTTTTCGTAGTAACGTCAGAATACCATCAGGAGCCACGTAAATAAACTTACGGATTGGTAGTCAAACCAGAAGACCAAGAGGGCGAAAAGGGTTAAATAACTTTAGAACAGCAATGTACAGCTCAACTAAATGTTGACAACATATTGCTAATTTTTTACAACATGTACAATAATGGCTCAAATATGATATTTTTGAAATCCTAAAACGAGTTATTGTTTGACTTCGAGTGATCCAGCTGGTTATTAATGAAAGTATTTTTGTTCTATCGATTATGAAACTAATTCCGATATACCTATGCGACCAGATTTAGCTTTGCAGATCACTTAGCCAAGCTTTAAGCTTTTGTAGAACTTTTTGGGGATCGGCTGCAGTATAAATCGATAGGAGCAGTATTGAAACAAGACTGTTTTTTTCCAAAATGGTTCACTTCAACGATATCAGTCAAAATATATTTTTTCTGCTAAAGGATTAGGTTTTCAAAGAAATATTTTTCGGCCATTATAGTATACAGAATAAAAAAATCAGCAATATTGAGTTAGAGCTACTCCATCGCTGTGGCAATCTAAACGAGGTAATTGTTTTATAAGAACACAATCTGGTATTTCTAAAATTGTCAGAGAACAAAGAGAAGGTCCAAAGACTTATCTTTAATTTTTTTCTCGGTGTTTTAGAAACAGAGATTTCGACTTTTGAGAATGAATTGTAGGTATTATTTTTTTCCAAATTTTATAATACTTTTTAATAACTTCTGTGTTCGTACTTTCACTTTCATTCACCACGTGTAACAGACAACTTAAATACTGTAATATATACATACTTATGTATACACCATAATCAAAGTGGTCACTGACATTAAGCTAAGCCGCAATAGTAGCGCCCAACATATGTTATTTGTATTTTGTTTAACCCACACAATTACCTTTTTCCTTGCAGATATCCTTAGACGTCAAGTTTGAATTGAAACAAGACAACCACGAAGACGTGATATGTGTAGTATTTCCCGTAAGGATAGAGTAAAATTGATATTTGATGATGACCGATATTACCAAAATATATTACTCGAGACTATAAAATAATGTATGTAATTAGAACAGTAAACTATTAAATTATTTTAATTCTAAGGTGTTTATATGAAATGCCCTTATTAAATGTAGTTTGTCTTTAATACTAAATAAATCATTTAGTTGAATGGGGTTTATTTAAAAATTTATGGAATATCTGAAAGTTATCCTGTTGTTTTCATGTTGATGAGCCTCCACCATATTTTCTGGCCGCCATTAAATGAAATCACATACAGGGAAAACCATTTTTATCAGAGGGCTTGAGTTCTACATATGTGTACGAGAGAGAAGCACGAGAAGTGTGTATCAGCACATGTTAGAGATAGAAGCTAGTTGAAGAGCGAAGGTCATCACCACATCGCCTAGCGACGGTGACGCAGAAGGTCGCGTAATCTGCCGCGTTGCCGATATGTTACACCAGAAAATGTTCGCACAGGCTTCTACAATAGATTAGGTTACTGTCAAACCCAAGAAGGAGGATTGTTCGAACACTGCATTTAATATTTTGTTTTCATTTTGATTAGAATTATTTATTAATTTCAATTTTGATGCAACTTAGTGTCTTAATTTAATTTAGAATTATCTTTGATTTCCTCCGATGCAGATAAAATCAACACATCCTGAGTTATTGTTGCATTTTGCGGCAGGACAAACTTCCCTACGAGCGCTAAATGGGTACTGACCAAAATCGCTCAACTACGATCATGGAGGTGGAAACGTTGCCTTGGAATCTATAAGATACGGTGTTATCAAACGAACTAGTTATACAATGTTGCAGAATTTGTGGCGATGCTGACCTTTCATTTCGACCTAAAATGAAGCGCCGTTAGGACGGATCCGAAACGCGGTGATGAGCTTCGGTATTCAGCCGGCTTCTATATGTCTCTAACATATTATGTGTCTATACACCCTTCTCTCTCATAAACATCGAACTCCAGCCGTCAGAAAAATTTGGTTCTCAGTGTATGCTGGATTTTTCAGAGTTCTTTGAAAAAGAACGCCGATGTGGATGAAACGTTAGGAAACAGTCAATCCAAAACATGGAGATTGGAAGGTTTCTGTTTTGCTGACCACTCAGACAGTTGTTTTGGATACGCCACTGTACCGTGAAATGGTTGAACTCTCATTAATTAGTATGTATTGTACAGGTGGCTACTTAGAGGATGACGCATCCTAGATATTTCGATAAGGTTCATTTGCAAAAGACAATCAAGTTGACGCCATATATTTCTCAGGATGTATGGGCATTGAAGTAACAAAAAGATGGCCAAAGACTAAGTCCGATCATCTCAGAAATAATATTTATGAATTTATATAGGTTCAAGCGAGACTTGCCTTGACTGCCAATAAGCATGGTTTTTAAGGATTTAATGTAGAAATAGGCAGAAGTATTATTTTGTTCAACGGATTGCCCTCCTCCAGTTCCAGCTTGGTTACCTCACTGTGTACATATTCTGCACGTTACCTTTGATGGCTACACTCTTATTTATACGTGCAAGTCATACAAATAGTTTGAAGCAAAACACTATAGATCTTTCAATAAGGTCGCAGTAATCTTTCGATTAGATTAAGAAAAAAATGTCGTAAAGTAGGTTGATTCTGTACTTCTCACGTAATTCAGGTAAAATGGACTTTGAATATGCATGATGTATAACTTTTCAACTTTCTGCAAAAATCAAAAGTTTGCCAATTTTGGCCTAACTAGTCGTTTTAAAATAAACTAATCTCAAAATATTCTTCGGGGCCTGGGAAAGCACGGTTTAAACTTTGATTTGAATACTTGGCGACCTCATAAATTATCATTTCTAACCGACTTTTTAAGCACTGAATATACCTATTTTTAGAGCTTTTCAGAATTAAATCGGTAATAGCTCGAAAATAGTCAGCTGTAGGAAAAACTTACTGGAGGCCTTTTCCCTTCGCAGTAATCCAAAAAAATGTGAGAAAAACTTGTCTGCCCAAAAAAATGTAATTTATTTAAGAAAATTGTTTAAACAATTTGATCTGGGTTACCGTGCTTAAAAACCGATTGCAAAAACTGCAAAGTTTTTTCGTCCTTGGCATAGTAGTAACCTTGGCTAAGAATTTTATCCAAAGATAGAAAAAATTATCTTTCAATTTCCCCAAAATAGGTAATTATTTTAAGAAAATAAACGTTGGAAGAGAGAAAATATTAAATCTGCATACCGTAAAACGCGGCTACTTGATAAAACTTTTTCGAAACTTCGTTCTGCCAACAAATAAGTTACAGGTATTCTTGAAAGTTACTGTGTTGGTCGAAATGGTCTATAGATGATTTTTCCTTATTACATAAATTATTACCCTGCTATTTTCAAGTAGCCCCGTTTTAAGGTACTCTTACTTATCTGATAATCATGGACTATAATGTCTAGGGACGCAATGGGGTTGAATATAATTGAAGCACAGAAATTTGGTACAGTGAGTTACCGGAATTACACTACCACATAATCTATGAAAACAACGAAGTGCCTTTAAAGGGTGATTTCTTAGGTGATCTCAAGGAAAATCCATATGAACATAAATACTAATAATCCGTTTTAAAGATCGTTTTTTTAATGTTTTCATAAAAATCATGATCCAATTTTATGATTTTGTTTCATTTACTGAAATTATTATGGTTCATACAGTGGTTTCCCGAGCATGAAAATAACTCAAATTCCAAGTTGATCGCATATCGCATCCAAAATTTAAATATTTCAGAGCATAATATTGAGATTTTAAGCTTTCAACGGCATTTTTCTTTTACTTTCAGTACTTTATTGCTCTTTAAAAGTACGTAATTTTTGTTTTTTCTCCAAAATACACGCATTTTCAAATATTTAACTTACTATTCTAATAAAAGCGCATGGTCGTAACTACTTCCTACTTCATATCTCATATAATCATCTGAGAATCACACTAAGACACAAAACATATATAAAAATGAAAGTGTTGAGCGACTCCACTCACAATAAAACCAAATTTTGATGTCCAATTATAATTGTGTATTCATTTGTTTAAAAAAATCGAAGATTGAATTATTTTTAAGGCAAAAACAAATCGCCTGTGGACATCTTAATTTGTACAGACGTATTGCGCCGAAAATCTGGATTAAATCAGATATGAAAAACTTGCCAATAAAAGCCAATCCCCCAAACGAAAAGCCTTAACGGGTTTAAATCCGCTTTTTAAATGCCCATCACAATTTGTGGGTTTTAATAATGAACTTTTCGACAACACCTGCTAAATTACAATGATTCTTAACAACAATGTCTGGAAGATTATTACGATTTTTTCTAAAAAGAATTTGCAGAAATTTTGGAACGGTATATCTTGAAAACAACCTATGCTATTTTTTTGTAAAAAATTTACCAAGAAATCACCCCTTGAATTTCACCCAGATGCCTACTTTATTAACACCTAACACCTATATAATTTCTGTGTAAGGTCCATACAATGTTTCTCTGTAATTCTAGCCATCTGTTACTACCCTCCTTACGAGGCGAGGGCAAAATGAATCCCTAAAGACAAGCATCACAGAATGTCGGTATTTTTTCTTCAATGTACCGGTTGTAATCACGCCCTTTTCGCTATCAATACTTTATGTAAACATATCAAAGTCTAACCTGTACCTGCGTGTACATTTCCAACTTTACTCCACGGCCGAGTCTTTGTAAATCAAGAATAAAATTATATAGGTTCTAATCTCCCATTACTTGAGTACTCCTCTCTACCTCGTCCATCTCAGCTATCATTATGACGTATCTGTTTATCATCTCACCCTTTCACACCAAATAACAAGATAACATGCAAAACGTTCACGCTTACCGTCAGATGATCCCCCGGAAACCGGATGTTGTACACTAGAATACTCCCACTTCACATAGCACGCCTCTTTGATTGTCAATCTACCTTAAATAACCTACATTACATCATCTGACCGATATTCTATTTTGTGAAACTGAAAACCAGTGACATGAATCAACGAGATGCCGAAACGCAAACGCAGTGGATGATATCTCCCTCTCACACCTTCACTATTTATCCCTCATAGGTCGGTTTGCGCAGATGCCAACTTCAACCTCAACGGCGTAGCTTGGGGGTGGAAGAACTCTGTTGAGGCGGATATACCTACAGTGGGATGGAGAGGTGGAGATAGGCCGCAAATCGTGAAGTATCCTACCTGGAAAAGGTTTAACTGGTGGCAAAATTGGAAATCTCGCTCGAACAGAAGACATGCGAAAGTTTGACATTTGCTGCTTAAGGGACTCGCCAGCACATTACACCTTAGTTCACACTGTGAACAACATTATGGATTTTGGCAAATGTATTTTTTCACAGCGTGTAAATTAATTTCGTAGATACATTTAATCCAACTGAAGTAATTCCAAAGAAACAGAAAATGCTTAATGAGCTGAGCAATGTTGCACCGTTGCTTAAATATTCAAACTACTTCTGAAACTTGTCATATTCCATGGTGCTTAAGTGACTATATAAAACAGAGAAGAGTTTTTCAAAGTGCAATAGCTATATTAAACATTGAAATCGCCCTGGGTAGATGAAAAACAAAACCAGCTTGAGAAGTACCAAAAATTCGAAAATAACAGTTTTTCTCAAAAATCACAACTGTAGATATTCAAAATAATTACTTCGATGTACATGAGCGCCCATATAGCAAAATCCAGGGACGGGGGCATGTTTGGTTTACAGATTGTGCATTATAAATAAAAAATGCTGAAAACTAGCCAACCCGTTGGTGACAATAGAAGACGGGGGGGAGGGAGGTGGGGTTGGTAGCAGAAATAATATCTTGTATGTTGGGATGTTTGAAAAGCAAAAAACTCACACGCCACTTCTTAACTTCTTACCCAAGGATTGGATATCTTATTAAGAATATTTCACCTTAAAGCAGAAGCCAGGTGGGGGCATATGCCGCCCTTGCCCCCACCAATGGGCGCCCATGTCGATGTAGAATGCAGCTCCAATATTTTACTCAAACTGATAAGCTCTGTAAATCACACCAAAGTTGTTTCTCTTTAAGCTAACGTTATAATGTTGTCTTATATAGTTTCGTAAATTAATAACTCAGGAGAGCGTTGCGGATTCGATTTCTGAAACCGAAATTCTCCGTCCTCTAATAATAAATGACCCTGGTGTATTTTAAATACCCCTATAATACTTTGCAAAAATTATATTTGCCATGTTCTTCTAATTTATGTGTTTGTTAGTGTTGTATCATGTTTTGGGAACATCCTGTATAATGAAATGAACTGATTGGTAAATGCTTTTCAAACAGGCGAACAGTCATTATACAACTGCTTTATTCAATTGTTCGATATTTGTCCTATGTCTTGTGGTCACTCTTTTTTTCTAAGCATATAGAATGCTCATCTCACAGGAATAGAGGGCGATACCCTGGGAAATTGCTACTACATGTTAGCCATTTGTCTGCTCAACAATCAAATCAAAAAGCAGACCTTACCAAAACTATCAGTGTTTTTTTGGGAATTCTCCGAAAACTCCTACAAAATACATTGTGCTATTATTACAATCATTCGTTAGAAAAAGCACCTCGATCATCGATATATCATAAAATCAGTTGATTGGAATACGTTTCAGGTTGGAAGTACCAATGATTTTCGTCTAACTTCTAAGTAGGCTATAGTATATATAATACAAGCACCTAAACAATTAGTAGCTTCTTAACCATTAGGTGAAAAGGTCATCAACTGCTTAGACCTGTAAGCTTCCAATTTATCTGCACCACTGCCAAACTATCGCATTGTAGCGCACGAAATGCCCAGGTGTGCGACAGGTGGTAAACACTCCAAAGATGCGCTCTTTAAAAATGTAACCTAAATAAACCACTCCGGAGCTATGTAATCACAACCTGCACAAGATGCTTCCTCTGACCAAGTCTAGGTCATTGTCATAGTTTATAGTTCAGTGGAGCAATCACTTAACACCTTTTTGAGCCGGCGTTTTCGTAATAATCGCGCACTCACAACGTAGCAAACTGTCGTTTAAACGGTGCTGCGAATTGATTGGATCGCATGGCCGCAACCACAAAAAAGATCAATAAGGGGCGCGTACGGTCAGCGATTTCGTTGACGGTAGGCCAGGAATTTTAAGCAAAAAAGCAGAGCTTAGACCTTCTACTGATCACACAAAAGATGTGTAATATTAGAGTTTCAACTTTTGCATTTCTTTTGTTTTTCGAATAAAAAAAGCAAGTAGTATGTTGCACTATCATGGCAATCCAAGGGTTACATGACTCCAGCGAGACAAATAAACCACTGTTTGAGTTTCTCGTCGAGCAACCAGAGACTCACTGCTGGCCTGGCATGTAAACAAGCGCAGATGGGTAGATATTCAACCAATAATAAGGTGCATGATGATGAAAACAGAAAACCAACAATAGGTTCCTATTTGCTGGGATGTTATACATACGTGCGAGTGTATATGCACGATGGGAAGAACGGAATGACTAATACCTTTGGTATCAAGACTTCGCACAACGCTAATAAAATGCTGCAAACATCACCATGGAGAGATGTGTAACAAACGGCTAAGGGTTCGAAATATAAAAAAACTGTTATACATTGTATATAACAAATGCTTGTGCAAAATGATGTTCTCGGTAATCGGAGTTCCAGTAAGGCGTAACAAAATGAATGGCTTTCTGTCAAAGCTAGACGTTTTAACAAAACCCGATGTGTGTTTGAGTGCCTGTTGTTAGAGAAGGTAAATTACCGTATCTTAGGAGCATGAAACTGCACCAGCTCACTGCGCACCCGTACAATGATAACAACCATGTCTTCCATCTGAGGAAGTCGCTAGACTTTTTCTCTCCAACTCAAGCGTAGATATCAGTCTGGTACTCTACATGTCTGCATGGAAAGGGCAAAAATGAATCGGCTCTTTTGTAGAGGAAAGGAGATCATTAATGGATAAGACAACATTAGAGCCCTGGGAAACACCATCGTGAACGGTGTGAGACGAAGAGGAAAATCCGCTAGCTACGATCTATGTCTTACGGTTAGAGAGAAAATAACTGACTGGAGCGGAAAAGTGAGATTAAATAATCTGAGATATTCAATACTCACTGTTCAGTAGCTGGTTATAAGGATCTAAAGACTGACTGATCTATACACTGAAGAAAGTGCGTATTACGTCGAAGCACCAACAAAACGCCTTCAAGAGTCTACCGACCGCGACATCGTTTGTTTTTTGTTTTGAGGACGGCGACTGCAGAGGTCAATGAGGTTCTCGAAGAGATGGGATGGCTCGATGGCCGAGATTTCTTTGTGGCACGGGAGTTATCATGTGCTCATGTCGTTGGAGGGCTCAGATATAATAACTGGGTTTACGAAAATATATAAAAACTAGCTCTACAATTGTCGAAATAATAAAAAATTGAAATGAACAGACCAGATTGAACCAACTTTTGCGTTGTAAAAAATACCTCCCTGTCTAGTCGCTAATAAAAAGTGAAATGTATAAAATTGTGATGGGCGCTTAAACCTCTATTCGCTCATGTCACATTATCCACTCTTAATTTAAGTCTACTCTAAAGAACCTCATTATTGCCATTTTAAGGCATCTAACAAAAAACTCCAAAGAATTTCAAACAAACGTGCGAGTGCCCTGTTACAAAATGTATCCTTAACTGAATCTACAACCTCTAAGCTACCTTCCCGTCTTTAGTAGGAAAACTAAGGGCTTTCATGCAAGCTTGGAAATACCTCTATCCCCGTTTAATCCAGCCCTTTCACAAAATCCGTTCAAAGCTGTCATCCCCTATCCACAAGTCTGCCAAATAGTTTTTGAGATTTCGTGATTAATGTATCTTTTTGCTTTCATAAACACTTGTTATAGAAATATTCAACCTCATTCTACCCCGTCTGAAGGATATTATTTCTATAATTAGCTGTTGATTTTAAAGATAAAATTATGGATTAAACATACCCCTGCTTCTAAACTGGCGTGATTTGAAATATTCCAGGTTATTCAGCTCCAAAAGTGTTAACCCCACTCCACCCCATTAGGGGTGGAATTTACAAAATTATTTTGTAATTGCTCATTTGCGTTATATCAAAGAACTAAATACAAAGAATCCATATTTGTATTACTAGCTTCATGGTTTATTTTCGCAACAAAAGGTATCATAATGTCCGTCTCCAAGGTCGGATCTATATTCATGCTTAAAATTCATAAAAATCGGTTCAGCCGTTTTGGCGTGAAAACGGAACTTTCAAACATACGAACACACTTTCGCGTTATATTTTTATAGTAGGGATTATTTAATCATCAGTAATCATTTTTAATACAACAAATTGTACGCAAAACTACGAGTACTCGCGCGCTGATTATAGTAGTTGGTTTTTACTATATTAGTTATGGTATGGAGTACATAAACATGAATATCTGAATCAGACTTCGTTCATTTTTTTTCACCAACGTTCAGTTGGAAAACCCGACACCAGGTTTCATTGTGGTCTGTGGTATTACCAGTTTGTCGAGAATAATATTTAAAATCTCATCAACTATCGGATGACCTCACGAGATTAAGTTCAAATAAGCCACAAAATAGTCTCGTATAAATATGTATAGATATTTAGATGCATATATACATGCATTCCTTATGTAACAGACCCGATTTTTATATGATGAAAGTTAATTGTATTAATTATTTGTTGGGATACAGTATTTTTGTGATTATTGGTGAGTGTTCATTATCCGTTTGTTTTTAATTTCGAAATCAAATACTTCGCATGTATGTATCGAATCTCATATTAACTAAATTAAGGAATGTTCTAGGAAGAATCAACTCAGCAGAAGGACAAATATCAAGAATCAATCAACTTTCACTAAATATCACTAGAGTAAAGAGACAAACAACCGTTTGTGATGGGTAAGTATCTGTTACATCGGTATTATTTTTTTAATAAATGTAAATATTTCTAAAGCGCTTGTATGTATTGATTATTTTGGTACGAACATTAATGTGAAAATATGGACCTTTGTAATTTGTCAACACTTTGCTTATCAATTCAAAAGACTTTACAGGTACAATTTTTATATATTAGTATTGCAGCTACCTGGGCATCCATAAGTTAAAAGTTATATTCATTTTTCCAGGTTTAAGTGCAATTCAGGAGAATGCATACCCAAAAATCAAGTCTGTAATGGAATGAGAAATTGTAAAGATGCTGATGATGAAGGTGGATGTGAAGGTACCTCTGTGTAAGTTTATAAACAGTTGTAAAATTAAGGAGGGTAAAAGACTCATACAATGTGCTCTGTACTTAAATAGACGTAATGAAGTTGTAGATAGTATGGACCTTCTTATATGTGAAAATAGAAAATGTCTAAATTGGTTATTTAAGGATATACAGGCTGATTCATGTAAACACATATTTCAAGCAGTATTGAACCCATTTTGTTGAAATCTTACACGACAGCAAAGTTACCTAGGAGTAATGTTAAACTACATAGACTAAAAAAATCCAGGGCCGGACTCGGTTTTTTCACGTATTTATTTTTTATCAAAATCAACACTTTTTCAGCTAAACTATCAAAAATGGTTGACTATGTACAAAAATAGGCAATGAATGATACTAGTTAATAGGTGAAATAGATTGATTGCCCTTCTTTCAGTTTTTTGGTTAAGCATTTGTTATTCATTCACATATCTTATTTTTAGCAGTTTGTGTGACACAAAGCTCAGACATTTAGAGGTTATCAACTTTATTTTTATTTTTGAGAACTAAAAATTCGAGGGTTGGATTCGGTTTTTTATTTCTTTGGATTCTATTAAGTGCAACGCCCTGTAAGTTATTCTTTGAATTTATTAAGATAAGTCTACGAGATGTTCTTTTCTCCTCCATTTTTTATTTTTGGGTATTTTAGAGATATTCCATATTTTAAGAGTAATAGGCTGCAACTCAGATGAGTACGAACATTATGCAACTGCTTGGGAAGTCGTTCCGCGTTTCATTTTTAATTTGAAAAGCATAATAGATAATAGCAATAGCAATAATAATGTGCTAGCTGACTAAGCCCTAGCTTGAAGAAAAAACTAATAGTCCTGGACTTGATACCTTATTTACCCTATTATTTAAACGCACTGGATTTTTTGTCTTCATTCTTTTTTTCTCTTTTATTTTCATTACCTTTTCTCTTTATTTGGCGACTGAATCAACGCATGAAATATCTTAAGGTCCCATTGACGGTGATGGCTGGGTCTTTCTAGAGGTTTCGCTCGCCCAAATGCGAATGCAATTCCCTAATCAAGATAAAATAAGAAAGAGTTTAGAGTTTTATATTTAAGCTATAACATAGTCATCCATCTGGCAATCTGACGATGCTTTTCAAATAAAAGTGAAACTCGTTTCGACTTCTCAAGTGTTTTATTGTGAAACTTGTACAACAAATTGTACTATTTGGTTGTATGAAGGAAGAGTTTCACCACTGCTTAACGTATTCTACCCGAAGATAGCTAACCTATCAAAAAAAATATTCGAGATGAAGTGAGATACCGTAACGTCATCTATGAGAATATGTCCCAGCTATATTTCTCCTATCCGCACTAATTAGAAATCTACTTTGAAAAGGTTAGTATCTCATAGATGGCGCTGTAGCCAACTATATTAGCATATATTTGGCTCCTTTGCCATCTAACAGACACTAACCCTACCAAAGTAGATTTCTAATTAGTGCAGGGAGGAGAAACGTAGCTGTGACAATTTTTTTACTTTCAGATTTAAGTGTGGATCTGGTGAATTCATAAACGAGCAAAGTAACTGTGATGGGACAGTAGACTGCAGAGACGGCAGCGATGAAACTGATTCTTGCAAAGATAATGTTATTTGCCCAGGTTATGTATTTACCTGCGCGTATGGTGCTTGCATAGATAAATACAAAGTATGTAATAGAAATCAGGATTGCAGGGATAATTCCGATGAAGCAAACTGCACTAAGGTTATAAGTAACAGGTGCGGCCTTTTAGTTCCATGATTTGCTTTGTTTCTACTGAATGTCTCTCGCAATTTAGGAATTTGAAAAGTTTCTGAACTCTACATAAAAAAAGATTAGTTGGTCTCTGAAAGTACGTTTATTTTCAACGTAATTTTCCTGGGGTTCAACACATTTTTCCAGCGTTTTACTATTTGATTTATACCATTTCTGGAGTGATTCTCTGGAAGGCCTTCAAAATCCACGTTTGCGGCTGTAACGACTCCTTAACTTGAGGTTCTTAAGGCATGGTAAATAAAATACAGAAGTGCTTGTGAATTGGCTGCTCAAGCACTTCGAAAAATAGAGTGATTTTTGCCATCGTTAGAGAGCAAGTTCAATATTATTCTGCTGTTATACTTTTACCAGTCTGCACGTAACATATCATTAATATCCCCTCTGCATCCCTAAAAATGGATGCCATAATCTTTTCAGTTTGCTTTGGCGCAGAACTACCGGGCTCAGTCCACACTGCAGTTTGATATTGTGAATTAGGGTCATAGTGATAAATACAGGTCTTATTCATAATTCTGAATTGAGGTATAATATCAGTGTTATCCTTCACAAATTGATCCAGATATTGTTGTGAAAGTCTTACTCGAATTAATTTTTGATCTAAAGTTTGCAATTTAACAGTATCTTAATTGGAATCCACTGCGTGCCTCGTTATGGATATCTGAACGATCACGTATAAATTCAGTAATCCGATGAAGTAATCGTGAAGGAACACCACTTGCTAATACCATATGAATATAAATTAAATCGCCGCTCAATCCACTTTTATACAGGTATTAAACCAATGCCCACTTCTACTGTAGAAAGAAAACTATTTTTCAGAACAGAGTGAAACTGCGCATGTGTTTATAAGAAGTATCTATAGATATCCAGCAAAGTAATCTTTTTTTTTTTTAAACAGAGGTCTACTGTATATGTCGAGACCAGAAACTTTTCAAACCACCTAGTAGTACCTGTGTTTCGTCACAATATATAGAAATGTCTGAGCTGGTCGGTACGACGACTCCCAAAAATTGATCGTATGAACTTGAAAGGATATTCAAACTTTACCTCAAAGTGGGAAGAAAATTCACTGTCTCTTTTTTTAAATCTCTAAATTCGTAGTTTTCCGTCGTACTGATGTTTTCTCGTGGATAAGTAAAGCATTACTTTAAAGTTGTAAGGTATTCTATTTAGTTTTTGAAAAATTTTACTGCAATAGTTGTTATCATTATCGACCTCTCCAATCCAATTTCGTAGCTGCTAACCTTTTTGTGTGCGATTGTGCGTCGATTGACGATTTAAGATAATTATCTTGTAACTTGCGGGTTACTGAAAAGCTCGTCTGAAACAACAAAAATATTTACAAGGGGCGAATTGTGGGTCCATTTTAAGAGGAAAACTTCATATGAACGTAAGCCCTAAACGACTTAATTTTTGGAGGGTAAACTTTTCTATGTAGATAGCCATTGGCACGATTCGGACTTTCCTTAAAATAGAATATAATTGAAATATGTGTTCGTTTAAGAGCAGATTTGAACTCTTGAATTATTTTAGTCCGGTTTGGTTAGTTACGATTGGGGATTTCAAGAACAATTTTTATTTTAAGAGAAATCAGTAGTGTACCATCAATTCTGCCAAAATAGGCAGGCGAAATTGCGTATGAACTGGAAATTAAAAAATGTAGTACATTTAAAAATGCCACTTGATACATAGTACATGTAAGCCAAATTTCATTAAAATATCTGATATTCACAGAGACACCATACCGAGACTAATTGATTGAAGGCATCAAGACCGAAACGTAGATATCTCCCTTTGGGTCTTAAACTTTTTTAATGCGGAGTTTTATTGATTGATTTCTAACTTGCAATAATCTGCAACTGATAAGGATTCCATAACTTTTAGTTTCAAATGCAAGTCTGGTGAAATAATTGATGAGGATCTGCATTGCAACGGACATGAAGACTGTAGCGACGGTAGTGATGAAACAAATGCTTGTAAAAAGGATAAATTGTAAGTGAAAATAGAAATAAGGTAACGATTAGTGTCAAGGGAGTATTGAGGAAATAGGGACTGCCCATAGGATTCGGACATTGGACAACAGTCTTCAGGATAAAGCGGATTTCTTTTGAGAATGCTAGGCCAAAAATGTCATCTCAATATATCTCCGAAGCTTCAGTCCAATCCCGGCCTCTCCCGAAACTCAGAAGCTTATCCTCGTACTTAATTTTCTATCATTGAAAGATAAATAGGTATTTAATATTTTAGATGCCCTGGGTACGTCTTTACATGTTCTTATGGTGCGTGTATAGACAGTTTTAAAAGATGCGATGGAAATAGGGACTGTAAGGATGGCTCCGATGAGATTGGTTGCGATGAAATACACACTACATCTACAAGGCTACCGCCATCATCTGTATCTACAATTACAACTACGAAATCTACTTTGTCATCTATAGGGTAAATATTCATTGTCAGTAACTCTGTACTGTACTTTTTGTTACGATACTTGACCCGCACGACTATTCCACTAGGATCATTGTGAGCGTCCATCTATGGAGAAATGGCTCAACTACACGCATTGTTGGTTGCATATGTTTTGTGAAGCCAAGTATATAGTTTTCATCCCTGAGACGAAATTCGTTTGCTGTACGTGTTTTTTAACTATTTGCACTCTCAAAACTACCTAATCTGCAAGATGACATTTCATCGTTTTTTAGGTTTTTTAGATTTTATACATATACCTCTGAGGTCCGCTTACCACGACCTTTTGTGACACCCTATACAATGTACATTGAGATGTGTGCTATGACTATGAGCGTACCAATAATATATGTGTTACTATGTAATTCTCTTGTCTTTCGGTCTGAAATGTTAAGTTTACTCATAGACATTTTCCCAAAGTTGCATAATTATCACGCCAAATTACATTTTATTACAGTTTACAACGAGGTGCCTATCTCTTTCTAACACGTATTTCATTTTTCTCGCGTTTCTCTCTTGTACACATTACGACGTCAATCGTTTGTGGATTTCACTGTTTATTTACACATACACCCGTCCCATAAATGACTGTTAGATAATCGGAGTTTGCAAATTTTTTTACGGGCAAATAGATTAGGGGCATTTTTTGGTACACATAAATTCTAAGCGTTGTTCGCGATATCTACAACTATAAAAGACATGCCTGATTTCAGAATTTATGAGGATTCTAAATTCTTTTTACTATTCTATGAAATGACCAAAACGTAGAATGAAACGCCAAAAACTATTTTTGCATTTTTTAGGTGTCGACTACTCTCACAAATGATCCTGAACTCCGAAAAGAATGTAGTTTGTTAATGTTTTCAAATCGCATTTAAGAAAACCTTTTATCATTGACATGGAGTAGCTTTATGTCAAAGTACAATTAAGATTCAAGTAGTAACTTCCAAACTATATGATTACGGATTTCGGAGCTTTTTACACAGTCCGTCCCTGTACCGCGGCCCCTGATCTGCTCAAACCTAAAGCGCGCGCATCGTCAGCTCCCGTTATACTGGTCCTCGGTGTGCTGAGAATATGCTTCCATGGGATGCGCATAAAATCCACTCGACTGACAAATATTATCCAGAAGTCGAACGTTTAATTAACATCAGATAAAATGTTTTACCTACTCTAATATACTGATAATGAAAATACGAGTATGTTAACGCCTTATATTTTCATCCCTACACATTTCACAAACAAACGTGTGTTTAAATAAATTTCAGGAAAAATTGTCTTCTACCCGAGAATCCAGAGCATGGTAAATGGATATCAATAGCACTCCAGAAAGAGCTTCCTTCATTAACATGGGTTGATACAAGTTCCTTGTTCAGAGTGAAGTGTGATGCAGGTTACCAACCCAGTAACCCGTTCCTTATTTGTGATATATCTGGATGGGTGCCAGTTACGCCGCCCAAATGTGAAAGTAAGATTTTTTAGTTCTATTACGATAAAAAATCAACAATTAATCAATTATAGACAATCAATATCAGCTATTCTAAAACACTGATGCGATTTCAGAAATTTTATAAACAGACAAACAATTGGTAAAACTGTATACTCTATACAGGGTGACTTCGAAGTTGAGTCATTTATTTTAACAGTGAGTAGATCTGATCAAAAGAAATGTTTCTTTCCTTTAACATTTTTGTGGTAAAATTAAAGTAACAAAGTTATAGCCCTTTAGAAGTTTGAGTACCGCCCTGTCTCAATAATAATATGTGCTCGTGTTTGGCAACAACGGATATAATCGGAAACAAAAAAGCGAAAGAATTTGAAACGCTTATCACGATGTTTTATTCATTTATTTTATTCAGTTGTATTCATTCGATGTGTCAGTCGGTAACGCGTGAGTGGTGTTTCTGCGTGGCTCAAACGAAATAAAAAATGGCACATGTTTACGAAAATGCTGAACTTGTGGACATGATTCTGATTTTACAAAATGCTGCTACGGCAACACGGATTTATGCCGATCGGTTTCCCAATCGAGTGCAACCAACCCCTAGTGCCTTTGTTAATGTAGTACAAAGGGCTCGTGAATCAGGTGACTTAAGTCCTCACACGGGAGGGTATGTGCTCCAAGACCGCACGATCAAATACAGGTCCGCACTGAAATACTTGTCGGGAGGATATTTTATAAAACAAGGTAACATTTTTTTTAAATTTTTTTTTAATTTTTACAGACATATTTTGGTTTATCTTCCTTCTACAATCATTATCTGAAAATTAATGACTCAACTTCAAAGTCACCCTGTATAAGTTCACAATCAATGAAAATAAAAAATATCGAATTTTGTTAGGGTTATAAAATTCGTAAGTTTTAATTTTGATTCTAAAACCTTAACTATCCCTATCAAGTTTTCCAAATTCTAAGATTTGTCAGAACAGTGATAATGTACATCATTCAGTAAAATACTGTTGGTTTTTTAAATTCCAAATATTATCCAAATATTCTCTTAAATCTAAATAATTCATTGAAACTTACTTTTACCTAAACTAATAAAACCAATTTAATAAATCTATTTAAATTGTTTTACTTGGAGCAGGTAAGCTCATTCTAATAGTCCATTAATTTTAAATAAATTGGTGTAGTCGGTTGCGTTTTTGTTTAATTAAACTAGTAGTTTCATTTATTCAAGTAACCTGTTTTAGAAACCGGAGTTGAATTGGATTCATCAAACTTGTTACCTGTCAAATGGTTGATCAATTGTTTCAATTTGCCTAATTAAATTTTTAAATGGTTAATTAAACTTTTTTCTCATTGTAATAAACGGTACGGTTATGCATAAAAAACAACTTTGACATCCAGCTCAGTAATAGTTCACCCTATATAATCCCCAATATTTTTGAAACGCATTCCCACGATTTTTAAAAAAAATTGTCGAAGCAATACTCCATCCATGTAAGTTTGGGCCGCCCTGTTCATGAGATAAGAGTTGCAATGCTGGTGAACTGACCGGTATAGATAATGATAAGAATGTAGATAAATATCCAAACAAGTATTAGATAAAACTTACCGAACCTACAATGTTCTGATCTAGAGAGGACTGCCCCACTTGGGGGCCCTGTTCTTCGGAAACTACTCGTGGAAAAACATTGGACCCACGGACACTTTTATTCTACGTCTTGAGATCCACCACATTACTAAATTAAAAAGAAACACAGCAGGAAGTAATTATCAAATAGGTCCCTACGACGCTCATTGATCCCCTTGGGATACGACAAATATGTGCAATAAATTCAGAAATTCCAATATTTGTTGTTTTCTGGCAGTTTGAGAATTTGATATGCTATAAAGAAATGGACAAAATCGCTAAAGTACCATTTATCTCGGTTATAATATAATTTTTTTTTTGTTTAATTCCTAGAACTTTGTCCTCCAATCAAAAGTAATTACGCCATGCACCTGGAGTGCAAAAACAAAAATGGTACCCGTATATCGTGCAGTCAAGCAACCAGTGGTTCAACCTTAGAATACTCTTGCGAGGCTTTTTACCACTCTGCAGACAAATATGACAAGCGAAGAGTGTGCATCGACGGCAAATGGAATTGGCCCCTTCCAGAATGTATACCAGGTCAGATCATTGTAATAAACATTAACAACTATGTGTATAACAATGGAGGTTGTAAGTGTGGTCAAACGGCTCCTAATAATAACAACAACATTCCTGAGATGTATGTGAGGTCAAGTGGTGATGTTCCACAGAATTAACTACCTACTTCTAAAATATATATACTTACTGCAGTTATTGGGCACATCCAATTAATTACAACATTCTAGCGTTTTATTCCAGCATACTGACATTAAGCGGTACATGAACATATGAAATGCATATAACAATCAAGGCACTGCTTTCTGAACTACTAAGAGTGTATTATCATATTTTAGTAATTTTTAAGAAATCGACAAAAATATGTAATAGGTTCCTTAAATAACCGTAGAGCAGGTATCGTTTTTGTTATAGCTGAATAAGATGGATATTTTAATGAAAGGCGGATTTAGGTATCTGTCTGTCTGAGGTTGGCGGCGGCATGCTTAAGCACTTGAGCAGCGCCTCTGAGACCAAACGCCATGGTAACAATTGAAAACGGGGTTTGAGATACGTCTAGGTGGGGGTTCAGGTCAGGTCTAGCAAGGTGGTAGTAGTAGTAGTAGTGGTAGTGGTAGTACTAGTAGTAATAGTTTTTTTATAATATTAAACGACCGTCGCCGGGCCGCAACCTCTAGCGAGTGGGTCTTTGAACCTCCTGACGTGCTGGAACTGCCGCTGACGGTATATCGTCTCGCACGCTGTCTTTTTCTCCATCAACTTGATCATCTATCACCATCTTCTTTCACCCTACATCTCCCTTCCCGGATCAACCGGATTAGGAGTTCGGGGAGGTTGAACGTGTCGATCCTCGTACGAGGCTCCGCATATCTTTGACCTCTATCGTTTTCCTGGCTAATATGCCTCTTGCCATATTCGTGACACAAGTCCAGTTGTCAAGAGACTGCAGCATCGAGTTGACAATGCTGTGCGGGGTGACTTCCGTTCCTAAGCACTGGCTGCATTCTTGTCTATCTACCTCCCATTTAGGACACCTGAAAAAGGTGTGGAAGGCATCGCCCATGGCTCTGCAGTACAGGCAGGATGAATCGTCGCAAATGGCGAATCTATTAAGATACGCCTGAAAACACCCGTGCCCTATCAATAGCTGGATCAGGTAGAAATCCACTTCGCCATGCTCCCCTTCAACACATACCTCCAGATTTGGTATCAGTGTTGATCGTACGCTGCTTGTCTTCCAGTGTTAGTGGGATCTTCATGCACTTGCCGTCTCATTTCCACGGCCAGGTATATGGGTAGCGTATTAGAAATCACCTCAACAGCCTCAGCCGATACCGTGCGGTATGCACTACTAATTCGCAGCCCTATCCTTTTACTAACTCTCTGCAGCTTGGCAAGATGTCGCTTTACACTCATGGCCCCTTCCCATATGGGAGATGCGTATAGCAGAGTAGATCACTGAACTTAAGGTCGCTCTCCAATGTTGGGCATCAGTCTGGATAGAAGTGCCACCAGTTCGGCAGCCTTGGTCACCATCCTGCTCATATGCTCCCCAAAGGTGAGCCTACCGTCAATCCATACGCCCAGGTATAACAATGCCTTCCCAGGTCGAACCTCTTGGCCATCTACCAGGAAAGATATTTGTTGTAATTTCGTTTTCTTGGTGATTATTACTGCTTCCGTCTTTTCTGGAACTAAGTATGTGGACCTGCCTTTGAGCCAACAATAGCCCAGTCAGCCTTCTGTTTTAACTCTACCTCACCTCTGGCGACGACCACTATAGCCAGATCATCCGCGTAGGCTATGAGCGTTATACCGTGTGGCATTTCCAGTTCTAACAAGCCGTTGTACAGGATATTCCATAGTGTAGGACCGAGAATCGAGAAATGAGGAACTCCTGCGTTCATCTCAATCAGATGATCCCTACCAGGTTCTATCCTTATCTTGCGGTTCTCCAAGTAACTTACAAGCAGGCGCAACACAGCACCATCTGATACAATGTGTTTCAGCTTATTCCTAACAATTTCACCTCTGGATGCCACGTTGAATGCGTTCCGTACATCTAGAGTTATAAGAGCACACAGCTGCCTCTTCCTGTTAACGATGATGTCTGACTGCTTGGTAATCCTTATGACTTCCTGTATGGCATCTAAAGTTGATATTCCTTTACGCAAGCCATACTGCCCATCGGAGAGTCCGCCCACTATATCCATGTCTTCGAGTAGTTGATTCAGAAACATATGCTCCAGCAGCTTAGTAGATGCGTCTAGTAATAATAAGAGGTTGGAAATTTGATAGTAATAGTAGTGTTGGGGAAGCGAAGCCACGCAACTAGGCCACCTTTGACCCCTTTTGCCGACCCTGTAAAACTAACACTGTACTACTCCACAAACCATCTACTGATCTAAACTGATTATTGAATAAGCCAGCTCCAGCGATGCGATGTACCTATGTTGATCTTGCACCGATCTGGTGCGTGGGCCTAGCAAAGTAATTTTTATACTGAGATACAGCAATATATACAATTTTCTTGGAAAAAAGCGGCAGATTTTGGGCGACTAGGAGGGAGCGCCCTCTCTAAATCAACCAATGATTCTAGGGCATCATACGCCTCTGAATTATATCGGATTGTGTGCAATTATATTATTTGCGAGACTTTTATACCTTCTAGAATCTATATCTTTTAGCTTATGACTCAATCAGTCTGTAGGTATGTACATGTAAATATGAAAACTCAAAACCATCTGTCTCGACTTACTCACCATTCAACTGAAATCTACGAAGATACGAAAATGCTTAGATCTAAGTTCTCCAAAATGTTACATGTACTACCCAAAGAAAAATTGGTGTTAATAAACATCAAGAAAGCTTATTTGCAGGTGAAGGTGAAGTTATTTTTCATTCTACGCCTTTGTAATAAATCTTTCTAATGAATACCTAATCAAGTTATGTCAATAAAAGCATAACTACATATTGCCATGTCTTTTATTATAACAACTACCTTTAAAGAATAGCAACTCAACATATTATAAAATAAGTGGGCTTGTCCTCATATTCACATAAAAAATAATATGACAAGACCATCCAAAAATAACATGTTGATCTCTTTCATGAAGATGTGACTATACAGGCTGTCCCATTTTAATCTCTCCACCTAAATATTTCGAAAAATGGGCATTCTAGAGAAGTAAATTTCAAACAAAAGTTGTAAGGCTTCCATTAGGAGAATGATGGTGACCTTGACAATAAATTTCACATTGGAAAGCAGTTCAAGGTCAAATAAATATTTTCAAACAGAGCCTCCGTTTTTCACATCGGCATTGAAAAGAGAAGGAAATCTTACGCCTGAATATCACTCTGGTCATGACCTTGACCTTGGCCTTCAAAGCCATTCCAAGGCGAACTCAAGACATCGAAAACGATTTGCTGTAGCGAAATGTTCCACAAAACAGAGTCGACGATCACCCAAAGGTAACTTTGACAACATTTTGGGTCAAGGCAAAATTTCCAAAGGAAACATCTCATTTTTATACTGGAAATGTAAAAGAAACGAAATCTTACGTCCGAATGTGACCTGGGCCTCAAATAAGATTCAACCTTGACGCGATCTTGAGGTCAAGGTCACATACGGACGTAAAATTTCCTGCTTTTTTCATTTCCAGTGTAAAAATGAGAAATTTTCTTCAGAAATTTTGGCTTGACCTTGAAGTTCATGATCAAGCTCATGGCCAAGATCTCATTTGGATGATTCCCATAAACCTCACAACTGTATTATCGAACATTTTGAGTAAATTGTTTTCAACGTGTTAATTAGACCTTTGAAGGTCTTGATTATGATAATATTTGGACGTAAAATTTCTAATTTGCAAATCTCATTTTTTTATTAACTCGAACTACTCTGACATGAAGTCACTACATGCCACGATGCGAAGGTCATGAATGAAAGGATAAGATTATCACTCGCAAAAGTGCCGTTAATTGACCACTTATGTTTCCTAATTGAATGTCAATATTTAAGGGGGTGATTTTTGGCTCCATTTTAACGAGAAAAATTAATATGAACATATGTCCTAACCGTCTCAACTTTTGAGATACAGGCTAGTTCAGTTTTCAAGAATAAATTACCCACATGTTGAATATGTTAATAAAATTTGACCTACATATGTACCAGGAGGCATTTTTTACTGTACTACATTTTTTAATTTCCACCAGTAGCGTTCATGCGGAATTTCACCTACCTAATTTAGACATTGATGTTGGGACACTAATTGTTCTTAAAATAAAATGTATTCTTGAAATACTCAATAATTTCATTTTCAATTTGATACACGCTTTTCGCTTAAAAAAGAATAAAAATCGTTTGTGTGCATGATCATAACAATATCGTTAACAAGACAATATCTCCATGCAGAGAAATAGCTTTTATTTTTCTGGTGAAAACCGAACGTCGAACTAACAAATTTCAATATATATATATATATATATATATAACTTGAGACGTGGTCATTGTCGTCTAGACCAGTTAGGTGAAAAATTAAAGCTTCCGCCTTTTGTTGGGTACTTCGACAAAATTTAAGCAAAGAGGACTCTTTATACTTTTTTTAATTCTCTCTAGCTTTCAATGGACTTTGCCATCATCATCAGGAGCTGCAATTACAATGATAACAGTAGCAACAAAAGTGTAAAATGAATTTAAATTGAATCAACTTACAGTAGTATGTGAGGATGTTGCTAATTGTTGTTTTCGTATAGGATGAGCGAAACGTCCAGTAACATGGTGAGAGCTGGATACATGGTACAATGGTTAAAATTATATAAAATATGACAAGACAAGTTAAAGACAGATTAAAAATTATTTAGAAAACATTAGAGCATTACGTCGTGAAGCCACTTGATGATTGCACAAAATGGTGGTCATGGAATAATGAGTGAGATGAACCTTTGACAGGGTGACTTCGAAGTTGAGTCATTTATTTTAACAGTGAGTAGATCTGATCAAAAGAAATGTTTTTTCCTTTACCATTTTTCTGGTAAAATTAAAGTAACAAAGTTATAGCCCTTTGGAAGTTTGAGTACCGCCCTGTCTCAATAATAATATTATGTGCTCGTGTTTGGCGACAACGGATATAATCCGCCTTATCGGTTCATCGCTTCGGAAACAAAAAAGCGAAAGAATTTGGAACGATGTTTTTACAATTATTTCATTCAGTTGTATAGTCAGTGTCAGTCGGTAGTGAATAGTGGTGTCTGTTGCGTGGCTCAAACCAAATAAAAAATGGCACATGTTTATGCGGATCGGTTTCCCAATCGAGTGCAACCAACCCCTCGTGCCTTTGTTAGTGTAGTACAACGGGTTCGTGAATCATTTGACTTAAGACCTCACATATGGACGGCATGCCGGTGCTCCAAGACCTCACGATCAAATACAGGTCCGCACTGAAATACTTGTCGGGAGGATACTTTATAAAATAAGGTAAACTTTTTTTTTTATTTTTTTTTTTATTTTTACACACATATTTTGGTTTATCTTCCTTCTACAATCATTATCTGAAAATTAATGACTCAACTTCAAAGTATATATCATAAGCAAAAGCAGAATTCAATTTTCCATTTTAATAAAAGTTGCGTGCCAGTGACTTTTTGTGTTGAAATCTTTACCAAACTGTATCTCAAAAGCTAAGACGTTTAGGAGATACTTTCATATATGAAGTTTTTTTAAATGGATCCAAAAATCTCCCCCTTAAATATTGAGATTCAGTTAAGAAACACCGTATACACTACGATTTGGGGCACCATTAGAAACTCTTTTGTGGGACTTTCTGAAGTCATACTTCAATGTCAACAAGCCATAATCCACCAAAGCTCTAGCAGTTATCATAACTCACGTAACAATGAAAAGTTTTATCTGGAGTCATACATAAAAATCATTGGAACTGGACCCCTCGAATCTCTGCCACTGCGCGAAACCACCACTAACATTTGAACATATTTATATACCACACGACATACATGAGTGCTTCAACTAAAATGCCTCACAGCTTATTTTATCATTGCAACGTCGAGACGATTTATAAGAAAATCCTTTATCAAAAAAATTTGCTACAGATGTTTGGTATGGACAAAATGAGCAGTTTTGTTCTAGTACTGTTTTATTAAATTTCAGACTTGCGTTACCACATCAAATACTGGCGCTCCGAAGGGGGGAAGTAAAGGAGGGTAATAACCCCTCAGACGACCCATAAAAAATCATTGCGCCCAAAAATGAGCACATTGTAAAAAATTAACAATGAAGTTCACTTTCATTAACGAAAAGACCTTGGTTCATACCACTTACCGTTTCTCATACACAGAGGCTGTAGCTAGTTTCCAGTGATTATTATATATTAGCGAATTAAATATTTTAGTTAAAAGATGTGAAAAATAGTATTTTCAATAAACAGACTGAAATCCTGGGAGCGCCACTGCCATTAGAGCTTATAGAAATAGAAGAATTTATACTATCGCCATTTATTTCAATCACAAGATAAAACGCTAGTTCCAAAACTATCCAGATAACATTTTACTCTTTGCAAGAGTATTTTCTGGAAACTTGGCAAAAACAGTCTTTTCGACAAATCCAAAGGATAAAGCATAGATCGTCTTTCAAGATTGTGGGAGAGAAAGGGTACCTGGAGCCCCGTTGATCGTGCATGGAAATGATACACAAAAAGGAAGTTACCCATGGGCTACAATCATATTCATAAAGGAAGGGAATACGATGAAGTTCATATGTGGCGGATCGATGATCAGTACCAGATTTATATTAACAGGTACCATATACAATTTTATGACTTTCTCTGTTAACTACTGAAAATCCTGGAGTTCCCCCTCCTCTCATTCCTTTCTTTTAGTCTCTGTTTTCGCCAAAGGCAACTCGTCTTCAAAATCAGCTAACGTACCAAATGTATCTTCAAAAAATCCCTGATAGTCCGATAAAAGTACTACTCCATCGCATTTATGTGTTCTTCCAAGTAATTCAGTTAGAGCAGGGCTGTTGAAATCTTCCAGAAGAGGTACCGTTGATTGATCTAGCTAGATTTTATTCATGAAATACAGTACTTATACGTTTTTCCTTCAGTCAAGGTTTTTGAGAATAAAAATATTCTACGTATAGTCCGCATTCTTATTAGTAAGTACTATATACATTAGGTATGCCTAGTGACTTTTTTCACAATCTCAGAACAAGACGAAATCGGGTTGAGATCGAGTTGCTGTTAGCTTGCTGTTAGTGTGAACAGTACCATCAGATAAAAAAAGTCAACACCATTAGATTACAAAAATGGCAGAAACGATAAATGTATTAAAACTTCATGGATAATAGAATGATGTTACTTGAGAGATAGAATAACTAAATGGTTATATTCACAGCTTTCATATGGATGATAAGACCTTATAGGATAGTTTATTTTGCAAATAACTAATAAATAATAAATTCATACTAATATTGCAGCGGCACACTGTGTTACAACTGAGGATGGCAACTTATTTGATAGTAATTTGTTCGAGGTAGCAGTAGGAAAATACTTTAGTAACTATAGTATAACCGAAACATCAGCACAGCTTTTAAAGGTAAGTGTAGCACTTCACTATATAAGAACTATTTTCACAGAACCACAATAAAATGTAACACTGAGTTAGGATGCACTCCTAATATGTAAAAGAGATTAGAAACTGTTCATGGTGCATTAATGTTTTACTGCTTATGTTTAAATTATACATTAAAGTATTATCTGAAAAAAATAAAACTAGCCAAATTAGACACATTATACTACTATGATATTTAGGTACAGAGGTATAAGATGAAAAAACATAATTTTATTTTGCTTCAGATACAAAAATGTATCGTGCACAAAGAATACAGAGGAGATAAAAGAGGATACCAGGCTGACATTGCGCTAATGAAAACTACAAAGAACATATTACTAACGTTATTCGTACAACCTGTTTGTATTACTAATTTGTGTGAAGTCTCTGTCCATGGAGAAGGACTGGTAATTTCTTTGTATTACTACATATATTCATTCTAGTTTGAGCTAACACCGAAAGGATTGACGTTTGACATATTTTTGTGAAAAGCTAGAGAAATATTCATAGTAGGTGTCTTTTTAAGTACACAACAAGGCGAAGTCGAGAGGAACTACAGGTGAACGGAGAAAATCATTCATAAAAAATTGCATTTTTATAATTACTACCGGGCGCTTTTGACACTGCTTGTAAATCAGACAGTTGCTTGGAGTAGTGTAGCTCCCGATCGTTATTAAGCACAGCGGCAAAAAACTCGCGAAGGCAGTATTATTAACTATTGTTATCCACCCGATTTTATAGGAAGCAAAGTTCCATGCATGCTATTTACGTCCGCATGACAGTTTGCGGCATTTGTTTTTTTTTGTTTCAGATTTATTTAGCATTAATGCTACAATGTCCTTAATATCCATATAATACAGTATATCACAAAATATATTATGTCTTCAAGACTACATATTTTTATACAAAATTTGACTACTATGAATTCTGGTTTTCCATGAGACATTTTTTCAATTTCCCTTTGAACATTTTCAAACTGACACACATCTTGATATCATTACTTAATTTGTTAAATTCGTACCATCCCTTTTAAAATACTGACTTGCTCGTTATATTGCTACTGCAGTTTTGTAAATGAAAGTCTATACTTTCTCTAGTAGAATAATTGTGGCACTCATTGTTCAGTACAATAAAATTTTCTAAGTTTTTTGGTAGAAGATGATTTTTCAACTTGAATATGAAAATGAAAACCAAGTAGTCTATGAAATTTTTGATATCTAACCATTGTAATTCTTTCAGCATAAGATTTATTCAAGTATATTTGTTTTTATTTAAGATGAATCTCTTAGCTTTATTTTGTAATATTTGTAATTTTGAAAATACAGCTTCATTTGCAGTGAACAAAATAGTCGAACAATATAACAAATGATGAAGAATGATAGTGTTGTACACAATTGTTTTAGAATAAACGCTTAGGCTATGCGAAATTCTATGAAAGTAATTTATTTTCTTATATATATTTTTGAAATAATATATTCATAGTGCCCTTCAAATTTTAATTTAATGTCTACGTATATGCCAAAATATTTAAATGATTCGATTGACACAATTTTTTCATGATTAATTTTTTTTTTTTTTTATATCGAAACAGCCGCGCAGGCAGAAGCCTAAATGCCGGAACACCGCGGCTGCTATGATGATCCCAAAGAAATTTTGTTAATACGATTTTTGAACTGCCTAAGGTTAGTAGAACTGGGAAAAGCTTCCTCCCGTAGTTTGTTCCACAATCTAGACACCCTCGGGACAAAGGAGCGGTCGTATCGGCCGGTTCTGGATGTACGAAGTTTGACATGGTTAGGATGGGACGCCGAAGTCAGGCGGGTCTGTCTGGCAGGCACATCGCGCGGCGGCATCATGGAAGAGAGCTGTGAGGAGCAAAGCCCGTTGGTGTAGCGATAGAAAAGAGCTAGATCGCCGACGGCCCGCCGGTGCGAAAGAGTCCCGAGACTGTCTGTTAGAGAAGAGTCATCGATCAGTCGGACCGCCCTCCTCTGGACAGCATCGAGCATGGACAATGTAGTCGGGGCGGCAGCACCCCAAATGTGTGAGCAATACTCGAGGCTAGGCCTTATCTGGGCCTTGTATAGAGTGAGAAGGTCATGCGGAGAAAAGTACTTCTTAGCCCTAAACAAATAGCCTAGCTTTTTCCCAGCAGCTGCAGCTATTGAAGAGATGTGTTCGTGCCAGATCAGGTCCTCGGTGATCTGGACTCCGACCAGCCGAAATGAATAGCTCTTTGGTAGGACTCGACCGTCCATCGAAACAGTATGAGCGCTAGGACGCTTTTTGTTCGTCAAAGTACAGTACTGTGTTTTGGAAGCATTGAACTGTACAAGATTGTTGCGTCCCCAAGCAGTGATAGCCTCCAGGTCTCTTGTCAGAGAAGAAGTCGTCGCTAGTCTTCTTTTTTCCAGCTCAGCGGCAGAGATCGGCTTGTCACTCTGAATTCCTGCATGTAGAGTGCTGTCATCAGCGAAGCTGTGGATTGGGTTGATCGTGCAGGAAAGGAGGTCGTTGATATGTAAGAGAAACAGTGTTGGAGCCAAGACCGATCCCTGGGGAACACCCGCGTTGACGTTGTGGGATGAAGAGGAGAATCCGTCAATTACGACGGATATCTTGCGGCCAGAGATAAAGTCAGCCACCCATCTGCAAAGCTTTTCTGGGAGGCCGTAGGATGGAAGTTTGCTTAAGAGGGCAGCGTGCCACAGCTGATCGAACGCTTTCGTGATGTCAAGAGCAACGACATGAGCCTCACCATGAGACTGGCTGAGTTTACTCCACAGTTGCGTGACGTAAGCTAGGAGGTCCCCTGTGGATCGTTGGTGCCGGAAACCGTACTGCCTGTCACTAATCAAGCTGTGACGTTCGAGGTAGTCCAGAAGCTCGCGATTTATGCACCTCTCCATCACTTTACTTATAACAGAAAGCAGAGCTATAGGCCTGTAGTTGTAAGGGTCGGTTTTAGATCCTTTTTTTGGGATGGGCTGTACATGAGCAAATTTCCAGTTTATTTGGGAAGGTGCCGGATTCATAAGATATCTGGAAGAGACGCGAAAGAACTGGAGCAAGCTCAGCTGCACATCTCTTCAGTACAATGGCAGGAATCAAGTCCGGACCAGAAGCTTTGTTGATGTCGAGCGACAAGAGCACTCGTCTTACGGTCTTATGCCTGAATGTTACCTCCCGCATAGTGTGGGGAACCCTTTGAATTGACGGCACTTGTGCGTTGGTGGGGACGTCCATGGTGGAGTTGGCAGCAAAGATCTTGGCTAGCACTTCCGCCTTGGCCTTTGAGTCGAATACAATAGTTCCATCCTGACACGTAAGTGGTGGAAGGCTACTGTGTGAGAAGTTCTTTTCAATCTGCTTGGCCAGCGTCCAGAAAGACCGACTGCCATTGCACTGCGACATTACCCTGTGCCTAACTTTTATATCATGTTGGGTTTTGGCATTGCGAACCGCTTCATTATATTTGTTTCTGGACTCGACGTCGGCTTGTCTGTTCTCTACAGTGGGGTTTTGTAAGTAGGTTCTGTGGGCCTTGATCTTCTGCTGGCGAGCAGTGTCACACGATTTGTTGAACCAGCCGTTGGACCCTGGTTTAGGAACTTTCACTGTGTGAGGGATGTATTCCTCCATTCCGACGTGGATAATTTCGGTTATTGAAGAACAGACAGACGACGCATCCGCGTCAGTGAAACAGACTTCTCTCCAAGGAAAGCTAGAGAAGAAGTCTCTGAGCCCCTCCCAGTCGGCATGTCCGTAATGCCAAGTTTTGCGGCCTGTGCGAGTTTCTGCGGCCACAGCGGCTTCTGACCGAAACCTAACCTCCACAACACCGTGATCTGAGTTACCCAGGGGGGACAGGACGGCAGTGCTGTAAGGGGCAGGATGCGTGGTCAGAAAGAGATCCAGCAGGCTACTGGCGTGTGACGAGACGCGGGGGAAAAAAGTAGGGCTCGTCACCAGCTGGGTCAGCCCTTGAGTAAGAGCGAACGCTTCGACTGCACGACCTGCTGCATCGGTCTTATTTGAGCCCAACCAAAGCTCATTATGGGCATTGAAATCACCGAGAAGAACTACCTCTGAAGCGGGGTGATTGATGTTCAGGAAGTCGATCTGGACGGCGAGGTATTCGAGTAGGTCATCCCAGTTATGGTTTGAGGGAGAGCGATAAAGGCAGCAAATAAATTTGGGTGATGTTTTGAAGTTGAGGCGAAGCCACAGAATGTCCTTCCGGTCTGATTCCAAAGAAAGATCCCTGGAGCAGGAAAGACTGCTGCGGACAAAAGCCACAACTCCCCCGTTCTTTCTCAGATTGGAGTGCACCTCGTAGTTTGGGAAGTTGAGATGGTTAATCGGTGCAGCCTCTGAGATTTTTGTCTCCGCCAAGAAAAGCACGGCGGGACGATTGGATTGCAGGTAGTGATGAACAGCATCAATGTTGCTGTTGATCCCGCAGATGTTCGAAAAACAAATTTTATCTTCGATGTTGTTCCCTCGAGCCCACCCCCACCCGGACATTCCGAGAGTGGAGTGAATTTACGTCCGTAAAGATTTATAGTATTTTGATCTAAAGATTTTCGTATTAGCATATATTTTGTGTTGTTTGTATTTAGGTTAAGTTTATTTACATTTAACCAATTTATTACGTTTTTCATATCATCATTTAACAACTCTATTGCAGTTTCAATGTTTTTATTTGATATATATGTATATATATATATACATATACATATACAATGTGTTTGGTCACGACATACCGATATTTAAGAGGCATTTTTCAGCTATTTTTATCGACAAATCCACCCCCCTACAATTCCTACCTCATCCCCCTTGAAATTGCAGCCATTTTTATTTTTATTTTACGATTGCGGTAGTGCATGTTTGAAAATTGTAATACCTGAGTACGTAATTGTCACAGAATGATAAATTTGGTGTCATTTGAACGATGACATGCTGACTAAGCGATTATTGAAAAACTTGTTGTGATACCAACCGTCAAACATACTTAAAAACAGACAAACATAGAAAAACATATGGAAGAAAATTGATTATTTTGTGCATTTCCGCACACCATTCAAAAACTAGCCTGTGAAGTTGTACCTTTTTTGAGATAATTCTACAGCTTTTTGTTATCCTAAGTATTCTACGTTAATAAATGCTACCTAATATGGGTCAAAATGGGTGTAATAAAATGCAAATTGTTTTCAAACTTTATATGCATAAAAATGACAAATCAATGTTTCTTATAGAGAGTTTGGACATGTTTAATGTTACAAAAGCTGTTGGAAATGTCCTCCATTATTGGTTATGCACATTGTTGTTCTTAAAACAATAATCGAATCCAAGCGAATAACCAAAATTTCTGTGTTGTGTACCGCGGTTATAATATGGTTTAAGATCACGTCAGTCACTCGAATCGCTTGAACGCGTTGGTTTTAACCGCGGTTTTGTTGCAAGTTGTTTATTTTAGAAAAGCGCGTATATAATTTTCGATTATTTTTATTATCACTTAATAATCGGTGATTTTTCGTCTAGAACAGTGCATGGAAGGTTTATAAAATAAACCATTCATGATATTAATGGGAGAAAGTGTTTTTTCAGACAAATTTAATGATGGAACCATGGCTTTGTAGCTATGGTAACCTTCAATTCTTTAAACTTGTCCGCATGTTAAAGAAAACATTTATTGATTTAGCAGAAATGATAGAAAAAAAGAGATGAAAAAAGATATTAGAAAACCGTATACAGATGGACATTATCCAGTGAGTTTATATGGCCATATTTTAATATTCCTGTGGTATATGACTACACATGATACCTTGTTAAGCATAGGAACTAGATTTAAAGTGTCCCCAACAACAGTAATGAGAATATCTAATAAGGTGCTCTACTTTATGCTACAACTGAAGTCAGCCTGTATGTACAACAAAAATATCCAGCACCTGCCAAAATTCTAACTTGTCAAATTACAAATCATAACCAGAAATATAAAACTACTCCGGAGTTGGGTAAGTACCACAATTTTACGGTGATAACTATGACATATAACAGCTGATTCATGACGTCACGGATCTTATAACCAAAGTGATAACCACACTCGCTTGAACGGATCGGTAAATACCAATCCAAAATGGTAAATACCATTTTCATTTGGTTATTCGCTTGAATTTGATTCATGTGTCGTGTTGAGCGGCAAACCATATCCGTGTCAGCCCTAATTTCGTTCGCAGCGGTATGGATCCATTTCAAGGGGGGTGAGGTATGACATTGTAGGGGGTGGATTTGTCGATAAAAATAGCTGAAAAATATCCTTCTCAAATATCGGTATGTCGTGACCAATCACATTGTGTATATATATATTAATGTATCATCAGCAAATAGTTGAATTTTGCAGCGTTGTAAAATATCAGGAATATCGTTAATATATAAAATAAATAGTAATGGGCCTAGTTTGCTACCCTGTGGCACACCTACCGAAATGTTTTTAATGTTTGATAATATATTGCCAATTTTAGTTCTTTGACTTCTATTGATTAAATAATTTTGTAATAAGTTGAATACTGAACCTTGAAATCCATAGCAATGCAATTTCGTTAACAATTTCTCCCTGTCAATAGTCTCAAATGCTCTCTTGAAATCTAAGGACAATGTTACTGTAAACTTTTTTTCATCCATATTTCGCCTCTATTCCTCTACTACCATTTGAATTGCGGTTTCAGTAGAAAACTTTTTTCTGAATCCTGCTTGAAATTTTGTCATTTTCTTCAATATATTCAATGACTTGTTCATATATGATTCCTTCTAAGAGCTTCTTGACATCTGGCAGTACATTAATTGTCCGCATATGTGTATATTACTCAGAATTTTGCACTTTTGGAACAGGAGTAATTGTAGAACATTTTAACATTGAAGGAATTTCGCCATACACTATATATATACAGTCATTCACTAACAATAATAACTTCTCTCCAATAATCTTGAAACATTCCTTTATAACCATTTTTAAAGATGTTCACTAGGATTTCTATTCGTTTTCAATCTTGTAATAGCTTTCGAAATATAGCTGACATTTATTGTTTGAAATTTTGTCATAGAAGAATTACAAGTAACTTGCATGCGACATAGATTTGGATCCCCATCTTCGATTGATTCCACTATCTCATTTATACTTTCTATAAAATAAGCGTTCATTCGTTCTGCAATCAATATTTTTTGTGTTACTATACCATCTTCGAAGGACATTCTCGATAATTCATTCTTCCTACTGGGAGATACAATATTTTTTAGTGTCTTCCACATCATTTTACTGTTATTTTTATTGCTATCGATTTTGTTTTCATAATATTTTATCTTTTCGTTCCTAAGATTTGTTTAGAGTCTAGAAATATTTGTGAAAACCAGAGTGTTGGCTTTTTCGTTTGATATACCACTTTAATAATTTGTGCGTCTCTCATGCAGTTCTCCATACAATCCAGAATTTTTCAGAAGTGTCAGCATCATTAAAAATTTCAGTGATATTGGCTTGTAAGGGTGACTCTCGTAACGTTTCAAAGTCAATAATTGTGATTTCTCTTGATTCTCTCTCATTAAACATATTTTCCACCTCGAAACATATCCACGAATGTTCGCTTATTTTTGGAGTATGTAAAACCCTAATACTCAAATTCTGTTCATTGGTTATTATTAAATCGATCTTAGTTCGTGAAAAGCTTGTAATCCTTGTGTAGTCATTACCGTTTTGCCATAGACCATGAAAGTTCAGTAGTTGTTTAAATTTTTTTACATAAAAATCTTGATTATCAAAATTTATATTGAAGCCTCCCAAGTGCACAGTGGAGCAATTTCGATAATAGGTACTGTTTTTCACAAACACTCTCAAAAAAGTCCAAAAATCGGCTAATATTACAGCTTGGAGATCTGTAGTAAACGTGTACATTGTAATTTTGTTTCATTTTTTGGCCTGTGATTGATATTTGTCACCATAAGAAACTTTATTTTTTGATTTTTCATATTCGATTTGGACCATGTTGCAGGTATAGTGGAAGGATGCGTGATGCCACTATTTTAATCGAAGCATCACTATTTTTAACGTTGTTTCTCTAACCAATTCTTCATTGTTTAAGTCTTCACTGAAACCCACGACTTTAATCATTGGTAATTTTTTGTGGCCTACATTCACTTCATAATTCTGTACAACACTTTTTTCTATTTTTCTTTCAGATCATTTACTTGTTTAATAGACAAATTCATTTTTGCTGGATTTAAATACTTGCTCAATTCCTTCTTTGTTTGCGTATTACTTTGATTTGTATTATTAGGTTTAATAACAATTATATTTTCTGGTTGTGTTGATGTGTTTATATTTTTAGTATATTTTACCGTTTTTTTAGAGATGGCGAAGTAATGTTGGTGTTTTCATGTGTAGAACTTTTGGCCATGTCTGCATAAGATTTACTGTTATTTGCAGATGTATCTTGTAAATTCTCAATTTGTTTATTTTGTTTATCTATTTTTTCATATAGTTCTTTTATCAGTTTTTTTTGTATCGAAATAGTTATAGTCTTTTATCTTTAAAATGTCTGTTACACAAAATCCTTTTTTTCATGTGATACATTCACCTCATTTGCTTTTACACCAGCTTCAGTCCCATCTTCATCAGTCTCCATATGGTTCAACTCGATATTTTTTCAAGAAAGAACTTGACCCAGAAAACACTTTATGTCACTAATTAAGCATAAAATTATCTACCTTTTACTTTGTTTCTAGGTAACTGGCTGGGGTGCCACACAACCTCGAGGTAGGCCAGCTGATTCTTTGAAAGTTGCCACATATCCTATTAAAGATCGTTCCGAATGTCTCAATGAGCTACCAAAGAATTTCACTGATTACTACTTAACTGCTGACAAGATCTGCGCTGGATACTACGAGAAAGGTATTCGATCATATTTTAGTACTCGTATAAAAATATTGTTCTGCAACTAAAGGAAAAAGTACGTGTTATTTTCGCTCTTGTCCGGTAATTTTTTATGCGTCCGGCTTTTTAGCTACGCGGTATTCGCATAATCACGCAGCGCCGGCATTTTGTAGCGGCTATTTAACATGGTTTTTTACTGTTGTAGTTACAGCAATTTGAAAAACGTATGTACGGCCAAGGGCGGAGAGAGGGTGAGGTTATAATAATTTTCAGTCGTCGACATAAAATGAATCCTGTGACCACCACTGCGCCTCCCTATAGAACCTCCGCGTTAGACAGTCGCAGAACGTCTACCACCTACGGACAATCACAATATCCATAGCCAAGAGAAAATTTTCTCTTGGGACGGGATTCGAACCCGCGCAGCGCACGGTGGCTGATCAGGAGACCGAAGAGTCTACCACTGCGGCCACCGCTGCTTCCTATAATATCATACAGGGTTTGTCCGCAAAGTAATAGGACTCACTTTCTTCCGCCTTCGACTTCGACAAACACCGATAATGTGACTCGTGTGCTCAAAGTTTTGAAGTCAGACCATCGACTAAGTATTCGTTTAATTACCCAGATGTTAAATTTACCAAAATCTGTGGTTCATGACATTGTGACACAGCATTTGAACATGCGCAAGGTGTGCGCGAAGATGGTCCCAAAAGGGCTCACTGACGACCAGAAATTGCGGCGAGTGGAAGTGTGGCAAGAAAATTTGAACATGTGTGAAAGTGACCCCCAATTTTTGAATAACGTAATCATAGGTGACGAGTCGTGGATCTTTGAGTATGATCTCGAGACAAAGAGGCAATCTTCCGAGTGGCACCCGACGGCGTCTCCTCGCCCAAAAAAGGGAAGAATGAGCAAATCCAAAGTGAAAACGATGCTTATTGTCTTTTTTGACATCAAAGGCATCGTCCACCATGAATTTGTTCCTACTGGACAAACCATCAACGCCATGTTTTACGTGGAAGTGCTCAGGAGACTCAAACGAAGGGTCAGTCCGGTCCGACAAGACATCGCAGCCGACTGGAAGTTGCACCACGACAACGCCTCGGCTCACACCGCCTTTCTTGTGAACAGCTACCTGACCAAGGTCGGCATCCCAACGCTACCGCAGCCGCACTACAGCCCAGATGTGACCCCCCGGACTTTTTTTTGTTTCCTCGCCTGAGGAGGCCGATGAAAGGCAAGCATTTTGAGACGATAGAGGGGATCCAAGCAGCATGCACCGCGGCTCTCAAGGCTATTCCGGAGAATGCCTTCCGTGACGCATTCAATGCTTGGAAATCGCGCTGACAGCGCTGCATCGACGCAGAAGGAACCTATTTTGAAAGTTTTTAAAGAATTGTATCTATTGGCTCAATAAATTTTTTTAAATCGACTCAGTCCTATTACTTTCCGGACAAACCCTGTATAATAATGTGTATTAGCATACGACGGCACAAGTACCATGAATTTACAGACTCGACTACTCCGAAAGTGTCGATAGCGTCGATAGCTGATCCATCACTATGACCGCTTGATGCCGTCGGTTCTAGCGATATAGATGATTAGATTAGATTAGATGCTTTATTGTCTACGGGTCAAAAATTTGATAAACGTGTCGTCATATATGCCCTACTGGTATCTAATACAATAAATCAAAAATATCTTTAAACGTAAGGAAAAATGCTATAGAAATGTGTAGCAAAGAGATAAAAATCACAGTCTTTAAAAAACAGAAATACTCACACACTCATAAAGATACTATGAGTCATAAAACACCAGATCAAATTACAAAGTCCAAGCACAAATTACATTTTTACAAGGATTAGCTTAGATATTCGGCTACTGAGTAGTAACATGTTTCTATTGTCTTCTTAACTCTTTTTTAAACCTCATTCAACATCTGACATCCCTGATTATTGTAGCAACTTATTGAATACTTTGGTGCAGGCACACACAAACATTGTCAGTGTATATGAAGGTATGCTCAGGTCTTGCGTTCCTCGGGGCCACTATTCTTGAAACGGGGAGTAGAATAACTGACGTGCTTCTCTTACCTTTCGGTGAATTATATTCCTGAACGCTAATAATGTCAATTTCGGCAGAAAAAATGCAAATCTCGCCGTCGGCCATCAGTCGACATCTCTACAGACGAAGTTAGCTTTGTGATAAAACGTTTAATGATATGAAGAACCTAGAGATACGTTATTTTTCTGGAAATAGAACACTTTCTACTATAGCTATTATATCCTTCAATTTCAAGAATTGGATCCCTTGTATAAAAATTCGTGTTGTAGTCGTTGTTTTGAACAAACTAGCATGTATGAGTGAAAGTATAAAGGGCGCATTTATAAATGTATAAGCAGGGCAGCTTTAGCAGTTTATTGATTATAAATACTTCCTTGTACGACGCTCTTCTTTTAATGTTAACTATAAGCCTTAAAATACGTTTTTGCAGAATGAAAACTCTGAGCGCAGTGCATGCTTATTCCCAAGCTCTGTCATTTTATAAATGTCAACACACCATTGCTTAGTACACATCTATGAGCGTTAATTTGGCGACATTTGGCTTCAATTTCAATATCGCGTAGTAGGAACTATTCAACTTCTCACAAACATGGTCAACTTGGTGCTCACAATTCATTCCTGCTTCCAAGACAATGTCTAAGAATGTCGTAGTGTTTGAGAACGTGCTGCTAATCAGGCAGGCACTACAGTAAAAGTGATCAACTGCAGGCTTGTCAGTGTCCAAGGTCGGGCGATTTGTTCTGCACCACTCTTCCATCTCGAATTTTATGTTTTCAATGTCAAATTGAAAGAGATTCCGGCGGAAATCCTATAAGAACGACCGACGTGCCGTCAGCGTAGTTCATAACTCAACCTAACAGCTTGAGGTCGTTTATGTACCAGATGAAAAGAAGTGGTGCGAATACAGATCCTTGAGCTACACTTTTATTGATTTTATAGGAAGCTGGCTGCAGTCATGACGATCATGGTCTACTCGCCATTGAAAATAACTGAGATAGCTTTAGAGTTCTAACAGACAGCTACTTTTCACTTTCACAGTTGTTGATATTGGTAATAGATGGCACTTATGCTGCCGTCTTTTGTATGAAACAGCGCTGAACACTGTTGGATCTCTGTTGGCTTATTATATGAATTGCATGGATCATCAAATTTATAAATGTAATATAGGATCCGAAAATGCAAAATGCTGCGGTTGTAGGAAAAAATCTTACGTGCAATTCAGAAGCTATTTGAGCTGCTTCACGTTGCGTGGGTCAAACATATTTCTCGAGTGGCAAATTAGCAGCCTTTACGCTCCTAATACATAGAGAATCATTATGGTGATTATAGACAATGTACTTCACGCTTTCCAGTATGGAATCATTATTGATCATAGTTAAAGAAAACGTTAGAGAGATGTAGAAAATACTGAGTTAAGGTAGTTTATTCTTTGTTATTAAGAGCGTATTTATCAAATTTTGATTATGTTTTCGTTATACTCTAACATTTCCGAATTTTTACAGCAAGATATCTTTTATATGGAAATTTTAAATGACAAAGTATGGGTTCATTACAGACATTTCCGTGTGCAAAGGAGACAGTGGAGGCGGACTGGTCTTTTCTAATACCAATGACAGTGATCGGTACTACATCACGGGCATTGTAAGCTTGGGTCATCGTTTGAAGTTTGGCTGCAACACCAATCAAGCTGCTCTATTCACGAATGTCAAGTACTACTACGACTGGATCTCATGCATATTAATCTATCAAATGGACTCGGATTTGTACGATGCTCGATGTGATTATAGTTATCCATGTGTGCCATTTCTGTAACAGCTATGAGTAGTAAATAAGTTTTTTATTAAAATCTAAATTTGTTATCTCCTCATGATTAACGATATACAGTATGGATTCCGGGACCGCAGATCAAGTGCGGACCGCTTAGCTAAATCACATATTTGTGAATTGTGGAACGATTGCAAGAAAGATACAGAGAAAATATAATCCAATGCCAATGGCCACTAGTGAAAGCGGGAGATCGAGCCATCTGGAGAGGCTTATTTCATTGTGCTTGGTATCATCAGCTGTAAACAAATCTTGTAACTACAATGGTAGAACAGAATATAATCAAGATAACTATAACGTTAAAGTGTTAGTTACATTAATCAGATATATGTTTTAGATTTGTGAAACTATTTGTGGTAAGTAGCTTCAAGTATGTATAATTTAGAAAGGTGTTTCTCAATAATTGAACTCGTACTGCCAGTTCTGTCTTGCCAAAAAGACCAGGGTAATAAACAAAGTTGCAGAGACAGCAAACAAATGGTTGTTCCAGATAAGGTATACAGGGTGTTTCATTGGGAGAGCGAGATATTTTAACCGTGGATAGAGGCTAGTGTGATTATAAATAATCTACAGTTGATGAGTCATTAGCTTCTTATAACCTAGATACAAATTTTATATGTTTCGACCACTTTTTACGCACAATCATCTTATGCTGTCGAAACGATTACGATACCAACAGGAAAAGAAATACATGATAAAAACCCGTATTAAGGACTAAAAGTTGGCGGTTGTTCATTCACATAATGAGGAAATTGGCAGCAATAAAGTCTCTCAAATGTACATACACAAGATTATACAGCCAGAATCATATAACCAGTCTAGATGGCAACATTGGCGCGGTGGTACACGTCCAAATGGTGTGTGATTTAACGACGCGGGAGACGGCTAGTTGATCTGGGATATAAGGAATTTGTAAACTTTGAAGGACTCCAGAACTGTATTTGTTTTCGCGTTAGTATCACAATCGTTTCGATAGGATAGCTGGGTACGCATACCCAGTTTGTAAAAGATATACAGGTTGGTTCAACAGTTGTGAGGCCACTAAGAAATGACCAACATCGACAAAACACTATTTTATTTTACTTGAAAACTGGTATAAACTAGCCTAAGCCTATAGAATCGATTGAGATCCTGACAGAAAAGAACATTCCAAAAACATCCCACTGAGTCGTGCTTCATTAAATCACACAGTATTTGGATGTGTTAATTTGAGAGACCTCCTCAATGAAAATTTCGGCAATAGGTGAATATGCAACTGCCAACATTTAGTTCTGGAAATAAGTTTTTATCGACCTAGACTAGATGAAGTAACTGATCGACAAGATGACATTCTTCTAAACCTAACACTAATGTGACGCATATGAACTTAACTTATAAAATTAATTGACCGTAAAGTATTCAGCTTTGAACTCCAAAATGAACAAAATCAAAATATCCACCTGTTACAAAATTGCCTGTTCAAATAAAGTGGTGTCGTTTTTGGGTAAAACGGTTTTGGCAAATTTTAGTTAGTGCGGTTCTGTTTTTCTTTTTCTGTTACTATCGTAGTCGTTTAGCTTAAAATTAGTAAATACAGCAAGCAGTGAAAAAGAAATGACCAAAATCTATCTTTCTCAGTTATAAAAGGCTAATAACCCATCAACGATAGTGTAGCGCCCTGATATACTAGAATCTTGAGTTACCGATGAGACGCCCTTGCAACATCGACACTTGCGTAACCAGAATTACGCGGTCGTATATGCAGCACCTATTGACTAGTTTTAAGCGCTATTTTGAAGATTCTTGAATATACAAGGCGATTGCCTGATTTATTTTTTCATAAAAAGATGTATCTATTCCACGTATGACACAAAATAATAAAAAAAACATATGGATCTTTAGTTGCTGAAAACCCAAAAACCTCACCGAATTTTCTGCAGATTTTGTATAAATTTTACTATGTACCTCTTGTACTTTAAAGTGTCCCGAACCAGGTGTCTGAAATATCTAATTTACCAGGTTATATGAAAACATGCACATTTTGACAAAAAGGATATAAAACTATTTTCCTATAAAATATATTTATTGGCAAGCTATAACATGGTATAAAATGGATAATATGAAAATCTTAATATACAGGATTTGTCAGTGAAAACTAAACAAGACCAATTCCTCTTAAATGGCATTTGAAAAACAAAATATTTCGAGGGAGAAATTTTTTGCGCGTTTTATCAATCTTCTCATTTTCACCCCCTCGGCGGTGTGAAATCTAACCTTTAAATCTTAAATAGGATCAGGGATCATGCGATACCTCGTTTTGAAGCTACTTATTAGCACTTAATAAGCCTAGAACATAAAGTCACTATGCTTCAAAACTATGGGCTGGCAGGCTGTCAAAGTTTAGCATTTCTGTACATTGTGTTGCTTATAACTAAACAACTAATGCTCAAAACGTCATAGTATGTTATATCGGTCTTCTTTGGAAGGTTCTACCCGAAAATGTAACAAAATATGTAATACAATATTCCACTCAAAAAAGATATCAAGATCTGTAACTTTTATTAAAGCAAATGACCCATGAACCTTGATTCCAACTGGCCTTGTTTCGTTATTATGGGCCCACCCTTTATATGAGACTCAACAAAAATATTTAGTCTTTATAATGGAGATGTACAAACCCTTGCTTAAAACATATTTAGGTATGTACCCTTGAGATTACCTGCAAAGGTAATTTTATTAGCCCTACATTATTTTGAGACTATAAACACTAGTTATCACCTGCAGCAAAGTGTTTGATTTTATTTGTAGTAGAAATAACTAATTATGTCAAACCAAAAAACATCACAGCAAGTAGTAGAAACTAGCGTCAATCCCCATTAAGACAAAAAAATTCAACAATATTTATATGAATAACAATATCAAAAACCAATATCATTAAAAATCACATATTTATTTTAATACATGTTTAAAATAACAAATAATTAATAACCTCTGCCTCATGAAACACATTCATCATGTTTCATGAATCCTTCTTAACAATATTTTCCTCTGTCAGAGAGCTCCGACTGCTACTATTACTCATACTGTCTTTACTCGTTTTTCTTACTGATTCTCCAATCTGATTATGAGAAGTACTCGTAGATGGTATGCTAGATATACTAGCACCATATACCATAGCCTTACCTGTCCCTTTGGCAGCGCCTTTCACCAATCCCTTAGGTGTTATAACTTTGGTGTTCTGGTGAATTGTGTAAACGTTGCCAACTGTATTGAAAGTATCTCCAGTCAATGTGCTAGCTGGATGTCCATATCTGGAATTGTACGATCAATAAAATCAATAAAGAGTAGCACTTTATTAACGTCTAAGCTGAGTATTTCCGAAGAACGAAAGCAAAAAAACTGTTTTTTCAAAAATCTGTATAGATTTATTTCTGACATTATGATGCAGATGCAAAAAAACAAGGTTTTAAGGGAAAAAGTCTAGTTTTATGTCTAAAATGTCAAGTCCATCTTAGTTTTAATGCAAATCGTAATTGTTTTGTAGAGTTTCATACAAATTAAAATAACTTTTTATTGTTTTCGATACCCATTTTTTAATAAAATATGTTTGACACATTTTTTTATATTTTATTTTGACCACTCAATCATATCATCACCACTGATATTTTTTTAGGACAAAAAAACTAAATCATGCAATAGAAGGTTAAGATGGGATTTTAAAATAAGCTGAATGTTAACAATCACTTTTTGTTCTCTACAAGGGCATCCTTAAAATTTCAATATGACGTTTCATCTTTTGTCCATCATCACAACTTTATTGGTTTCATGGAAAATTACATTGGTGAATAAAGTTTCCAATTCTAATTCCAAAACTGTTTAACTAAATTAACATTGTAAAACTATAATTATTTGCAAAACAATATTTCCTGAATAAACCTTGAAATGCTGAGATAGTCATGTGTGTCTTAATTTCGTCCAGCCAGTATTCCTTTAGTTTTTTATGAACTGGGCATGGGTAAACGGTTCCTATTTAAGATTTTATTGATAAATAATATGTTACGCTCATTGATGTTATAAAACTTCAAATGTCTAAAATAGTAAACTATAGTTGGTCTTAACCGAACGAATGAAAAACAACATAATTCTAACTCTTTCATATTATTCAAGGGTCGTGAAAACGGTATAATTTTAGTAAAAGCTAGGCAATTAAATATATTGATAGTAACATACGAATGACGTGTCATCTCGGAACGCTATGTTCTACTAAAAGGACAAAACATCTAAATACATTTCAACACGCTCCGCTCCTCAAAAACTGACGCAATATTTGTTTCAATGAAGACCAACTATGACATTTTTTTTTAACCTTGCAATTTCAATGTATTGCATATTAGACATCTTTGGATGCAGAATAAAAAACTTTATTCGCATATGCCAAATTTCAACATTACATTCGCAAGAACAGATAACAATGATGATGGATAACAACTGAGAATATGAATATGTGTAATTTATTTTGAAACCCATCTTCGAATAAAGTCAGATAAGAGTAAAAATGATTTTGAAGGCATACGGTTTGTTCTATTTCGCCGAGAATATTCTAGGTGCGAATTTCTGAGCTACCTAAATGTGCAACTTTGCTCACATTTAATTGACTTTTGAGGAGAGTTCAATGCAACTGTTTGTGTTTTAATCTATTAGATATGTCAATACTTCGAAGGTATTCTGAAACAACCAGTTTGGATACCGTACCAACAGATCAACGAAAGCAGCAATAAACGATTTCATGAGTTTCATCAACAAATGTCTGGAAGATAACATGTTTGTTCTCGCTAACTTCTATGATCTTACAAAAGCATTTGATTATGTCCAACATCACATTTTGATTCAAAAGTTGTCGCTATATGGTTTTAGTAATAACGGCCTGTCCTTAATTGCGTCTTATTTATCAGTATCAGTATGTTAGTTTTCAAAATTGTTTATCTAACAATGTACATATTAAGCACGGAGTCCCCAAGGAAGTATCTTGGGACCGATTCTTTTTTTGATTTACATCAATGGTATGCCAAACTATAGCATCAATCAATATATATTATTTGCGGATAACACGACATCAATATCCTCCAATAGTAACTTTGACCATGTATTACTCGATTCTCAGCAGCATTTTGACAACATTCAGAACTGGTTTAATGCCAACGGTTTGTCAATCAACATAGCCAAAACTGAATCTCTTCTACTCAGTACTCGTCCACATAGAAGTAATTTAGTAGAACCCGTGAAATTTGTTGGTGTGATTATTGATGCAAGCTTAACTTGGGAATCTCACATCACCTCTTTATCAAAGAAGATATCTAAAATAACATATATTGTACGTAGTTTAAATACCTACGTAACAAAATCGACTTTAATGACAGCTTATTATGCTTACTTTCAATCTAACTTGCAATACACTGCATACTGATTTAGGGTCATTCATGTCATGTATAGAAGGTGTTTGCTATTCAGAGACAATGCTTGAGAATAATAGCAAACTTACATTTCAGACAGTGTTGCAAGATGACATTTATCGACATAAAAATGTTAACTGTACTATGCATGTATATACTGGAATGTCTGATCCACGTTAAAAATAATTACGATGATTACAGAACTCCGAAAGAGATTAACAAATAAAACACAAGGTTCAATAATGAATTAATACTAGAGCACACAAGACTATCAAAAACTAGACACGGAAGAATTTTTTTAATTTGCTGCCCAGGTTTTGTCAAATACTCAACTCAACCATTTTTAAAGCAACTGTGAAAAGATATCTAGTGACGAAAGCTTTTTACAGCATAGATGAGTTTTTAAATAACGATTTTACCGACTTTGTTCCATAATTGTTGAGTATTTGTTTTATTACTTTGTTTTCGTTTGTGTTTTTTGTGTTATAGTCAAAATCACGAAAGATGACTATTATGTCATACTATAAATTGTACTGAAGTAATCAATGGACGTACGTCGATGATAAAATCATGATGTCAGGAACATAATAACAACAAATTTATATTATGAAGTGAGGTTATTTCACTGATTATTTATATTTTCATTTTATTTCATAGTTTTGAGTGATATCATTTTAGTGGGGAGTTTTTGTTTTGGAAAAACAGTTATAAGTGGAATACCTTAAGACAGGAACACCAAAGACCGCAGTATTTTCGAAAACAACCTAACCTGCTTTAACATTACCTAACTATTCATCTTTCAAAAATATGATCGATCATGGAACATGAAAACATCGCCTATCTTTGTCGGATACACGCAAATTAGCAATGCAGTTTGTTTAGACAATAAAATTCTGTTTGTCTCTGTCTAACATATCTGAAACTTCATTAAAAATATTTACAAATCGCTGTCGTTTGTTTTTACTACAGACTAAAATGATGACGTAATCGTCATCTTTCGTGATTTCGACTATATTTTTGTATTACATTTTATTGTTCTCCAGACATGTGTAAGGACTTTTGAGTACAAACATGAACAAATTATTATTCCATACTTTTTTAACCATCAAATTTTATTGTTCATCTAAATTTTAAACTAGGTTTTATCAAGTTTTTTTCCCTCTTATTGCCACTTTGTGTTTTACGTTTGTCTTAGTTTCGTATTGTTTGTTGTTTTTACTTACTCTTTTATGTTCTACTCTAACTGACCTGTGCAAACACACATTATTATTATTATTATTATTATAATTATAATTATTATTATTATTATTATTATTCGTTTTTGGTTGGTCTTTCACCGTTACACACGCAATAAAATGTGCTGGAACTTTGGTTTTCTCTAAGTGAGAGTGGAAATTAACAGAGACTGCCCCTTCCACAGACACTACTACTGGTATTATGCAGACCTCTGATAGTTTCCAAATGTTTTTGATTTCAATGGTAAGGTTTTGGTACTTTTCAGCCTTGGTGTATTCGCTTCTGATTATGTTTACTGTGAGTGGAACTGCGATATCAATTATGTATGCTTTCCATTTATTTTTATCGATCAGTAGTATGTCTGGCCGGTTATAGTCAACTGTTTTATCGGTTATGACTGGCCTGTCCCAGTACAATAGGGCCGACTGATTCTCGAGTACTGGGAATGGTGTATATTTATAATATGGCGCGGTTGACTGACTGAGATTATAATTTTGAGCTAACGTGGAGTGTATTATTTTGGCTACTTGATTATGCCGGGATAAGTAAGCACTATTGGCCAACATGTTGCAGCTGGAGGTGATGTGTTCTATTGTTTCACCTGGTGTATGGCATTTTCTACATACGACGTGTGTATTCAGGCTTAGTATATGGCGTTCATAGTTTCTGGTTCGAATAACCTTATCCTGAATAGCACATAGAAAACCCTCCGATTCCGGATGTAGGTAGCCTTTCACAAAAATTGATAGTGAGGACTTTTTATCAATTCCATCTTTTTCAAGTGTTACAGGATATCTCCCGTGAAGGGCTTTCTCTTTCCATCTGTTGAGCAGGTCAGTCGACGTCGGTATTGATCGATCTGAGGGTTCATGATTTCTGCCCAAATTCATGGGGGTGATGTTGCTGTCCATAGCTGTAATGCTCCTAATGATTTGGCAATTGATGTTGCAAAAATATCGACGAAGCTTGGACACTTGCTCTTTGCAAAGACGCTCAACATTTATCAGTCCTCTTCCCCCAAGGGCTTTAGGTATGTATACTCTTTCCGTGGCAGATTTTATTATTATTATTATTATTATTATTATTATTATTATTATTGACATATCAGATAACATAATTGACTCAGCAACCGACGCGTTAAATGACGTCTCATATTGTATGTAAAAAATGGTGTCACGCAGGCTGAGACTAGTTGGATCTGGGGCCTGATTCTAACCGAGTTTCGACCGTAGACATTAATTTCGATAGTGCCAAAATTATCATAGCGAATCAAGTATATCGCCAAAAGGCGCCATTGAAATCAATTTCAACGGCCGAAACTCATTCAGAATCAGGCTCCAGGAGGCCAATTGTGGGTGCGATTCCCTTCCTGTAAAGAAAGTGTATTACTGAATGCTAATAGAATATATAGCGCTTTCCCGGATCATTCTCGGGAAAAAAACTGCGGATGTCTCGCCACCAGTATCATATCTACGAAGTTAACTTTTTGAAGAAACGTTTAGTAATATAAAACTAAGAAACGCATTATCTTGCCAAGAAGTTAAATTCACAAATTAGTTTGATAAACATCAAAAGTTACCAGAAAAGGTAATAGAACACTTTCCAATAGCTATTTTATTCCCTCATTTTAAGAATTGGTTCCCTGGCGTGCAGCGTCAATAAAAATTGTTTCGCGGTTTTATTGAATTTGGTTGTCTATTACAACTTACTTGTGTTCTACAATTTTTACAGTATTTTCCTTAAGGCTGTTTCCAAGTATAGACGCGGATGTTTCCAATCCTCTGTATACTGTAGAAAAAGCCTCAACTGCTCCTGCCGCAACAGTAAGCACGCTCTTGACTTTCTTGTGAGCCTCTTGTTCCGATAAGTTTGTCGTGGTGGCAAGTAAACGGGTACCTTGTTTCTGAATGTGTGGGGCAAGAAACTGACCTAGGCGAGTTGTGGCAATACCAACTTTCTCAGCTACAAGAAAAGGAAAAGGTATAGTGTGGAAAAACAATACCGGCAGAGTTATTATGTAAATTGTAACATCTCGTACAGGTTGTACATGTTGCTGCCAAGCACTCTTCGATTTTTATGATAAATCATAATCTTACAGATATTTGTCAGTAACCAATTTTACTTCCCATGCCAATAGGAAGGCTGTTATCGCATTATGGTTCATATTTTCGAAAAACTATTGCATTACCGTCACTCTTATCAGTTTTTTTTTGTCATCTATCTGGAAAACCTTGACTATAACTAGGAAACTACCAGTCACATTTTGATGAAAGTTTCATAAAAGGTAACTACAATGGAAAGGAAATCACTCCAGTGGTATCGTGCCTACAGGTCGTTGTAGTTGAAAATAGAAAAAAATTAACCTGAAACTTTTTCGACGGTCCGGTACTGTTTTCCGTACATTCTTGGAAGGGACAAAACATTGTGATTGTGGGTTGTATGGAATGGCGAAGTGTAAATCCAAATTTCTATTGACATTTTTTTATGCGTAATAAATACCCTGTCAACTCGACTACATGTATACCTATCGCAGATAATGATAACATCTACAAGATCAGGTATCTGAATTTTTCACATTAGAATAGTTATAGTTTATACAATGAGTTTGTCGTAAAAGAATAATATTGTGGATTGTCTAATATTACTTAATTCTAAAAGACAAGTTAGTATAAACAAGTTGCAGCACATTATCTTTCTATATACAGGGTTGTGGAAGGTCGATACCAACCTTGAAAAAGGACTGATAGTACACCCCATTTGGAACACATTGAGCCACATATATCAAAGTTAAACCATTTTTGAGTTGTTACATGATTCTAAGCATACGTGTTATGATATGCCGCACAAGCTGTGCTATTACACATGTGACATTTATTGTAGCATTAAAATATTAAATAAATAATTTCCCCTGCCAAAATAAATTTTGCATTATTTTGAGTATTGCATTTCTTTGAAAATAATATCCTTCACACTGACGCGAAATAAATACTTTATTTCATGCGAGCGGAGTAACAGGATTAGGACAGTTTGATAGTATATTTCAACATCCTACTACATCTTATCATTTCTTACCAACAACACCAGTAACTTTGGCTGCTGTACTAGTAGCACATTCTGCTACCTTCATAGTTTTAGATAGAGGTCTTGGCACGGAAGCTGGTTGATGTGCTGGCGGCAGCTTACTGATCAGTTTAGGGGTGGTAGAGTTAAAAAATTCACCAGCCTTTTGCGCTCCTCTTATTATGTTTTGAGATAGGTGCCAAGCTCCTAAAACATCAAATATGAGCATTACATATCAGATAGACAAATCTTATAATAACACCCTGGAAATGTATATCTAAAGCATGTTTTATTATTCCAAAATTAATGTAAAGCACAACAGAAAGCGAAAATAAAAGTCTTAATATGTAAAAAACATACCGACGCCACTGAACTGACGGTGGAGCTCTTTGGCAAGGAAGTATCAATGGCGTCATTAGTGCTCTTACCAAAACATAGTACTGGGTAGTGCTAAAGAAATGCCTTAACTGCGTTACACATTCGAAAATGAAGAATTGACTTAACCGACGTTGCGATTGACGTTGCTGAACATGTAAACGAACTGAATAGACACTCCAGTGACGCTAGGTTTTGAATAATGCGACCATTCACAATATTTATGTATCTAGGCAGTTAAGTGAGTGGTTATAACTGTGATATTATATCACCAATAGTTTCCCGTTGCACAATCGCCTAGCAACGATTAATAAGGACAGTTCAAGGGCGCTAAAAGTACACATTCCGTCCGCTGATAGTTAAATAAGATAAATTTAATAATTACCATTAACAATTCTATCTGAAATTTGGCTGCTATAGTCTTCAGCTTCTTCTCTACGTCTCCTCCATTCCTGAATGCCTTCTTCTGTCACATGACTTATTATGCCATGTAAAATACTTTCCAGCAAATCAAATACTTCACTGTCAGCATCTGATGGTAATATTATGCCAACAGACGAGCCTATCAAATTACATCACATTACAAATTGCATGCATCAAGGCTCTATTTCCTCAAATAAACATTATTGAGATGTCCACAAAAACAACCCTCTTTATATGAAAATCAAGAGTAACTACTTTCTATGATATAGGCTGTTAATAGGTTATGTATAAAAGCAAGCCTGATATATTTTTTTAACTCATTTATTGATATTTCTTGTGATGAATTACACTATAATAGGTCTTGCAAAATATGTAATTTAGATTTTTTCTTAGAATTAAATAGCATAAAGTTAATAGCACCATAGTAAATTGAGAAACCATCCTTGGACTTGGAATTATACATTGTGTGAAAATGTGCTGATGAATCATCAACCATCATTTAAAAAATACAGATGATATGCTACACGTCCATTAAATTATGGAGGGTATATTCTATCCACATAGTCCAGTTAATGCCATGGAAAGTGTTTTGTTAGAATGAGAGGGGCTTTTGCATACTTCATGAAATAGGGACTTAATTTTACCATATAGGCATAGTTTATTAACCATATGCTATTTTCATCAAGTAAGTAATACCAAACTCTGTCCAGTGTGTCATTTTATAGATGATACATAAAAATCCTAAATTACCTGGAATTTCAGCATGGACATTTGGAAGAATAAATGCACCATAGTTTGTCCTATAACATGGTGATACACCAGGCACTAGAGGATAAACAAAATTTCCCACTTGGAGAATAGCTTTAGGTGCATTTGGTTCATCTCCTGAAAATAAAATGCATGATGAGTCTCCTCCCTTTGAATACCAAAGTTAAGAAATGGAAAGTCTGTCAGACTAGCACACATAATTTGCAATACTAAAAACTGCTGTATATTGTTTTTGTGTGTCAATATCAATGTGACGACGACTTTTATAGCTCCTAAATAGTTCCAAGAATTAAATTAAACTAATTTAATGCCAGAGTACCTCAACTCACATCTATAAAATAAGCGAGGCTGGGTCTTAATTCAGTTGTCTGATGTAGATATTATTTTCCTATGACCAACCTACTCTCTGTGTGATTAGGGACACATGTCCAGGATCCTAATGCTCAAGTCTAAGCATCCCATTTGGGGAGAATACAAGGGAGGATTTACCATTTGTGTTTCACAGTAGGTTATAACAGCTCTCATTATGGTCTTAAAAATTCAGAGAATGTTCAAGATTCTAAAAAATTTTAAATACTCAAATTTTCATTTTCTTGTTTTCAAAATCCTTGAAAGTTCCATGTTTCAAAATTTCGAATATTTTCAAATTTTCAAAAGCTATGATAACAACTGGTACAGCCAACAGTAAAACACAAATGTTAAATCCTCCCTTGACTTGAACACTACTCAAAAGGCATAATTATATATTTAAAATCCAAGGAGGTACCATTCCCCAAAAGGCACTCAATCCTCAAGGAACATCTACAATGAAGCCAGCATGTATAAGTCCACATCAAGTGTTGATTTGTCTGACTGTGACTTTTACATATCTGCCTCAGATATTTTAAGGAATTAGTTCAATAGTTTGAGTGTTTTTTGTTTTACAGTGGCTTGTTGGGCTGATCAAATAAATACACTTTAAACTTCTCCATATCAACAGATTGTTTGATGATTATAGGGTGATTCACAAGTTGTGACCAAAAATGAAACATCATACACAGGACCGCATTTTAAGGAGGGTCTTCTGTGTAACATTTTTTCCTCGAGGGCATCATTAAAAAGATAGTGGGTGTTGAAGTTTAAAAATAAAAAATATTTTTTTAATACCGTAAAGAGGGGCTACTTTGTAACACTACAGCCTTCTTTGTGACAGTGACATCTATGACTAAATTTTCTATTTTTCCAATTGACTAAAGGCGGTAGTATAATTTAAATTTTATATTTCAATAGAGGACTGGGTGCGCCATCTATGCCGTTTCATCAATAGTTCCTATTACAGCTGTGCTCCTCGTGCCAGTGCCGACTCGTTAATGGAGTAAACAGGTGGATTTCGTTTTGCGTGCAAACTTTGTGTTGGTCAGAGAATATATTAAAAGATTTTTCCACCAAGGTAGGTCTATATTAAAATACGAACGTTTTCACGCCTCAGTGTTAGAATTATATCTTTTCGAAGTTATATATATCTGCTTTCTTGTGTATAATTTTTGTAATTGCGACTACCAATTTTTCTTTTATACACTGGTGCCATTGTATCTGAAAAATTACACATTTTGCGTTTCAATAATACCTTTATAAACATTCAAGGGGTTACTTTGTGACAATTTTTTGTCACAAAGTAGTCCCTCCCCCTCTATATATATATATATACAGGGTTATCCAAATTAAGTGTCCACCATTAGTAACTTTGTTATTAGTGAAAATACAAAGTTGTTTGAATTAGCAAACTAGTAGCATTTTTAACGCTGGTAAAAATGAGAAATAAAAAAAAACAATTGAGAGTCGTTATTTTGATTTTTTTCAGTAAAATAACATTTTTTTAAATGGAAACCCCTGTATATTATATTTTTTTCTGTTAAAGCATCAAATTTTAAACAAAAAAGCTTACAATAACTTTTCTCCTAGGTTACAAATTGTTGAAGTTATGGCCTCCAATCTGAAACAATTAAATTGTATCGACAAACTTTATTTTCAACATCAACTTATAATCTTACAAAATACAATAACAATTTTTTTTAAAGAAGATGCTCGAAAACACCACCTTGTTCTTCAATACATTTTTGGGCACGTTTTTCAACTGCTCGAACTGTCTTAAGTATGGTCCTACCATCTATCTGGGTTATCTTTTCCCTAACTGCAGTCTTTAACGCGTCAAGGTTATCGTACCTTCGCTTGTAAATTTGGTTCTTTAAGTAACCCCACAAGAAGTAATCAAGTGGGTTTAGATCTGGTGATCTGGGAGGCCACTGTATTGGGCCATTTGTTCCTATCCACTGATCATTAAAAGTAGTACTTAGAAAATGATAAGTACCTCTGGAGTTGTGGGCAGGTGCGCCATCTTGCTGAAAATGCAGATGATGTCTACTCATAAGATCCAATTCGTCTAAGAAATTAGTCAGAATTTCTGACATAAATTCCACATATCTTTCACCAGTTAGGGTTCCCTCATAAAAGAACGGGCCAACAATTTTTGAACCAATTATACCGCACCAAACGTTGAAACTGAAACGGACTTGTGGGCCTCTTGGATGTACTAACAAAAGATTTTCTCTTGACCAATAATGGTGGTTTTTTCTATTAAACATTCCAGAATTTGAAAAATTTGATTCATCTGTCCATAAAAGGTAACGAAAGTTATTTACATTTTGGCGACAGAAGCTAAGATACCAATGGCAAAAAACAAGTCTTCTCTCTGGATCCCCTGCCAAAAGCGTTTGAACTGGTCGGTACTTATACGGAATAAATTTGTATTTTTTTAAAATCCTTTGAACATTACCATAACTGAAATTAGAGTCCTTGAGAATATCTGCTATTGAATTCTCACGATAAGCTTCAAAATATCCAATAACCGCAATTTCCGTGGCCTCGCTTATTATGAATTCTTTTTTTGCCCTTGTTTTAGGAAAAACATTTTCGTTGCCCCTAAATTTTCGATAAGGTCTCAGAAAATATCGTTCATACGGTTGAATGCGAGCGGGATATAATTCACTGTTGCTCTCAAGGAGGATTTTCTGCACACTAAATAGCATTCTAACATATCACACTTTTCTTCATGGGAGAACATTTTTCTTTAAATTAATGTCACAATAAAGCTTATAAACAAGTATTTACACTAATGTTTGACATTATTTGATTTTATCATTGTTTTCCAAAGCCTTCTAGTTGCGAGTATGTCCAGTTTAACAATTTGTCGCTTATCTTAATGCTGTCAAATCGCGAACGCCATGTTGTTTTCATAGCCGTCTTAATATTATAATACTGCAAATAATTAAAAATATTTATCGTTATTTTGACTTTATTTTTGACTTTAGCGGAAAAGTCATTAAGAACTTTTTTGTTTAAAATTTGATGCTTTAACAGAAAAAAATATAATATACAGGGGTTTCCATTTAAAAAAATGTTATTTTACTGAAAAAAATCAAAATAACGACTCTCAATTGTTTTTTTTTTATTTCTCATTTTTACCAGCGTTAAAAATGCTACTAGTTTGCTAATTCAAACAACTTTGTATTTTCACTAATAACAAAGTTACTAATGGTGGACACTTAATTTGGATAACCCTGTATATAAAAATTGGTAGTCGCAATTACAAAAATTATACATAAGAAAAATTAGCAGAAGCTCTTCACGAGATAAGGAGTAAACGGATTTCACTACGTGGTGCTGCAGAAAAATATAATATCCATCGAAATACTTTATGGCTGAAAATAAAAGAGAGACATAAGAACAAACCTGGACAGCAAAAAGTGTTTACTGAGGAGGAAAAAAATATATTTGCAGCCCATGTAATTACTCTGTCAGCTTTTGGTTTTCCAGTAAGCACATTTGACCTTCGATGCGTAGTAAAGTCCTATTTGGACTGGCAGGGCAAAAATATTAAACCTTTTAAAAACAATATGCCGGGATGTGATTGGGTCAAATCCTTTCTAAAACGACATCCACAACTTTCTCAGAGGATTGCGCAGAACATTTCACATGCTAGGGCTGCTACTGATGAAGAAATCATAAATAACTTCTTCGATAATTTGGAGGTTGAGTTAGAAGGAATTCCTGCAAGCAATATATGGAATTATGATGAGACTAACCTAGTTGATCACCCGGGACAGACAAAAATAGTAACCAAAAGAGGAACGAAGTATCCTGAGCGTATCAGGAACTGATCTAAAGCCTGTACCTCATTAATGGTATGCGGAAACGCCGAGGGTCAAATAGCACCACTTTACGTCAATTATAAATTTCAAAAATTATGGAACACCTGGACCGAAATGGACCGCCAAACGCGCGATATAATAGGACGGCTTCAGGATGGTCTGACTATCAAATTTTTGAGGATTGTTTTTTACATCTTATAGTTCCAATATTAAAATGTCAAGAAGGATGAAAGGCAATCATAGGAGACAATCTTAGTTCACACTTGAATCAGCAAGTCATTCAAGAATGTGAAGCTAATTACATTCGTTTTATAGCATTACCTCCTAATACCACGCATCTGCCCCAACCACTTGACGTGGCTTTTTTCCGACCAATGAAGGAAAAATGGCGTAAGATTTTGAGCGACTGAGGCAAGTAGTTATAGCAGCAGAGTTTCTTCTATACCAAAGGATGAATTTAGGGGCTTTTGAAAAATCTAATGAATCAGTTGTCAGAGAAAGCGCCTGATAATTTAAAATCCGGTTTCAGAAAAACAGAAATTTGTCCTTTGGACCGACAAGAAGTGTTAGACCGTTTATGTGATCGTGTCGTAACAGCAGATACCGAAATAACTGAGCATGTTGGTAACAGTTTTATTCAACACATTACCAATGTAAGGACAGGAACAACGAAAAAGAGACAGGTAAAAAGAATGAAACGTCCGAACGTGCCACCAGGTAAAAGCATATGCAGTAGTGACTTTAACAATGACACACTTACTGTTGAAAATACGACAAAAAATGTTGATGCTGAGCCTGGAACCTCTGGCATCTGACGAAGTTAAATACATGGGGAGTGATAACAGTACAAGTGATGACCATTTTTTCGATGATGGAGATGAACAGCCCACTGAAGAAAATAATGTCCCATCCCAAAAAGTGGAGAAATCAACGGGAAAGTATGTAGTTGCACAATTTGAGCAAAGCTATTTTCCAGGTCAAATTACTAATGTCTCGAGGGTAGGAGCAACCGTAAATGTGATGGGACCTGCTGGAAAACAATGGAAGTGGCCTCTTAAGAAGGACGAGATATTTTATAGGAACGATGAAATTGTTATGTGCATAAACGCTCCAATCCAGCGTGGAAAGCGAGCCTTATTTGACGTTCCAGAATTGAAAGACATTCTCGAATCACAATAACTTTTTTATAATGTTTGTAATAATAAACATTTTGTTGTTTCAAGCCTAACCTTATACATATACCTAGTTAATGCCAATTAAGAGTTTGTTTTTGGAAATTGTATGTGTTTTTTTTTTCTCAAATATATGTTTTTTCTCTCAAATATATATACTTTTTATTTTTTAAGCAAAGCATGTGTGTTTCTTTGTGATATAGTTACAAAAACTGCATATCATAAAGTAACCCCAACCTATGGGGTTAATTTGTGACAACTTTTTCTGTCATTTTCTCGAGTTCTATAACATTTATTGAATTACATTTTCTACTTGAGATAGAAAAAAGATGGGGATATAAGGTGGCATATCTTAAATTATAACACTTCAAACAATTTGAAATAAATCTTCAAAAAACCTACAAAAGTGTTACAAAGTAGCCCCACTTTACGGTATCTTCAAAACCGTTAAGTGGAATCAACTAAAATTTGGTATGTGGATTATATTGTCCACATTCAAAATTATTTGCTCAAAATTAACGTGCACCAGTGGCGGAGATACAAGAGATTAATGGCATTATTTTTCCAAATTAAAATTGTACGCCACTGTCTTTTTTTTTCGAAACGTGCAATTTTTCGAATGTTACCTTCAATTTGCTAGAAATAATTACTCTTGTATTTTTTCCTAGAGTGCATTGTTTTCGTAAAGATAACAAATTGCAAATGATCAACAGTATTAATTTATTCAGCATACACTAGTTTTAGTTTAAAAAGCGTCCCACAAAAAGATATCCAGGGGGTGCAAATCAGGAGACCTCGAAACCCAATGTACGGATCCATTTCTGCCAATCCATAGTCTAAAATGATTATTTAACCATGCGGTTATGTCACAACGAACATGAGGTGGGGCAGCGTCGTGTTGATACCACATTCATACTCTCGTTGCTATCTGATCATCATCTAACACATTTTCTATGTATGTATTCTCTAGAAAAGCTAAGTATGAGTTTGCATTTAAACATTGTGGCAATAAGTGCATAAGCAGTTGGCCATTGAAAATGCCGCACCAGACATTTCTACAAAATCTGTGTTGAAACAAGTGGATTCTTAAAGAACGATCAAATATGTTCATTATCAGAATTACAGGATCCACTTCTCGTAAAAAGCGATTCATCTGACCACAAAACTAAATCAATGAACTCTGCATTTTGATTATGCATTTTCAGTAACCCCTCACGAAAATTTCGCTGTTGCACTTTGTCGCCGGGTTGCAGACATTCCACATTTTGCTGATGGTAAGGATGTAAAACTTCCCGACTTTGGGAACATGGTAACTGGGCTGCAATCCACCTAGTACTTGTACTAGGATCATCCAAAGCCAAATCACTTCCAGTTCCTCTTGAACAGTATGCCGGACACCATGGCCTCTAACTCCAGAAAGTTTGGCAATTCCATATTGGAAATGAACGTGTAAAAAGCTTTGGGGTAGGTTGTCTGTTAAAAAATCTACATGGATACTTCGGAGAAGCCGCTAAAGCATTTCCACTACAGGACCCTTAACAAACATAATATCGGCATACTCAAGATTGCTAAATTCCATTTCACAACACTCAAAAATGTAAAAAAGAAACTTTGGACTTAACTTTTACAAAAAAAAAAAAAGGTGTAGGAATGATAAGAACCATATAACACATAACTTTGACATACTAACATACTATCTCCTAAGAAACGTCAAGTTGTTATCAAGGTCTTCTATTTTATTTTGAAACTAATTGTATCTCAGCTCTTCATGATCTAATTTGTATTATTTTTATGAAAACAGTGCACTCTAGGAAAAAACACAAGAGTAATTACCACCACCCCTGGTGCACTTAACTTAAATTTTAAGTAGACAATACTTGGGTAAATTCACATACCAAATTTTAGTTCATTCCAGTTGACATTTTTGAAGATATTAAAAAAAAATGTTACATAGAAGAACCCCCCCTAAAATGGGGTGTGTATGATGTTTCATTTTTGGTCACGACTTGTGAATCACCCTGTATAATAGCCAGATGGTCAGATAACATAAGACATTGATGTGCACAGGGTTGAATAGACAGCTTATGAATATATCACAAACATCAATATTGTTCAACATTATGTGGATTTGTAAAAATGCAGTATTTATATCAAAATACAAAAAATTAGAATGTAATATCCTTAAACCGCAGATGTTTTTTGAGTTTGGAAATATGTTTTTCTTAAAAATGAGCAATACCTTGCACCATTGAGATTTTCAATAGTTGAGGCTCTTGGGTAGATAAGACATCTCCATTAGGTGATATGAAGTAAAGTCTGACGCCATCATGAGTATAAATAACATCTTCCTCCATTGTTTGATTTGGATCAATGGACAATTCATTTAGAGCAGTTGCCAGATCTTTATATGTCCTTGGTACATCACTAGAAGATGATGATGAAGTTGCAATTGCTTCATCATAAGATGGAGGTCCTTCTAGTGTTTCTGGTGGAACATAATCAGAAGAACCTTGAATAGTATTGATTCTCATCAGTACTTCAGCTCTAGTCTTTTTGATTTTCTGGATCATGCTGCATGCTTTTTCCCATGTTGGATCAGGGTCCTCTGGATATTGTACTTGAACATTCAGTGCTTCATCTATTAGTTGTATTCCTTCCTTATATTTTTCAATTGCCTTAAAAAGATAAATTTTAGCAACTATGTATTTGAAAATTGATTTCTGTATACCTCAATAGGTTTTTCGTGCTCTTCCAGACTAATTGCTTGATCAATAGCTACAAATGCTTGGTCATGTTTGGCTTTTATTTCCTTGTATGATGCAGTCCAAGAATACAGGTCTTTTGTTTTTTCAGCCATGACGTTGCTAGGTATTCTCTGAAATGAGTAGCTGGGAAACTGATGGCTTTTGGGCAGAAAATCTACAGTGTAGTTACCAACTACAACCTACAAACAAGAATGTTTGCTGATAACACAAGTTGAAGAATCAAAGGTCAATCCTTAATTACTTTTCCATGATGTTTTGTCCAGACATGCAAAAAGTGCAAAAGTCAATCAAGTCATCAACATGATTCATAGCACGAAATCCATAGTGTTCTAGCATTTTAGTTTCTAGAATCTAGAAGAATGTACAAAAGATACATCACGCGTATCGCGTACACCGTATATAACCATTTGAATTTGACCACATTTGTACTTTTGTACATTCCACAAGCCACAAGTTCACAAGTACATCGTGTACATGTACATGAGCGTACCAGTATGGTATAATCTGTAGTACAAGGTACCGTTGCAAGGTACAAGTCGTACAAGTCTACAATGAGACAGATATCCGAGACTCATCGTATCCCGAATTAGTCCACATATGTGGGCTGTCAAGTGTTGAATTAGATTAACTGATTTATGCTTGAATAGCTTTAGAATTTCCATCTATCCATCCATCATATGTTTCAAGTTACTCTCATTTCCAAAAATACCCGGAAAATAACGAACCCAACTTCTTGTTTATGCGGCTTGGAAAAGGTTATATTCCATAGTTTGAATTTACCGCTTCAATGGCATCTTCTAGAATGTTTCTGATTGGCCAATAATCGATAACCTGACATTTGACAAAAATCTCCGGAAACTTCTCAAAACGGAGCCGGTTCGTAATCGTAGTTTCATCGATTTTCCCCACGTGAAGTTTAAAAAGTTAAATTTAGTCATTTTTGTATAAAATATGTTGTCTGCAGCTCGTGTCATCAGCAAAAAAGCTCTTGATTGCTCAAGAGTAAACTTCGAAAGTGCCAGTAAACGAAATTTCGGACATTTGTTGAATAAGGTAAATCTATGGTCTGTCATGCCTAGAATTATTTTAATCAGTATTTCTCCTAATTTTTATCTGCTTATGTAATCACTTTTTAAAATGTTCATTAAAATACGTAAATTAATGGAATTGAAGTTCAATTTCTAATTTAAAATTGAAGTTCAAAAAAGTTTGGTTAGATTGCCCTTGGGTTGCACAATGTGATGTGATTTTAAATTCCAGATAAAATGTATTTCAAAGTAATTACGTTTTCTTTCAGAGCTTGTGCCCTACCTATTCCTTACATCCCAAGTATGATGGCCATTTACGGAACAAGTGAGTATTAAACTTTTAAATTTTCTTTATCAGTTGATCAGTGACAACTTTAGTGAGGCTAGTACATGCTGAAATCTGAAATAATTACGGCATAAAACGTAAAAAGCCGATAATTGGCTAAGAAGAACAGTTTTGATCATTTAGGGTTGTCATACATAGTCTTATGAAAGAGTCATTGTAGGGGGGAATATTTCTGTAATCTTACTACTAGTGATAGTCAAAATATAGTCTTTTAACATTTTCTGAGGCCAGTTTGGTATCATGTGTCATACTTTCAATATTTTGTCTGAGAACTACTAATTACCATGTAGTGAGTTCACCAGCCCAAGATCCCAACTGTAGGTTCTCATGGCTTCTCTTCAGATCAATTTTGTACAACTATGGCAAAGGTTATAGAATAACAGTATAAATATAAATATTTTGGCCACTGGGAAGAGAAGAAAAATCAACAAGACACAATAATTGTGCATTCAAAAAACAAAAATTATACAGGGTGGCCAAACACGTGACGTCATAAAAAAAAAATTAGATCCCCCACATCGAGAGGAACCCAAATCACCCCCATATATATGGTCCGATTTTGTTTAGTTTAGGAGTTATGATTTTTTTTCGGATTTTTCGAGAATTTTTGAGTTCTGTGTTTATTTTTACCATAACTTCGTTAATAATTGTGATAAATGCCTGCTTTTTTCACGATTATGTAGCTAAGACCTAAGGCTTAACTATCATATAATCATTCAAGTCATGTAACTAATACTACTTTTTAATTTTTTTCAAAATCTTCGAACATAACAAAAAAGTAAAAAAGTGCAACAACTTTGAACGTTTATAAAAAATTGAAAAAACATGTTCTTACTATTCGTAAGTATCTTAAAAACTTTCTTACGGTATCAGCTATTTACCGTAAAAATTTCATCAACCTAGCTTTACTACACGCTACCGTAATTGTGGCTCAAATAGAACCGAACCCAAAATTGGATAACCCTCTGCTCAATAGAAATTGTTAGTTTCGGAAAAAAAATTTGCAAAAACCACAAAAACACGTTTGATTTTTACTGAACAGCAGATTATTATTCATTTATGTTATTTACAAGAGGTTTTCAAAATGTCTGCCTCTAACAGAAATGCACAGTGTACACCTACGTATGAAATTTTGTTTTAAATCTCTAAATGCTTGTGTGTTGTTTTTCAACACATGTGTCGCTTCTTGAATTTTGTTCCTCAATGAATTTTCATTTGCACATTCTTGGGCGAATGTTATGTCTTTAAAATATCCCCAAACAAAAAAATCAATGGGGTTGAGGTCAGGGGAGCGTGGAGGCCATCGTATCGGTCCGTTTCGTCCGATCCATCTGTCTGGGAACCTTTCGTTTAAGTAGTTTCGCACGATCGTTGCGTTGTGGCATGGTGCACCATCATTCTGGAACACCATGTTCCGTCTGGCTTCCAGGCTTGAATCTTCCAGCAATAATGGTAGGCTATTTTCAAGGAAGCTTTTGTAGGCTACCGAATCCAACCTTGACGGCAGTTCAAATGGACCGATAAATTCCATATTGAATATTCCTGACCACATGTTCACACTAAAACGGTGTTGAAATGTCGACGGCCTTGAGTGGTGGGGGTTTTCAACAGCCCAAGTATGTAAATTATGGATATTGAATATTACTGTTCTTTCAAAACGTGACTCGTCAGTCCATAAAATTTTATCAAAAAAATCGGGATCCTCTCGTTGTCTTCGCAGCATTGTCTCGCAGAAATCCACTCTTAACTGGTAATCTGAAGGCATCAACGCTTGAACTCTTTGAACATGATAGGCATGATAACCTTCTTCATGAAGAATATTTTGTATCGATGTTCGTGGTATTCTAAGGTTTTGTGCCATAGATCTCGTACTCGTTGAGGGATTCCGGCTAATTTCTTCAAGTACTACTTCTCTGCGATCCGGATCAGCTGTAGGATATCCTTCATTGCTTCCTCGTCCTGGAATGCGGCCTGCCATGAAAGTGTTATGTGTGTTAATAAAAACACGGTGGTCTGGGTAATGCTAAATTGTATACTGACTCATTGCATATTGTTATGATGGTAGTACTATGCCATAAAATGTACCCTCAACTGGAATGTGATACTGGACTATTCCAGATAGAAGAGTCATTACGGCTGTCAAGGAGATATCTAGCAGATCATCAGCAAATGCAAGATCCAAAAAACCCTTTAACTTGTTTGAAATATGGTGTATTTGCTGTAGTTGAATAATGATCATTCCAAATAGAAGTGTTGCTGCTTTGAGAGTTGAAAGATTTGAAGACACCAGTACATGACGAGTCATAAATCCATTGAATAGATGACGAATTGTAGTTGCTAGATAATAAAACTTAGATGAAGACACATTCTTGATGAAGCATCTGCAAAAAGTTTTACATTTTCTCACAGAGTCAAGAAGTTGCTTGGTGAACTGCAAATTTGTGTTCAGTTTAATATTTGCTAATTTCCTCATTCATCTTCATTACCTGTTTATTCTGGATGTTGCTGATGGTTCTAGCGATGATTACTCTCTGTGAGTTAGCTTCAAATAATGTTTAAACCAATTGTTTTTGTCTATGCAAATAAGTAAAGTAAAAAAAAATATTTGACAAATCCTAGCTTATATCCCAGTTTTACATCCCAGTACCTAAAAAATATTTGTCAGGATGTCAAAATGTCTTGTATGTCAGGGCAAGAACTTTGTTTAAGGTGAGGTTAGAAGGGTATTTAGAGTTTAGGAAAAATTTGAATTTTAACAATTCTCATTTGATATCAAACTATATCGTGTATTTCTCTAAAACCTAATCAACTAGGCGATAACCACTGGGCTTTACAAATAGCTTTAGTTTTCAAATAGTTACAAATCACATTTCTTGAGTAAACGCATGTGGAGTAGTACAGTGCTGGTACAATGGGGGTGGCAAAAAGGTCAAAGGTTTCCAGGACCTGAATGCCCACTACCACTACTACAACTTGCGAGTAAAAAAGCAACCACAAACAGAGTGGTATAAGGCATTTTTGATTACATATTTTAAATATTGTAAAAAAAGGTTATTAACACTTCATGCTGCTTTATGATCATTCATATCATGTATTCTTTGTACAGATCCATCCACATTACCAATAGTGAAGTGATAGTAGATGGTTAATTAACACTAGTGATGAACTGATACTCAGTGTAGAATAGTTAAGTTTAATTACATAGATATGAAAAATATATTGTATCTTTTTTTATCAGGTCAGAGGGAGTTAAAGGTGCCGTCATTGGCATTGATCTGGGCACAACAAACTCTTGTGTTGCTGTCATGGAGGGTAAACAGCCAAAGGTTATTGAAAATGCAGAGGGATCCAGGACCACTCCTTCAGTAGTTGCATTCAGCAAAGATGGGGAAAGATTGGTGGGTATGCCTGCCAAGAGACAGGCTGTCACAAACTCTGCCAACACATTCTATGCCACAAAGAGGTTGATTGGTAGAAGGTTCGAAGATGAGGAGGTCAAGAAAGACATGTATGTAATCCTATAATACTACAATAAAACTTTTCATCTGAATTAAATTTCTATTATCAGCTCATAATCAGTTTGCCAGCACATTATATACATTACATACTCTATACTCTATCTTTTTTCATAATTCAACAGAGGTCTTGAAAATGTTTTATTGTATCTACTGTCAGTGACTTTTACACATCAATGGCAGTTTTTTTTATCATTTGGAACAGTAATTCATCATTAGTATTTTTTACTATTACTTATATAAAACCATTACATTTCATTCATTATCATCATCTGTAAATTTAGTGGAGATGGATATAATATGTTTATATGACTTTTGTACCATAATTTTTATTTATAAAATACCTAAAAGGGTGGATCCTTGTATATGTATATTATATTTCAGGAAAACCGTTTCATACAAAATTGTGAAAGCTTCCAATGGTGATGCCTGGGTGCAATCTAGTGATGGCAAGATGTATTCACCGAGTCAAATTGGCGCATTCATCTTAATGAAGATGAAGGAAACTGCTGAAGCTTATCTTAATACTAAGGTGTTGATATTTTTCACCCAAATAACATATAGAATAAATTAGTTCATAAACATACTAGATTCAGAGAAAATCCTGGAAAAGCAAGCAAAAATGTTTGAGTTTTGATGCTTATAAACTATTAAACACAATCTTCGGTATTTCATATGCAAAATAATATATGTTCTATAATAATGTTACTCAATCATCTTTTTAGGTTAAAAATGCAGTCGTCACAGTACCAGCATACTTCAATGACTCCCAGAGACAAGCTACCAAAGATGCTGGTCAAATTTCAGGCTTGAATGTACTTAGAGTAATCAACGAACCAACTGCTGCTGCATTGGCCTATGGCATGGACAAAACTGATGACAAAATGTAAGTAAAATCCATAATTATTGCTATTATACATATTATGGTGCGTTTATAAAACTTTACCAAATCTAACCTAATGGATTGAGTGACTTTATAATCTTGACAACACTTATTTGTTTACTCTAGCATTGCTGTATATGACTTGGGAGGTGGTACTTTTGATATATCAATCCTGGAGATTCAGAAAGGAGTATTTGAAGTAAAATCCACAAATGGTGATACTTTCCTTGGTGGCGAAGATTTTGACAATGTACTTGTCAATCATCTGGTATCAGAGTTCAAGAAGGAACAAGGAATTGACATCACTAAAGATCCAATGGCAATGCAACGTCTGAAGGTAAATTTTCGGATACTAAAAACCAATACATGGTATCCCAAGGAAAACGAAAAGTAGTTTAATAGAAATTCTAAGAAAAGTATTCAAAAATGGTTTTTGTAGCTATATAGATATCTCATAGGTGTAAATTTCTAAATTACATATACAAGATGATTCACAATTCTGTGGTTCAACAATCTTTTTTTTTTAATGAAACTCAGCCAAGCAGTTTCATTGGCATATCTACATTGTAGCTTAAATTGATTTTTTTTTTGTTACCACATTTACCTTTATGGAGTCGGTTTTGACCTATATTTGATGGATGATGATTATGCAAAATACACTTTCATTGTTTTATTTATAAGATATATTAAGCAAATGAATAACACTTCTAATAACACCAAAGGAGTATGTATGCTGATATGTTGTTAGAACACACAATGTAGATTTATTTTATCCTCATCTTTATATTTCTCAAAGGGAGATAGTTTAGAAATTTGGTGCAAATTTTATTTCAGGAAGCAGCAGAAAAAGCAAAGATCGAATTGAGTTCCTCATTGCAAACAGATATCAACTTACCTTATCTCACTATGGATGCTTCTGGCCCAAAACACATGAATTTAAAATTATCACGAGCCAAATTTGAAAGCTTAGTAGATGGTCTGATCAAGAGGACTGTTGAGCCTTGTCAGAAGGCTCTCAAGGATGCTGAAGTCGCCAAGAGCGATGTTGGAGAAATTTTACTTGTTGGAGGTAAATATTTTAGATTATGATTCTTTACCGATTTTGATATATGAAACAGCAATGGTGGTAGTTGGCTTTTAACTGCTAATATCCGACCATTTCATAGATTGTCTTGAAGTAAACCTACAAAACATTTTCCAACAGTTCAACTCGTAGATCAGTTCGCATGGTGTTCTTACTAGTTTTTTGTTATCATGTTGGCATTCTTGACATAAAGGCTACTGATTTTTACTGAGGTTTGGTACATGGATCATGTTTGTGTGCAAGACCCTGTATTTTCTAAAATATGTGTATCTTTTTCGATTTTATATAGGTATGACTAGGATGCCGAAGGTTCAAAGTCTAGTGCAAGAGGTGTTTGGCAAGCAACCAAGTCGCGCTGTGAATCCTGACGAAGCTGTTGCCGTCGGTGCTGCAGTGCAAGGTGGTGTTCTAGCTGGAGATGTAACAGACGTTCTTTTGCTTGATGTTACACCCCTATCATTAGGTATTGAGACCCTTGGAGGTGTATTCACTAGGCTTATTACCAGGTAACTTGAATTAAATCTCAAATTTTACAGCACTATCAATTATATTCAGCAAGAACGAGTGAGATTCGAGAAAAACGTAGGATCTACAATTTTTTTAGCAAACGCTTTTGACTAAACTGCAAATTTGTTAATGTGCTTCGAGTCATCACTAATCAGGCGTCAAGTAACAGCAAAACAGTCACAGCCGTGCATTGTAGCTTGAGTTGTTCATTTTTGTTTAAAAAATTCCTATGTTTGATGAGTGATGATTATATTGCAAGATATGCTTCTATGTTCTTCTGTTTGTAAAATATAATAGAGAAATCAAGATTAGTCGCAGACGCCAGATGTTGATGAATCTGAAAATTTTCATAAATTCGCAGTATTGTTAAAGTAAGGTGCGTGGATCATGAAAGGCCGGCCATCAAATAAACAGATTTTATTCCTTCATTAACTGGATACTTGAAATAAATGATTTAGTGACACTTGAAATTAAAATAAAATGTCTTTATAGCAGAGTTGATCACTGTTTCAGTTCAAGTTTTATTAAACTCTTCCATGCAGCCTTGCAAGCGACAGACAAAACCAATATAATAAATCAGTCGTTTAATTTAATCCTAACTTTGGGATCAAAATGTATGCTTATATTACTAAAACTACATATACAGGTCTCTCATTAAAATGAAGTATTAAATACAATAATATATTCTCGAAAAAAGTATATACTCCTTGAACATAACATGAACGCTATGATAAAATTAAGAATGTATTCGTGAAAATATTTTCAATATAATTCTAATGAGTATTATATTGATATCAAATAAGTTACAAATAACCTTTATAATTTTTAATTATAAAAATAATTTTAACCAACTGTATGTAAAGCCAAAATGGAACTGAACATTTTCCTAACCACAGGGTTTTGTATGTGGCTCAAAAAACTATATAAGTCAGTCGGCTTGAAAATATTACATATAGTTCAACATCAATTCTAAAAAAGGGTGTATCTTGTATGAATATATATCTGGAAATGTTACAATGTCTTGAGAACATTGTTCTATACACCATAACCAAAACAGAAAAATTAAAAAGTATTTTACCCGGAACTCTTCGTTAGGCTTAAGAACATCATCCAATTTTTGTTATGTCAAAACTATTTATTTACTGGACTATAATGCCTTTAGGAGTGGCAACGATGTCTAATTTATCTCAAAAGTAGAACAGGAACAAGACAGGTCTGATAGAAACCTAACTTTAAAATTTTTTTACGACTTCACGTTTTGACGTCAATTGACGTTAACCACTGATCATCAATTGACGTTTTTGTCTGTTACAGTTATCACTGTAGACATGACCGCCATCCAAACTAACTAGCGACGCCTACTTCTAGTTTTAGAGATTACATCATCTCATTTAATTAATGTTGTAAGCTGAATAATCGATTTACAGAAACACGACGATCCCGACGAAGAAGAGCCAGGTGTTTTCAACAGCTGCTGATGGCCAAACTCAAGTGGAAATCAAAGTCTATCAAGGTGAAAGAGAGATGGCGAACAACAACAAGCTGTTAGGTCAATTTTCTCTAGTGGGCATCCCACCTGCGCCTAGAGGAGTACCTCAAATTGAGGTCACATTTGACATCGATGCTAATGGTATCGTGCATGTATCTGCTAGAGATAAAGGTGAGTTTTGACTATAAATGCAGTTTCTACATACAGACATATTGTCACTTTGAACAAAACTTGATGCTTTTTGCTCTTTCTTTTAAGGTACTGGTAAAGAACAACAGATTGTGATCCAGTCATCTGGAGGCTTGAGTAAGGACGAGATTGAAAATATGGTAAAGAATGCTGAACAATACGCACAACAGGATAAAGTCAAGAAGGAAAGAGTTGAAGCCATCAACCAAGCTGAAGGTTTGTAAATGTTGAATCTATTAGTACCGACGTCTGTACACTCCAAGCTATGAAAATCTTCCAAGTTTCTTTCTAGCTTTCTATTTTTTATTAATCTCTATATTCTCTAGGTATCATTCACGACACAGAAACGAAAATGGAAGAGTACAAGGATCAATTACCAAAGGAAGAATGTGATAAAATTAAGGAAGAAATTGGTAAAGTTAGGGAACTGTTAGCTAAGAAAGATGATGCGGACCCAGAAGAAGTTCGCAAAGCTACCACTACTCTCCAACAGTCATCACTCAAATTGTTCGAGATGGCTTACAAAAAGGTAAGTCACTCATACAATATCAACTGTTCATTGGATAAATATTCTATGCGAAGATTTTGGGGCTAAGCATTGGGTATATAGCTCGATTTGATGCGTTGTTGACCGCTGATGGAATTAACATTTCGAGTCATAAATCTTGTGTTTGTATGTATGTGTCCACTTGTGGTGGTGAATGGCCGTGTGAGTGATAGTAGGGTTCGGTCATATGAGAAATGACTATTTAATAATAATAATCTTTATTTCAAAATAACAGTGCATGATTATAATGTATTACACACTGTTAGGTGAAATATACGTCACAGTGTCATCAAGACAGAAAAAACAAAGAGGCAAAACATATAACATAATAGAGATATTACATTTCAAAATATTCTTGAAGGTCATATGGTTCTAAGTGCATTAACAATTGATAAATACTCTTTTTATATTGTTTTATATCTGCCAACTTTTTAATTTCTTGTAGTAACTTATTATATATTTTAGTGCAGCTATAATGTACATTTTTTTCGGTAACCGTGAGATGATGGACTGGATACAGAAGATTTATATTTCTATTGCTTGTGTTATAGTCACTTCGTGGGTTACCGATAAAATTGTTAATATTTTTAAATGTAAAAATTAGAATCTCTTGAATATACTTGTAATGCCACGTATTCCTGTTAAGGGGTGATAGATTAGGTCAAAAGCAACCGATTTTTTCCTATCATGTCTTATCCAAAAGTTAACATTTTTGAGTGGTTTGAATTTTAAGTTTTTTATTCCGATTTCAGACGGTTAAAATTGAAATACCAAAAAAACTGCATGCTTGATTTTGAGTTTTTTGTTATCGTCGCATAGCAGACATTCCAATAGTTCATAATAAGTAATCAAATGTTGAAAAGCTACAAACGTTTTAAAATTACGCTTTTTAAATGTATCATTTTCTTTTTTTTTTTACTAACTTATTCGATAAAAAATGCATTTTTCTGTAAAAAATCTCCTAGTAATGAAATGTGCAAATTATGTAAATAATATCTCTATCTAACAAGCTTTCATTTGAGGTATTAAGCCTTCAATTATCTGAAGTACATACAGAGAAACAACAATGACACCGACAGAGGCTGGATTTTTAAGGAATTTGTATTACCTGTTTGAACAAGTCGTTACTGATCTCAAAGGACTCGCATGCCATGATGTTTTATGGCATCGGCTCGACGAGGAAGCGAGCGAGAAGAGCTGACTTAGTGGAGGAGTGAGAGAGAGAGAGAGCTGTTATTATTCATAATTGTAGTTACGCTATCGCCGCACGCCGAGTGAGAATTAGGTTTAGTTGGTATCAACTACTGCGTACGCGCACACGTTTTACGCACGATTATTATTTTCGAGTTTCCCGCCATAGCGAGCACGGGCAAACTTCCTCTTGTTACTGTGTATCGGCGCATCCGCCAAACCGGACATGTTCAAAGGCAACATAGTGATGCTGGTCGACCTCGAGTCTATCTTCCTGAAGATGAAGAGGAAATCCTTCGTGTATTTCAGGAAGACCCTACTACGTCTACGCGCATTCTGGCTGCTCAGTTGGGTATATCACAATACAAAGTATGGTTTACTGTGCATACTGCAAGATTATACCCTTATCACTAGACGCCTGTGCATGTGATTGAAGAGGGCGGTCCTGCAAGACGATTAGATTTCTGCAGGTACATGTTACATGCAGATACAGAAGATCCAGACTATTTTAAGAAAATTCTGTGGACCGATGAATCGAAGTTTGATAAGGACGGGATCACTAACTACCATAATGCTCATTACTGGGCTGATAAAGAAGCTTTAAACCCCCGAAAAATAAGACCAACGGGGTCTCAGAGCCGGTTTGCAGTCAATGTGTGGATGGGCATCATTGATGGGTATTTAATTGGACCTCATTTTCTGCCCGCCAATTTAAATGGAGAAGTGTATGAAGAGTTCTTGAAAAATCACTTGTTTCCATTAATGGAAAACGTCCCTTTGGCGACGAGACAAAATATGCGGTTCCAGCACGACGGCTGTCCGCACACTACAGTAGATTAGTACGGGCGTATTTAGACTCTAAATTTCCAAATCAATGGATTGTCAGAGGCGGGCCCATTGCCTGGCCAGCAAGAAGCCCAGATCTCACACAGATGGATTACTATGTGTGGGGACACATGAAAAGCCTGGTGTACGATGTTTCGCCCGTACCAACGCGCGATGAATTAATTACAAGGATAATCAGTGCAGTTGACCAAATAAAAAGCCGCTTAACAACTAGAGTTACTAAAAGTGAATTACGTAAGAGAATTCGGGCGTGTATTCGTAACAGGGGATTACAATTTGAGCAGAATGTGTAAAATACTAAAGGAAATGTAATTAAATAAAACTGTAATTAAAATAAAAGCCTTTTATTTATCCTACGTAATTATTTAATTTTATGTCTTTGTACTTGAGTTAGTTGTAACTTTTATACCTGAAATGAAAGCTTGTTACATAGAGATATTATTTACGTAATTTGCACATTTCATGACTAGGAGATTTTTTACAGATAATTGCATTTTTTATCGAATAAGTTAGTAAAAAAATAAGAAAATCTTACATTTCAAAAGCGTAATTTTAAAACTTTTGTAAGTTTTCAACATTTTATTACTTATTATGAACTACTAGAATGTCCGCTATGCGAAGATAACAAATTAAACATGTAGTTTTTTTATATTTCAAATAAAAAAATAAAATTCAAATAACTCAAAAACGGTTAACTTCTGAATAGGACATTATAGGACAAAATCTGTTGCTTTTGACATAATCTATCACCCCTTAACAGGAATACGTGACATTACAAGTCCTTGTATATTGCGGCTACAGTTAGGCTATTGTATGGCTGCTATGTCCGAAAAAAATTATTCCAAAACGTACAATGGATTCAAAATTCTCGTAATATCCATTTTTAGAGTCTTGAGGTCTAGGTACTTGCTTAGTACTCCAATACTATAACATGCATTGTTTAACCTTGTTTCTAGATGTTTTATATGTTTAGCCCAGAAAGTGCTTGGTCAATATGAACTCCCAAGAATTTTCCACAGTCTGTGAGAGGGACTTCTATTCTTTCTGCTAAGATGATGATGTTTGTAGCTACGATTTTTTTTCTTAACTTAAAAACAATCTGTTTGAGGTATTCAGAGATAATCCATTACGAGCAAACCACAAAAATGCTTTCTCGCAGAGGCTCAAAGTACTATCAGCCAAATGGTTGAAATCTTGGCCAGCAACTAGTACACTAGTGTCATCAGCGTATTGGATCGTGCATACATTATATGGGCTTGTACCTCTTTCTACCATTAACTGTGATGAAACGGCTGATATTTCATTCTTTGTAATGAAAACTCTTTGCTTACGATCTGTCAGATAAGATTTAATCCAGTTGCAAGCACTTCCCCTTATCCCATATGCCTAGAGTTTATTCAATAGTAGAGAATGATCCACACAATCGTAAGCTTTGTAGAAATCAAAAAACAGACCCAGCAATATCATATTATTTTCAAGGCATTCTATGATGTTGTGGCTGAAAGAATAGATCGCCGTGTTGATGGATTTTCCTTTTACAAACCCATGTTGTGACTCTGCAATTAAGTTGTAACATATCATATGATTCATAATTCTTGAATACGTCACTAACTCAAAAAGCTTTGCAAAACAAGAAAGTAAGCTTATTGGCCTACAATTTAGCAAGTCACTAGGATCACCATTTTGTATATATGTATAGGTATAATTATAGCTAATTTAAGTTTTTCAGGGAAAATACTGTACTTGAGTTGTTTATTATGTAAACCAAAGGTTCCAGAATTACTACTAAGCAATATTTTAAAATACTAACTGTAATGCCATCATCACTACTCATTTTATTTTTAAGTCAGAAGAGTTATGTATTGGTGCCTGTGGTAATATTTTAATTACTTCATTACTACAGTATTCATTGAAAGCATTAGCTATAACTTCAGGATCACCTGGTAATAAAAAAAACACAGTCATATCTATTTTGACCTTTTATTTCCTTTACTATACTCCACAAACAATTTGATTTATTATCTGACTCTTGTATACGTCTTTGATATGACTTATATAGGGCATTAGTTAACAATAGATGGTACTCTCTTCTGACTTTGTTATAGCATGGTTTATTGGAATTGTCACTGTTGCTTATAAAATATAGAACATCCAGTCGGTCCCTACATTCCTTAATATTATTATCCGTTTCCTGAGAATGATTTGGGTTAGGGAGCCTTTCTGTCACTTTTACTGTTTTCATGGGAAACGATTGATCAAAAATAGATTGAAATATACTACTAAAATAATTCCATTGTTTGTTTACATCATTCTGAGGAATTTGAAGTAATTTTTGCCAGTTGAGGCTAGTTAAAAAAAATTCTTTATTTTCTGAACTGAATATCCTTTTCTGTATAACATCACCAAGATTGTTCCTATTAACCTTCATTGTTATTTTTTGAGCAGTGTGATCTGAGATTAATGAATTAATAACACTAGATACATAAGTTGAGGTATTGGTGAAAATATTGTCAATACAAGATCCACTGGTGGATGTTACGCGTGTGTATTGGAATATAGTTTGATGTAAATCATATGAATTTAAAAGTGAACATAAGAGTTGTTTGTTCAGACTTTCCTGAGAAAAATCTATATTGAAATCACCGGCTATGAAAATTGTGGCACTGTCATCGCGAATTTTAAGTAGAATTCCTTCCATTTTTTCTAAAAACACATGCATATTACCAGATGGTGATCTATATATTGACAACATTATGAAATTCAACCCATATAAGGAATATTTTACTGCTGCACACTCCAGGGAACCTTCCACAGATAATGATTTTATATCTGACCTTTCCGAGCACTGAACTCCCACCCTCACATAAACCGCACTCCCACCATGCTTCCCTTGTTTTCTGCAAAAACACGATGCTAACTTGAAGTTCCTAATTCCATAGTTGATA